CCAAGACTTTCAGAAATATTAAAAAATAGGAGTGGGAGGTACACCAAAAACAGTATGATGAAGATTGCTCAGTGGACACAGAATGCTGACTATTTTGTGTAGAAAATGAGTGGTGGTTGTTGGTGGAACGGATGGGATTCTAAACAGCATTCCACACAGCAATACTTTGTTGCCTCTCCCTCTTGTTATTTGTGGAATCTCTAAAGCTGTGTTTGAAGCAAATATCCAGCCCTGTCTGATGTCTATTTATTCTGAGATATCTAATGTGGTGCCCTCCAAATGTTCTGGACTACAACTCCCATCATACCATGACCATTTTTTTTTTTAAATGATATTTATTAAAGTTTCAGATAAAAAGAAACACATCAATACAAAAGAATTTAAAAGTAAAAAGAAAAATACACAATACAAAATACAAAAAGAAAAAAGAAAAAACAGTTAAAAACAATTCCATCTTTTCATCACTACTTTTGAATTTACTTATTTTCTGGACCTCCTCATACCTCCCTCTTTTGTATTCCAATTCAGTTTGTTTGTCCAGCATTTCCTTTCCCTCTTTTTTAATCCCAATCCTTAATCTTAATATAATATAACATTAAATTTTTATCTATTAATAGCTAATTTTCCATTCTTTTAACCTTTTTATTCCTAATCCTTAATCTTAATCTGTATATAACTTTAAAGCCTGTGCAGCTAGAAACCACTTAATTTTAATCCATCATCACTCTAACATTCTTTAATTTTGCAATGTTTCTGTAGGTAATCTTTAAATTTCTTCCAATCTTCTTCCACCGACTCATCATACCATGACCATTGGCCATGCAGGGGCTATAGTCCAACATCTGGAGGGTTACTCCTGGAGTAATTAGAAACAGTGACAGGTTTGCTTTTGTTGTTTCTTCCTCCATCCCAACCTCTTTTCCTTCCATGCTGTGTCTTTTAAATGAGGTCAGTGACTGCTGATCGGTTACATTTGCAAGTCACTCTGGGAAATGTTTTCAGCTGAAGCACATGATTAAACACTTTAAATAAACAGGAGACACAGGCTTTCCCTGACCACTAATATTGGTCCCCAATGTCTTGTCTACTCCAGGTGGCAACCTTGCTGTCATGAACTGGCAGGACAACAGGAAGGAGGAAGAGGATCCTAGCGAGAGGTGTAGCTGGGACTGGGACACACCGGGGCAAGCTGGGGATGGGGAAGGAGACGTTGGTGTAGTAGGAAGTACTCACAGGGTGATAGAGGATGACGAGGGGATGGGGGCCAGTGCACAGGACCCAGAGCCACAGGACCCATCACCAGAGCCAGAGGGGCCCCTGTCCCCATGAACACAGCGGGCTCTAAGGCATAGGGAGCAGCAGGAGTGGTGCTCCAGGAGACTAAGGCAGGCAATGGCCCACAGCCCAGCTCCCTAGCTGGCCAGGTGGGGCTTGCTAGCTCTGGGAGAAGGTGTGTGATTCCTCAGCTGGAGTAGGCTTGGAACAGGTGAGAATCACATGCCTCATCAAGCCCAGACGCTGCAATCAGCATGCAAAGTATAAAAAAGGCAGCATGTTGATAGATCTTGGCTTTGATGCTTCAAGATCTCTGCTGGACTGCTTCGGTTTGGACATGTGGATTGACCCTGGTCTGGGGACTTGACATACTGACTTGCTTCCAGGTAGGCTAGGGGTTCAGGACACTTGCCTAATTAACCACCAATGGACCCTGTGAGAGCTAGCATACATATTGTTAGAGATTTGGAGTAAAGCCTATAAATTAGCAACTGCCAGGGTTTTGATTAATGCTTGGGCCATGCTGTAAGATTTGGACTCTCTCCATGCAGACTGAAGGTGTAAATAGATGAGTAAACCCTATTTCTTAAAGCATGATAGCCTCCATTGTGTCTTCTGTTCTCCAAAGGGACACAGACCCTGTGTGGGTGTCTGAGATCCCATGTGCTCTTTCCATGGATTGGCAGAGAGAAGGACTGGCACTGGGCTTTTGTAACAATATATTGATTCAAAAAGTGGTAATTGCAGCTCTAGAACCCAGGAAAACTTTCCATGGTCACTATGATCATGTAATCTTTTCATGGTTGCTATGACAATGAGGTTCTGAGCTGGTTTGACCAATTGTGAAGCAGGCTGGAGGTTCTGAACTTGCTCATTAACTTTTTGAACTTGACTGCAGGCAGACACCCTTTCAAGTTCTTGCTAGTTGGTCCCTGTTGCATCAACTTCAGTTCTAGTGTGGCTGCAACTGAGCTCATTGCTGCTTACAAATCATGGAACTTGAAAGACTGCTCAGAGTGTTGACCACCCAGCCACAGACATGAAGAGAAAACAGACCACCTGTATCAAAAAAATTGAGAGTAGATTCTGGCCCCATTGGGATGCCCAAAGACAGCGCTAAACTAGCCAGTCTCTCTCTCCTGATCTGGATGGATTCACACTCTTCTGTAGAATGTCCAAAATGATGTCTTTGCTTCCATGTACCCATGCTTCCTACTGTGAGGTGCAATATCCAGCTCCTCATTTATTATTCTTATTCAGCACCATCAACACACATTTACAGAGTTTAACAGACTTCTGTAAACAAAAATAAAAAAGATCTCTCTGTCCCCAGGGAGCTTTCAATATAAATTATGAGGGTGGGAAGTCAACCTTGCCTGCTTACCCACCATTGGACCCTGAGAGAGCCACCAAACTTGTACTGATTCAAAAAGTGGCCGTTGCAGCTCTGGATTTGAGGGTAGTGTATGTTTACATGGTCACTGTGACAATGAGGTTCCAATCTAGCCCAGCCCATTATGAAACTGAGTGCAGGTTCCAATGTTTCTGATTACATTTAAAATCTCCTATAAACTTCTTCAGTGCAGGGAGAAGTTATATAGAAAATAATATATTCAGGATCAGGAGCACTTAAAACCTCCTGGACTCTCAAGTTGGCTGCCCAGCAACCAGAAACACAGGATATCCATTAGTAGTATTATCAGTGCCACACTTTTATCTAGTGCTTTTATGTGCTTTAAATGTATGCATCTCCTCCCACCCAACTTTTTTTGGGTAGTATTTGTGAATAAAAAGAAACAAAAGGACCAGGATGCTATACCATCTTTGGCAAGGATTAGAAAATGGGATTGCCTAATTAGATATACTCCAGGGTAAAACACTCATGGAACATTTCCCCATTCCATATGTATGGTTTCTTTTTCTGAGATCTAATAATACACCTTTTATCTTGATTTTGGTTTTGGAAACTGGAAACTGGCTCCATACTTTCTTTTGAGAAGCCCGTTTAGTTCTGCAATAAAGTCAGGTTATTTTCTTATGATTATTTTTGGAAAAACACAATTGTTAAGGACTTAAAGGAGACTCAATGGTAATACTTTTGTTTACAGAAATGCTAAACTAATCTGGCTGCTTTCCTCTGGACATTTTCTTCAAGCTCTTGCACATAGTTTGTCAGCATAACTAATGCTAAATTCAGCTGCATTTTCCATCAGGAACACACCACTTTGGGGGTTCTTTGGTCTGAAACAGATGTACAAGTGGGGATCTGTAACAAAATGCTTTGTATCCTAGTAGCTAAGATCCCTTCCAGACGTCCTTTTTATTGTGTATTCATTGTGATTTGTGCTCATCATGCTTTTGGGGAAGTAACACGCAACCCCACTTTCAATATTGTTTGAGCTTGTAAACATTTGGGGTGGCGACTCTGTTTCATTTCCAATCACTGCATATTCCGTATCACAGATTTTATTTTTAGACTTGCTTGTGCTATGCTGCTGTCCCTCCAGATAATAATAATGTGGTAGCACTGGGGAAACACTGTAGAAAAACCTAAAGCAGAATAAATCCACTATTATTGCATCCATCTCAACAGGATTTACCTCTGAACAAACATGGGTGGGGTTTCATTGCTGGTAACCAAAAGAAGTTCACGATCTCTTAGCCTAAACAACCTAAAAAATAAAAAAAAATCAAAGGGGAAGAACCCCAGCTCTGTGGAGGAGTGGGCAGGTGTTTAAAATGCAGTAAATACTGTTATAGAGGGTTCTTAAACCATAGAAATTTAAAAATGGTAGGATTTTGATTATTTGGAGTACTGAAGGGAAGATTGCAGGCGAGTGGGCAAAATACAGGCTAAGCTTGCTTTCCACCTGGGATAGAGGCATTAACATGACAAAAGGTGTTGATGGTCCACCTGAGAGCAATCTTGGGCCTGGGCAGACTGCCAGAGTAACTGAGTGTGAAGAAACAGGAAAGAGTGTCTTTAGCAAGGTGTGCTGGGAACAAGGGGGAGAAAAAAGGGAGTGATTGATCTTGGACTGGCTGGGAGAGATGCCTTTGACTCCAGTGCTGCACTGCTGTGGGGAACAAACTCCTCTTGAAATGAACATGTAAGATCTGGACTCTCTCCATGTCGACTGTAGGTGTACTGTAAATATGTGAATAAATAATACTTCTTAAAGCTACAACAGTTTCTGCCATGCGTTAAATTTTCCAAGAGAACATAGACCCTGTGTGAGTGCCTGGAACTGCCTGGAATATTGCAAAGAGTGGGGGTATCCAACTTTTGTGACAGGAAAGGTGAGAAATGGAGGATATAGGCTGGGTATTGGAGCTAAGCAAATAACCAACTCAAATTCATATACGTATTTGTAGCCAAGTGAAATGGCTATTTGATTTTAAACATAAAGCGCCCAACATTTACAACACACTCCGTTGGATTCCATGTCAAAAGAAATACAGGATATAAATGTAAGTAAATAATGGCAGACCCTTGACCACCATGCTTTTAAAAATTAACAATCAAACAACCCTTAGTTTTGTACAATCGCTATCACAGATAAGACAGCCACTGATTTCTGGCAAGGTCTCAAACACCTTTGTAACATCTGTGTGACAGGAAGGAATTCATTAGGCACAGCATTTCCTGTCTCGGTGATGGTTAACAATAGGAAAATTTTGCTGCTTGAAAGTGTGCTAACCGCATAGATTTATGAAAATATGAAGGCTGGAGGAAAATTTCACCTTTAACTGCACTGACTGTGGATTGAAACAGGAAGGGGAAAGAGGAGGCAACTAATTTACAGTATGTGACCCTGAGCATGTGCAGGTTTGTAGCACTTTTGAAAGATTTGCGGCATCTATTTTTCTGCCCTAAAGCAAGGTCCTGAGGCCACCAGAGCATCTGCCGCAACAGGAGAGAGCCAATGCCAGTCCTACTCAGAGGAGACCCACTGAAATTAATGGACACAGCCCATTAATTTCAGTGGGTCTACTCCTGGTAGGACTGTTGGCTACACAGCCAAATAAATCTCTTAAAGCGCAATCCTAACCAGGTCTGGTGAAAAAGAAATTCTGTTAGTTTTTTAAGTTTTCAAAACTTTTATTATGAAGTTAAAATAACAATCCAGTTAAGAAATATGAAATAAAAAGTCCCCCCCTTTAACATCAAATATGAAATAAAAAGTCCCCCCTTTAACATCGAATTCACTGTGTAGTCTTATGAGAAAGTTAGTCTTATGAGAAAGTTATGAGGTAATGGCTGTGAACCGTTGTTTGTTTGTTCGTTACATTTCCTCCCTTTATTGTACATCCTATTAAATACAATGCTGCTCTCTCCCAGGTAAACGGGGTTAGGGGCTGCAGCTTGTGCCTTTTAAGGTGCCGCAAGCCTTTCCTCGCGCGCTCCCTAAACATTTCGTTTATACGCATTTTTGTTTCGTGAGGAAGGAAGGAAACGCTTTAAAGAAGCTTCCCAAGTATGAGGTGGCTCCGGCTGGCATTACTGGCAACTTCGCGCAACTTGTGCCAACTCGCCTCAGAAAGTTACAAAAGAAGCAGGAGGTGGAAAAGGGTGGGGGGTTGAAAAAAGGTGGGAAAACACCCGGATGGAAGAGGTGGCGCCAAGGGTAGCTCTCTCCCCACCCCCTCTCCCCGAGGAAAGCCAACGGTTTTAGCGCGAGGGAGCGTCGCGTGCCTTCCCCTCCGCAAACACCTTTGCCCGCCTGGCGCTTCGGCGCTGAAGCAACGCCCAATCAGCCGAGCGCCCTGGGTCTCCCCGCCACGCCCACCAACGCCCCCCCCACCGGCTCTCTCGCGCACGGTGCTCTCCCCTCTCACCCCCACCTCCTCCTCTCACTCGACTTTTGTAAACTCTCGCCGCCAAAGCTCGCGAGAGGACATGTCCGCGGCTGTAGCGTCCAGAGAGGGTGAGTGAGGGGCGGACTTCGGGTTCGCGGCGGGGTTCAGCTGACGAAGGGGAGGAGAGGGCGTAATGTGTGTAACTCTATATATTTGAGAGAAATTATTTCCCCCCTCTTTCCCATTCTCACCACCCCCACCCCCCGCGACGGCGGTGGCAGCGCAGGCTTGAGGCGAAGGGTCGCGGTTGGGCGGGGGTGGGGGGTGGAGAAGGGGGCGACGTTTCTCCACCGCGCGCGCGCGCCACACACACACACAGCCGTTCCGCGGTCTGGGTTGTTTGCGCGAGCGCCTGCAGATTGTGACCTCGGGATCCAGAGGGGGCGGGGCTTCCAGGAGGCTGCGAAGTCCGCGGGGACCCTCCCCAGAAGTGGCTGCATTTCTGGAGCCTGCAAAATTGCCGCCGGGGTCGGATCGGCGCGGGTTAGGCTTACATACGTGTGTATGTGTGTGCCAGCACGCGCGCCGCAGGGTCTTAATTTTCGGGTTCTTTGGTACTATGACAAGGTGCGGGGAGGGGAAGAGGTGGAACCACTAGGTAGGATGGCGCCCTTCCCAAAGTCAGCAGGACTGATCATGGGCGTCGGCGGTTTTAGGTACCTGCTGTACCTGGAAACTTAAGGGGAAGGGTCGTAACACAGTAGTACTGCATCCTCTTTGGCCAGCATCTCCAGATCGGGTTGGGAACAGGGCTGCCAGCCTGAATATTTTTTTTTTGGAGGGGGCGGGACAGGTAAACACTGCCCTGCATAATAGATGGCGTGCAACCACAACGTTTGCCCATCAACTGGGGGGTGCTAGCACCCTCAAATATTTTGTTTGGGGAAGGTGAAGGGACTTGGGCGCTCCGGAGTTGGCTCCCTTTTGGTGGGGAAGTCTCCTGCCTGAGAATCATTGCCAGTCACGGTAGACACTTCTGAGCTTGATGGGCCAGTGGTTTTTCTCAGAATAAGGCAACTTCTAGTATTCCTGTTGTTACATCCTTCAGGAATGGTAGCAGAGTTTTAAAACACACACATGCAGAGTATCATAATCATAATAGACCATGGCACATAAGGAGAGCTTTGCTGGGACAGGCCAATTACCTGTTCTGGTCCAGTATCCTATTCTTGCAGTGGCCAACCGCATGCCAATGGGAAACCTGTAAACAGGACCTGAGCGCAACACTACTCTCAATTCCTGTGGTTTCAAGCACATTACAGTACACTATTTAGAAGCAAACTGCCTCCAGCACAATGTAGTGCAGGGATAGTCAACATGGAACCTTCCACATTTTGTTAGATATACAGTGGTACCTTGGGTTACATATGCTTCAGGTTACATACGCTTCAGGTTACAGACTCCACTAACCCAGAAATATTACCTCGGGTTAAGAACTTTGCTTCAGGATGAGAACAGAAATTGTGCAGCAGCGGTGCAGCAGCTGCAGGAGGCCCCATTAACTAAAGTGGTGCTTCAGGTTAAGAACAGTTTCAGGTTAAGAACAGACCTCCGGAATGAATTAAGTACTTAACCTGAGGTACCACTGTACTCCAAATCCTGTCAGCTCCAGCTAGCATGGCCAATGGCAAGGATGGTGGGAGTTGTAGTCCAGCATCATGTGGAGGCCACTGAGTTGGCTGTTTCTGGTTTAGTAGTTAGAATGACCAGGGTTCAAGTCCCCAGCCACGCACTTGCAAGGTGTTGTGAGGATCATACAGAGAGAGCAAGCACAGTGTACATTGCCTCTAAACATCAGAGATGGGATAGGATAAAATGTAACAAGTAAAGTAAAATAAATTTATGGTGTACTTTTAGTATTCAAAAAGTACTTTTTATACAACAGGACAAATATATGCATTACTTGTCTAGTGAATGACTTGTGAGCCTGTCCCTTCAAAAGATGAGAATTTTTCATTGGGACTAGGGAATCCTGAAATATTTCAGTTCACATTGCTTAGAAAAGTCTATATCTAGTGTATGGAAAATATACAAGTAGCTATGCTTTTCAGTAACAATATTAACCCTAATGCTTGATAATTTTAAATGAACTATTTTGTGTCAGTGGAAGTTTTGCCATTTTACATGGAGTTGCAAGGGGAAGAAAACCGCTGCAATCAGTATGAAGGGAACTATGTGCTTTCTGTTGAATTCTCTGGGGCCCTGTGTTTCTGTTCTCTTAATTTCCCCAACAATTTTCCTGTGCTCTTTTACTGAGGAAAGTAGCTCTACCACTTTATTCACCTGATTTGGCCCTGATCTAGCTGTTTGCATGTGTAGCAGTGGGTGCTAACAGCCAGAGCTGTTTGTATCTATGTCTACTCAGATTAGCAGGGATATGACTGACCACTGAGACTGTGGATACCTCAGTTGGTAGAGTGTGATACTCTTAATCTTGAGGTTGTGGGCCTAAGCCACATGCTGGCCAAAAAGATTCCTACATTGCAGGGGGTTGGACTAAATGACCCTTGGGAGTATCTTCCAACTCTGCCAGTCTATGATTCTAAGAAAAGGTGGGGAGCCGAATCTAAATGTCTGCATCCCTCAAGACACAATCTTAGCACTGATGGAATACAGATTGTGGCGGTGTAGAGATGGCCTACTGCTGACAGTATTGCTTTTCCCTCTTGTCTTAAACTGAGCTTTGTAACTTTCACTTACGTTATCAAAAGATCTTTTTCTTTTTTCATTTGTGAGAAGTGGGGGATTTATTCTATTTCACTGATTAAGAGGGAGATACACAGCCTTTAAGGGAAAGTCCATAAAATAACAGGGACATTGCTGCAGTGGGAGGGACTAGCTTTATTACTTTTTTGTCTGAAACTTTTATTATACCAGTTAGGGTTACTATAACTGTAAAATCACTGCAATAAAATGAATAATAAATTCACAGAATTGTAGTGCTGGAGCGGATCTTGAGAGTCATCCAGACTAACAACCTGCAATGCAGGAATCTCAACTAAAGTATCAATGACAGAGAGTCCACCACCTTCTGAGGGAGTTTGTTCCATTGTCAAACAGATCTTACTGTCAGAAAGTTATTCCCAATGTTTAGTCAGAATCTCCTTTATTGTAACTTGAAGCCATTGGTTTGGGTCCTACCCCCTGGAGCAGAAGAAGAGCTTGCTCAATCTTCCATGTGACAGCTCTTTAGATATTTGAAGATGGCTATCATATCTCCTACCAGTCTCCTCTTTTCAAGACTGAACATACTTAACTCCCTCATAAGGTTTGGCTTCCAGACCCTTGGTTGCCCTCCTCTGCACATAGTTCCAGCTTGTCACTATCCTTCTTAAATTGTGGCATCCAGAGCTGGGAACAGTACTCCAGGTGTGGTCTGACCAAAGCAGAATAGAGCAGTACTAGGACTTTCCTTGATCTGGACACTGTACCACTTCTATACTTTTACATCTTCTCCACACAGTGTACCTACTGCTTGCTTGTTCTTCCTCTTCTTTTGAACATAGCCAAAAAAACCTTTTATTATTGTTTTTAACCTCTCATGCAAGCCTGAGCTCGTTATGCCTGACCTTCTCCCTGCCACTGCTGGCTACTTCATGATTTCAGCTTGCTTCCATTTCTTATACAGGCCCTTCTTACATCTCAGCTCAGCTGTAAATGCAGCTATAATGGTTTCTTCAGATGCCTCCCACTTTCCTTTCTTGTTGGAATTATCTGCACTTGTGCTTTCAATATTTCACCTTTAAGAAACCCCCTTCTCTTTGAGTATTTCTGACCATGGGATCTCATCCAGTAGTTCCTTAAACTGTACTGAACATTGAGTTTCCAGTGTGAGAACAACTCATGTCCCATTCCCTTCCCAATTCCCAGATTTCTGTACAATGGTACCTCGGGTTACGTATGCTTCAGGTTACATACGCTTCAGGTTGCAGACTCTGCTAACCCAGAAATATTACCTCGGGTTAAGAACTTTGCTTCAGGATGAGAACAGAAATTGTGCAGCAGCGGCAGCAGAAGGCCCCATTAGCTAAAGTGGTGCTTCAGGTTAAGAACAGTTTCAGGTCAAGAACAGACCTCCAGAACAAATTAAGTTCTTAACTTGAGGTATCCCTGTCAGCGGATAGGCTGGCTGGGCTCTGACATGGCCGGGATCCCCCAGGCAATGGGGGACAGAGTCCTCCGCCCCTGGTGGGGAGTGGGTGGCCACACGGTCCACCACAATTCCTCCCCACTGGGAAGTGGAGCAAATTTGTCACTTTTGAATTTCTGTAACCTTAGCCTTTCTGTACACAACGTGAAAATCGTTTTTGGTTACCTTTGGGTCTGGGAGCCTGAAGATCTTAAGCTGCTACTTGTTGAACTTAATTACATAATCATTAGCCTCTCCTTTTCCTGGTACTAATCTTTTAAAATTTCCTGTAAGTGTTGAAGTAGTGAAGACACCAATTATAGAAAATTTCTCTTTATCTGTCACCTTCCATATGGAAAGCTACATGGGAGGGGGAAAGGGTCTACCATAGCTTTCTCCTGACATCATAGATACCCCCACCTGTGTGTAGGCTTTTTTTTCGTCATGTAGCACACCCATACATACCTGAAGTCCAAAACTAGGTTTGTTGGCTCAACTGATGTTTGTCGGTTTTATCATAGTAAATATCAGACTGTAGCTGAGGCCTTATTTCAACTGATCAGGACTATTACCCTCATTGTGTCTTGCATACAGTATATTTGTTAATGCAATCTTATTATTTGCCTATTTTGTAACAACCTTAAACCTTACCTACATACTTTAAGTTTATTAATTTCACTGGGTCTGCTCTTCGTAAAGCTTAGTTGAATACCACCCTAAGTAAGGATAACCTTTTTTCTTTATGCTGCTTGCAGATCCTCATATGATTTGCAAACTGACTGAGCGTGTTTCTCACTCAGGTTTTCAAATTATTTAAGGAGTTGTTGAACTGCAGTGGAGCCAAGACATACCTTTGTGGGATACAACTTTTTTTACTTTTTTGTAATTAATGTTTGCCTTCTGGGATATGTCATATGTGGTTTATCACATACTGTGATTGTGCTTGGAAGGTGCTTGCTCTACAGTCAAAACAGTTGAAAAGGCTACTTTTGCATTTGTGCCTTCAATATTTCGCTTTTAAGAAACTCCCTTAACTCTGAGTATTTCTGAATATTTTCAAGATTCAGCTGATCATGAAAATTTGTATTTTTGTTTTACAATATTAAATATATTCCATCCTGAAACTACTTATGCACGAGGGATGTGTTTTTCTTAGCAGCCATATTACAGCATCATTGTGAACAATTGTGGATATGTTCTTTATTATTTATGTAAAGGATAAATATATTCCCTTCCCATTGCTTTTTTTTCAGAGCAAAACATTTCCTAACTCTTATTTGAATACAGTTGCTATTTTGAAAAGCTTTGCTGTAACACAGTTCAATGCTTCATGGTATGCTTTTTAAATGTTTGTATTTTAATTGAGATTTGTTTGGTGCCTCTTCCATTCTATATATTTTGGCTAAAATGGAGAAGCAAGTATAATTTATGTTGGGAATATGCTCCAACACCAGGAGCAAACATTACTAAAACTTGGGTGCTCAGTCTCCTAGGAGCTCTAGTAATGATTGTGATCATTTTTGTTTTGTAACAAAAGTGAGAATTGGAGTTTCCTTTTAAGCTAGGAGTTGATCCTGATCTATGTGGCCTTAAGTGTATAAGTGATATGGGATGTGCCATCCTTATTCTTCTTATCTTGGAACCCCTGCACACAAGGAGGCAGTTCTATCTGCCTGGTTTGTTGGGCATCCAGTGTATTGTATAATTTCTCAGTACTACCTTGCCGGAGGCACCTTTGCTCATTAGGCATAGAATACACCCTTCTCTCCTCTACCTGAGCCTCTAAGGTAGAAAGAAGATAAAGAGAGCTTAGAGTCAATATGGTAAAATAAGATGGGAACCTTTGCATTCTTACTACAGTGCAGCCATTGAATGACTGGAATGGTTATATGTGCAGTAATCAGTGAGGTAATATTTACATAACAGAGTGTATGGTTACATAAACATTGTGAACAAGAGTTATAACATAGGAGTGGTATTCTCCTGATCTTATAACAGTCATTTGCGTATATGAGACTTAAAAGTACATAAAAATTTAAGATGAGCAATTCTTTATACACAATAGTTGGTGCACTGTATATTTGGACAGAGATTAAGACAAACTAAATAATAGTACAGCAGTCACTAGAAACTAACCAGCAATTATCCTCAGATGACCCCATCTTAATTCTATGTATTAAACTGCTTTTAAACTTAAGTTTACATCCAGTATACGTTCTGTATATTAAAGGAGATGTTTGACATAAAGCAACCCCTGGGAAGGGGGGAGAGAAGTAGTCTTCTCTGCATTTTTTAAAAAAGAAATGGTACATGTTCTTATTCATTTTCTCTGCAAAAGTAAGCATCATTATGTAGAGTTTTCTGAAATTGCCATTTGGGGAAATATTTCTAATTGAAATATAAATTGGTGATGAAAAGAAGAGAAAATGTTTGGTTTTCTCTTCTAAACCTTTCATTAGAAGTGTGTGAATTTAATTTATGAATTCTTGCTATGGTTCTGATAGCAAAGGCTCGATGCATAAGTGTTTGTATAATGGAGAACTTTAATATCTTTTAGATTGAATTCTAAATAGGAACAGCATAGCAGGCTCAGAACTTAAGTAGCTATAATACTAAACCAAAAAATACCTCAATTCCCAAATGCCATATATAACCAACCTAGAAATACCAAAACAGCAAAGGGCCTTCACTTTGGCCCGAGGTCAGGCCTTCCCCTCAGCTATCCAGGAAGGCCGTTTTAGGAAGGTACCTTACGGGGAGGAGAAATGCCCCTGTGTCTCAGGGCAGCTAGAAACTATTGAATATGTCTTCTTCCACTGCCAATATTATGCAGATGTGTCAAGTTCATCCTGCCAATTCTATACCAATTCTCTGCACAGACAGAGCAATGCTATACCTCCTTGCTACTTCAAGATGCAAACCCAGATGTAACATACTCAGCTGCCAAATTTTGCACTGCAAAGATGGACATTCACCAAAGAATGGTTTGGGTCATGTACCAGACCTAAACTCAAGACCCGTGCCCTCTCTTGCACCCTCCCTTCTATAGTTACTTTTGCAACTGCTTGCTCTTAACTCTCTAGCTGATTTTAAGTCTCCCTCATGCATCCCCCCCTTCTTTGAGTCACTCATTTTACCCATTTTATTTCCTAAATTACTGTGTGTTCCTATTTTAACCTATGCTGGTCTTTGACCGTAATAAAGATGATGATGATGATGATGACAATACTATTCCGTACAGTTAATGGAATGTCATTTTCTAATTCTTTAGCTGGGTGATAAATGTTACATTGTGCAAATCTTGTACTTGAGAACTATGTTAAGTTAATCAGGGTCCCTTCAAATTAGTTTTATCTTCTCCATGTATTTAGTGGAAACAGGAAAACTGGACCTGCTCCAGTCACACAAGGCAGCTTCCTGAATCAGGAACTAAGATTATTTGTATATATAAATAAATGTTAAGAGGAAATTTTAGATTCTTTTTTTTGTGATCTTTCATTTTCCAGATTCACATTGAATGTATTGAAACAGACTGTAAGGGACACGATTTTAAGTGGTTAGTGGTGAGGTAAGTAAGTTTACATATCAGCATGTATTAGTCCTCTCAAAACATACTGTAGCTGAAATTTACCAGCTTTCTACAGGGTGCTCAAAGCTCCTTCAGCCACAGCAAGTTCATCTTGTATACAGCTGTTGGCAACACTATTTTCATTGTTTGCTTATATATTCTTCAGTAGAATCTAAAACTCGTTCATGGGTAACAGTTCCTCATTTTTTTGCTAGATTTCTCCCAATTTTCACTTGGCAGAAATAATTGCTATCTCACATGATTGGCTTTAGATTCCTGTGTGAGGGAATGGGTCTTCTACTCACACAGTGAGAGTGGTTGTATATCAACCCACATCTTCCATATCTACAATCCCTGTGTCTGCTGGAAACTCTGCCAACGAAGGGGAAACACTACAGAGCAATCTTTTGGGCAGTGGAGGAAAAGGGGAGGGTATAGCTGGGGGTGGGGTGGGATTGGCATGCCCCTATGCATTTCAGTCACATGGCAAGGTCTTTCAGATCCAAGCTAATCTATCCATTCCAATAATTTCTAGTTATGCTTTCAAATTTAATAATAGTTTCATACTTCCTTGACAGTTTTTCCTGTGCAAATATTTTACTCATTTTAAGAAATCCCATTCTGCTCATTTAGGAATTATTCACTGAATTTCTCAACCATGGATTCTAATCCTAACTCATTTTGTGAAAACAAATTTGTATTTATCAGTATATTAAAAGATCCATGTTAAAGTTTTTTACTGTTTTGTACTTTCATATTACTCAGATTCTTGAAAATACATCTTTTGAAGTAACTGAAGAATTAGAAAATGAAATATTACTCCTTTGGAATTAAAACACATTTATGTCCAGAGAATTATGAAACTGATTCCATTATCACAATGGGGCTTTGAATGTATTTTTAATCATACAGTAGGTTCCCCTTACCCCCCACTCGTCCACATGACAAACCGGTTGTGAAACTGAAGGGAGTTTCACAACAATTTGTGATATGCTAGTCATCAAAGAAAGTCACACATTATTATGCACTGTAGCAAAAAATGGACACAAACTTCTCTAATTTCAAGAATAGCAATATTTATGCACGGTGTTTGACCCACCTGCAGTTTGAATTTTGGTTGAAGTCCTAAGTAACTCATGCATTCAGTAGGATGTTGCAGATTATGCATCAGAGTAAACACATTATTACAGGGCCAGATTAATAATACGGAATTAATCAATTTTCAATCTCTGTATATGTTACATTTGTAGAATAGTGGCTGCTGAGTGAAGTGTGATGGTGTTTCTCCATGGGTAGTTGCTTGTGTTGCAACTTCGTTTCAGCTTATTTAAAACTACTACCACTGTGAAAGAGCAACTTGACACAAATAGTCTTCTGTAGGGCAAGGAGGCCTCCTCATGGCCAGTGGTCAGGGATGATGGGAGTTGTTGTCCAGCAGCATCTGGAAGACCACAGGTTAGCTATCCCTGCTGTAGGGAGTGGTTCCTGTGTCATTTTTTCAGTCGCATTGAAGACAAAATGAATGAATTGATCCTTACTGCCTTTTGTCTGTAAACAAAGAAAATCTATCTATAAAGATGCTGTAGTTAATACTGTGACTTAAAATATTCTTAGGAATAAGTTCTACTCAAATCACTTGCTTTGTAATAAGTGTTTATAAGATCCAAGGTCCTAATGTATTAAATGAATGTAAAGAAAAATGTGTGTGTGTGTTTTAAATTTCATACCATCATTTTATTTTTTTGAGAGGATAATATGAACAAGAGATCCTATGAACACTTTGTAATTCTAACTGCATTGTGATTTACTATTCTTATGGGGCAGATATTCCACCAACTCAATAACGATCAACATTGTTTTCAGTTTATCACACTAAGTTTTGGATAGTCAGTTAAATCTTGTCCTTGCATCATGCACTGTTAGTCATGAAATATAAGTGGATCTGTCAAATAAGTTTTTATTAATTAGAGCTTGATTCTTGTTGGCCCCAGGGACTAAACTCTTCTTCCACCCACTCAGAATGAATTAGAGATGTGAAGTGATGGTCTGAGACCAGTAATGGGCTTAGTATTTGCATAAAGGTTATTCTTTGATCTTAAAAAGTTGTTTTTTAAAAACTAGAGAATACTTGTAAGAGTAAATAAAGTAGGTTTGCCACAAACATAATATTTTTTAGGCTTTAAAATCAGTTTTTACATTATGTTTACAGTGGAGTGGTCTAAATACAGGCAGCATCTGTTTATTTGCATTAAAATATAATTTAAAAGTATACGTTCATTTTGTGATATTGGCTAAGTAGGCTTTGTGGGAAGAGCCTCTCATCAGTTCGGTAGCTGTCCAAATATTGTATCTACATCAAACATGTATCAACATTACCATTTTGAAAGGAAATGGTGGGAAATTGGGCTTACAGGATGTACATCCACCCGTCCGGCTGATTTAATAACTTTGTTGTCGTTATTTCTCTTTCTTGACAAGTAGGTGCTTTTTGTTTTAGCACTTTCAGGCAGCAAACTGCATCACACATAGAAAGCACTTTAAGACTGCAGCCTTAAATGTGTTACTATGCACCTTAACCTGGAAGTAAATCCTACTCAATGGTTTTTACTTTTGAGTAGAGATGTATAGGATTGCATTGTTCACATATTTGCACTTCACTTTTCTAAATCTTCCATCTCTAAAAAAAGTTAGCTTGTACTGTGAGGCCAGGTTTTCAGCACTTGTGCAAGTGCTTCTTCCTTTCTCCTTCCTCTCAACCAGTTGGAGCACTATAGCTTTCAGAAACCGAAGAGATAGCCCAAAATAGCATATTAGTTGTGCAATATAATTTAAACTCTTCTAAAACCTCTAATAATATGCCTCACAGTTGCAAAATCAGTTAAGGTTTTGTTGTATTATGATAATAAAATATTTTATGTAGCAGCCGTAACACAGTATCTTTACTAGGACCGAAAAGATTTGCTGATCCTAATAAAAATATTATGCCTTTGGATTCCCTCCTGCCCCCTCTAATAGGCCAACATGTCTGTCAGCAATACTACCGTATTGCCTTGAGTCTAATGTGCTATTGAATCTAATGCGCACCTCAATTTTCAGAACCTTGAAACCAAAAAAGGTATTTGCTGGTGAATGTAAATGTGCCATTGAATCTAATGCACACCTTAATTTTTGCAACGTAATTTGGCTAAAAACAGTGAGCATTAGATTTGAGTAAATATTATATTTTAACATTTAGGTCCTGCAGCATAGCTGCACAGAGCCCTTGGGGAATGAACAACATATTCACTAAAACATACACAATGAAACAGAATAAATTTAAACTATTAATAATCATTGCATTAAAAAACCAAAAGAACAAAATATAAAAACTTGACTGGTAGATTTGATTCAAGTTTCCTCATTAATCAGTAAGGCCTGAAACAGAATAGTTTTCTTTTAAAGGCTGGTGAAAATCTAGTTGACCTAGGGTGAGTCTTTCAGAAAAAAAAATGCTGCTGCAGGAAAAGGACATGTTCCTTGTCATCCTCAATCTAGCCTATGACAAAGATGGAGACCCTTGGTGTATGGGTATGGGGCTCATACTGAAATGATGCTCTCTAAAAATGCCAAAGCCATTAGAGCTTTATGGTTGAGCTTTAAAGAACTTTGAATTGTGTTTGGGAGCCATTATAGATCTCTTGGTACATGTTTTAAGTGCTCTTAACTTTTAACTCCTGATAATGAGGCTGTTGCATCTTGAACCCACTGAAGATTCTGAACAGTCTCCAGATGCAGCTGCTGCCCCACATAGAACATATTGTAGTAATCTAGACTTAAGTTTATCAGGCATGTAGCTAGGTCACCATTTTTCAGGAGTGCTTGCTGCTGACATACCAGCTTCAGCTGGTCAAGTGCTATCCTTACTGTGACCTGTTGAGGTTCCAGAAACATTCCCAAACGGCACACTTGCTCTTTCCTTGAAACTGCTAACCATTCAAATTAGGGGAACCCTCAGCTCCCAGATAAGGTCACTGATGAATATTTCCATCTTAAGACTAAACTACTGTTTATTCACCCTTACCCAACCCTGTCATTTACCCCAGGCACCTGTTTATAGCTTTCACCGTGTTATATGATGTCCTCTTGCGCTAAACATCAAGCGAATTTATGCTAGCAAGTTCATGTAAATATCTCAAAACAAAGGGGACAAATTGGAATCTTATAGCACCCAATGAGATGAGGCCAACATAAGATGCAGGAGAAGAATAATCACAAAGCAGTGCTACCAATCACATAATGTGACCCAGAAGGAGGTCCAGGAGATATATCATACTTCCTTGTGCATCTCTTGGCAAAGGTAATCAAAATGGTTTCAGTCCTAAAGCCTAATAATGTGGATCAATATAATCAGTAATATTCAGAAGTCTCAAAATCCTCACATCTCCTAGCATATTAGAAACTGGCAGGTAATTGAGGTCCATATGGGTCATTCTGTCCCCTCCTCCCAAAAAGGTCTTATAGTTGCTTTCAAAGGGGCAGAATACAGTTTTCCACAGAAGAGAGATAAATCTGGTCAGCCTATTCTGACCAATCTGGCCAGCCTTTCCTGACTCACTTAGGATGGGCAAGAGTAGTGTGTACACATGGATGGATTTGCTTTTTAAAGAACTCTGTATCCTCAGGTAACAACAACTGAAGCTCATTGAAGCAAAATTGATAATTTGAGACTGTGGACATGTCTTACATAGCTAAGTTGTGAGGATTGCCCATTCTCTACAAGCACACACACACATACACACACACAGCCTCCCAAGTACTGTATGTCACAATACTCCACTGGAGCTTGAATTTGATCAGAATGTAAGCCAAATTGTAATAGGCCTCTTACTATCTGAAAATGTTTCTTTGGATAGAATGATTCAGAAAACAAGGGCTTCAAGTGGATACCAGCCCATGCTTCTTTATATTTGTCCCAATGTCCCTTCTGCTTTATGTTCTCTATTTTCTGGAATACCAGGAAGAGTTATAGATTCAAGGACATGGAAGAAGACTCATCAGCGCTATCATATAAACTGCCTGAGTCAACCCCCTGTTCCAGAGGCCAGCTAGAGCTTTGACAGCTAATGAGATTGACTGGTAACATTTTGGTAATTCCTTGTACCAATCACCTTTAAGGGATGGAAATCTTCAATGACCCATCACTCCTTCCACAGACTAAAGTTATATTCTCAATTACCAAAGCAGTATTCCCTACCATCTGGGTACCATCACACTGATTGGAATAAAACATGTAATCCAGAGAATCATCTGCAACATGCATTGTGACAGTTAAACATGGAGACAGACATAAGGTGGCACCATGAACTCAGGAGGTCACAAAAGGGATCTTGAAATTGTCCAACACTGATAGGCTTGAGGACCTCAACACCAATTCTGATAACAAATCAATCAGCCTGTTACTCAGTAGTCAGTCCAGTAACAGAATCCCTGGTTCTCAGGCCTGGCACTGGGCATAATTGCCAGGTTGGTTCCCTTATAAAGTTCCTGTTTGAATGGTGGCCAAAGTGATGTTGTAGAGCAGCAGCTGTTGGCTCAGTTAGCTCCACTCCTTGAATTCTCCAGAGTTGGAAGAAAGGCCAGAAGCAGGGATAGCCCTTAATGCTCTAATCCCACTTCTGCTTTTCCTCACCTGCTCAGGCTTCACTCAAAAGCCCTACCATCCTGTCCCCCATACATTTCTAATAGAGGCATGCTCCACCTTAACAAATAGCATTGTACATTGCTATAACCTGCCCATCAACCTTGTGGAGGGCAGTTAAAAAATTAATAGTACTTAATAGTGCAAATTAATACTACAAATCAATAATACTTAAGTTAAAATATTTTCCTTGTTTAGCAGGGACAAAGAAAAACAAACTTCACTCCATAACCATAGCATTCTTCTCCAGCTGTCTCCTAGAGAAAACAGTTTCCTTGGGCCTTTGTTCACAAAGTACCCACCACTATATTATCTCCTCCAATCTCCTTCCTTCCTTCCTTCCTTCCTTCCTTCCTTCCTTTATCCACAGTTTTTTCAAGATGGAAGTCAAAATGCCATACATGGGTTTCCAGAACAGTCTTCCAGACCCATTTAGTTTCAGCATGCGGTTGCTTCAAACTTTGACCTTGATGTCATGCTTGCTCCCTCCAGGACAATTGCTCTTGAGATCACTGCTTAAGGCACTGGCTTAGTCTTTTGTTATCCCAGAGTATGCTGGAGTAAATACCTTCCTTTCCAAGTGTGAGAGACATAAACTACTAAAAAGTGCTTCAAACAGTTGAATATTGCAGATCGCAACACACCAACAATATTCAGATGCTATGAATCTTGATCTAAAGTGTTTGTATTTATGCACTTCCCTGCCAAATGAATGTGGAATTAATTTTCAGGTTATTAATGTTTGGACATCTGACAAGCCACTTCTCAAAGTGTTTTGAAAATTAGGTTAACTCTGGGCATAGTGCCAGTAGGAATGTGAGAGAGGGGCCTCTAGTTATGCTACCCCGTAAGGTTTGATTAAATTGTGAAACCCAAACAAATCATAAGAAAGACAAAGGCTGCATTCTGCACAACTTTAAAAAATCTTTAAGCAGTGATTTCATAAAACAAGTACATTTTTATAGGTATCTTTAGCAAGTCACGCTGCATTTTCTGTAATGTTCTAATATTAGAAATATGCCACGAAATTAATAATGTAGTTCATGTTTAAACTGTATTGATATATTTAAAAAATCAATAGCTCCAAAGTAACTTTAAAAACATCAACCTTCTCTCTGCATGTTGAATAAAATGTTCCACTCAGTGCACTTAATATTTCAAATAAAAGGTGTTGAAGCTCCCAGCCTGCCTGGAAGTTCCAGTATCTTGCTCAGAAATCTTTTATGCTAATCCTAGATGTGTGGCTCCAGGCTGAAATTTCTCAGTGGTGAGAGGAAACATGGCCTCCACTTTAACAGAGATGTTATTACTGCACATGTTTCAAACCTGAGTGCCGGCATTAAAAATAAAAAAAGTTCTGAAACTGATGTCTTGTGCCAAATCTAGGCATGATGCCCACAGTTTTGTCCTCTGTGCTGCTTGTAGTTTTCTGAGCTGTGTACTCCAGACCTAATATGTGTCTTGTCACAGTTCATGCTGTGGCATGTCTTAGAGCTTGATCCTATGCATGTTTTTGGTTGCAATTCTAAACACATTTTCCAGCAAGTAAGTTCCACTGAGTACAGTGCAATGTATATCTGAGTAAACATGTGTAAGATTCTGTTGTTAGCTCCCTATTTACCGTTTATTTAGCTTGCAAGGATTGTTTGCATTCCAAGTCAAAGTGGAGATTTATGCAGTGGGGGAGCCTACATTAATGGTGATTTTATTTTAGTAGCAATGAGGTAATCAAATATGCTGTTCTTAGAGGCTTGAAATTTGTCTGCATTCATGGAGACTTTTTGCTGGTAAATCTGCATCTGTGTAAGTTAACAGGAAATAAGTCCTATTTAGCTTGGGGTGATTTACTTCTGAGAAAACACATTGGGCTATGAAAGGATAATAATAAGTGGATACTCGTTACATATTTATTTTAAAGGGCTCTGAGGCACTCAAGACAGATCACAACTAATCTGTGAGCAATGAAAGTTTGATCAAAGCCAGAACAAAAACTACTGCAATCAAAAAAGGCTGGGCAGCAGATAATGCCAACCAAAAGTCTTAGTTTGAGTAGAAACTAAATTAATATGAGATAACTGTGATGCAGTCAAAATATTATCCTTGGGGATGAAATCTGTGTATGGAAGTGTACTTACATATAGCATCTAAATATGAACATGCATTCTGCATTTGGGATAAATGCATACTTTGAAATGGATATTAACAGTTACTTGCATTGATTACCATAAATATTCCAAAACACTTTGGTTCCTGTCTGAAGATAGATGCTCACAGTAAGTGGCCTATGACAGCAGATGTGAATGCATGTTTGCCATCCACCTTGTAATACTGTTGTAATACGCCAACTATGCGGCTGGGTAGTGTTTGTGAGGTTATCATTGGACAATTCTCATCCTATTTTGAATCCCAACAATGGATTCCATGCACAGAAGCCCTGTTCCACACACAAGAAAAGAAGTATGGAAAATACATTATAGCAGCTCAGGCATTGCATGAAATGCTATGGAAGGATAGTCTGATTGCCATGCAATGTAATTCACACACATCTCTGTTCACTCAGATAAGCAAATACTGGTAGATAAGCAAATACTGAAAATAAATGTTAATATATAGCTATCCTTTCCCCACCTCCTTTAAAATGCTTGAGAGAGATCTGCAGTTGTTGTCAAGGCTCTGTTGTTACCATAGATGCAGTTCTGAAATAAATAGAGCTGCTTAGTCCTTTATGGAGAATCACAAATATTGTATTAGTGGCACAGCCCTTCAAAAAAGTTAGGACCTAACAAGAATCTGAAGAACCATAAGCCACTGTTTTCAGCAGGATGACACTGCTTTATTTTGCTCTTTATTGTCACTTTTCTATGTATTTCCACTTTTAACTTCACACATTTGAAAGGTGCCTAGAAAAATATGCCTTCTCTTCTTTCTCCACTGCTTCCCATTTTTAAAAATACAATATTTACATGGTGCTGCAGATTGATGACCAAGTTTCCTCAAATTATTCAGTGGGCCACAAAATATTTATTGTATTTCTGTCCTAAAACTTCCAGTGGACATCTGTCAAAGACATAATTAGGTTCATGCCCAATTAGCTTCACAAACGCTATACCATTAGGCATTCTCAGTCTCCAACTCCACCTCAACATGTAATCTTTTGTTTTAAGGTGTCAGATCACTTTTGGCTTAGTTTTTTTAAAAACAAAAAACCAAAATAACACAATGTTAGAAAAAAAACAAAGAAGGAACTTAATGGGTTTTACCCAACTAACTTACTCAGAGTAAACCCGTTGAAATCAATATATCAGTAAGTTAATCAAGTATTTAATATTTTGGTATATTTTAATGTAAAAATACATTTTGGTTATCACTGATACTCAGTATTGTGTGTGTGTATCCTATGATCATGATGGTCAAAACAATAAACTGTACAATGCAACCTATGTTTGATAGGACTAATATGGGATACAACTCAACTTTTATAAGTACTTGTACCCAGTTAATTTTTTTTTAAGATATGTTCAACAAATTCCAGGAACTTGAAAGTTACCATATCTGGTCTCCAATGCTGTAGCAGGGTCCTTCATATTTGCATAATACAGTGTGCCACAAGCAAGAAAGCAGAAGAGGTTAGGTCTTGTATCAATAGACTGAAGGCATTCATCTCTGCATAGTTCCATCCTTATTCCAGACATCATGATATATCAGTATATTGCGATGTTGAAAACCGCATATTGCTCAGCCCTAGTGATGAGACATCTTTCCATTGTTAGAATGTGAGTATTTAAGCAGTCAGGGCTCTTCACAAGATCCATTTGTTTATCTGGGTACGAGGTTTCATTTTGCTGGGATATGTATTCATCCCTGAAAAGCAGAGTGTCATCTCTAAGGTGAAGTTAAACCTAGTATGCGCTTCCATCAAAGGTGTTGTAATAATCACATGTTGCCAAAACTCTATTGCTTTATTTTGTGTCATTTTATAGTCAACCCTTCCTTGAAAATGCTAAAGGCAGTGTACATTATTCTCTTCCACTCTCCCATCTCTCTCTCTTTCTCTCCCTCCTCCATTTCAGTTGCTCTGTGAGAGAGGGACTGGCCCAAGTTGCCTAGTGATCTACATTTTGGAGTAGGAATATGAACTTGGGCCTCTCTGGTCTTATTATCATATACTTGTCTGACGTCCACACCTCTAGCTAGTAATAGAGTCTTTAATTTGATTTTTAAATATCCATTTAGGGGTCCAGTTGGTGAAAAATGTGCATTTATGTTAAATCAACTGAAGAGTAAACATTTTCATTGAACCAAGTGCAACCTTTCCTTGTCCCTTCTTAAAGAGGTTGGCAATGGCATATAGAAATGTAGTTAATTGTGAGCTTACCAGCTAAGAAGGATTTTATAATGGATGGTTTTGGTTCCTGGGATTCAAAATTTAATGAATTTAGGCATAATACTCAGCCATGTGCTTATGCAGTTAGGGATTTTGGGTTTTGCTTTTAATAGAATATTAATCTCAAAATAGAAGATGTGGTGTGCATTGAACCTGGTGTGATAGTGTGAATTCTGGGAATTTTCAGTGAAACCAATGTATGAGCAGCATTACTATTAAAGATACATAGGTGTTCTCAACACTTTGGATACTACCTTCAGCTTATAACCTAAGAAAATAGCTGTGCAAATATTTTTAAAGTCCTTTTTCTGTGTTTTTTAAAGCAGGTATGGAGAAGCATGTTTCTCTCTGTACATCATCCTTCATTAAGGCATATGAGAAAGAGATTCAATATACATATTAAACTGAAATCTAATTATTAACTGAATTGCTGTTTTTGAGTAGCACTTGCAAGTGTTGCAATTAAGTGATACAATTAGCTTCCATGGAAGCAGATTCTTAGGTGTTACCTTGGTTGCAAACTATTCTGCCTGAAATGGGTATTGTGTTATTTGTTACATAACTACTTTTAAGTTCCCCCGTTGATCTGTTAACAACTGATCAAGCTTCAATATACCGTACTTCTCCGTGTATAACACGAGGTTTTCTTTAAAATAATGTTTGAAAATGGGGGTTGTCTTATACACTGATAGTGCATGGGGGGACGGGTGATTGGTTGCAGCCGCGAGCAGGAGCTTGTCAGCGGCGATTTGGTGTGTGATTCGTTGCTGTTGCAAGGGCTGCTTTGGATTGGCTGCTGCTACGGTAATTGTGTGGGTGATTGGTTGCTGTGGAAAGGGTTGTTTTGGATTGGCTGCTGCTGCGGCAAATGGGTGTGCGATTGGTGAGCGGGCACACTTGTTGGATTCTGCGATGTGAGCGATTGTAAGCATTTTCATTCTGATTAGTGATTTTTGGCATCCCCCCAAAAAAGCTTAACATCCCTGGGCAATCCCCCCCAAAAAAGCTCAACAACTCTGGGCCATCTCCCTCCATTTTCTTAAATTTGAGCCCCCCAAAATAGGGGTCGTCTTATACAGGGTGTGTGTGTTATACACGGTATATTATCCTGCATTGATTGTTGTTGTTGTTGCTACTGCTGGAAACTGATTTCTTTTCCAGATAAATGCCTGTTTTGCTTTGTCTCCGAACACAGAAAATTGTGCTACTGTATTTACACTATTAGAATAAATGTAATTCACAGAAGTTCATGTACAGGAGAGATGTTCTCAAAAAGCAGCTGGAAAAGTGTCCTGTTGTGCACATAGGAAACAAACATGAATTTCCTTCCTCTGTAGTTTAATTCTAACGTTTTCCTTGCTTTGTTTGAATCAAGGGCTTGCTGGATGTGAATAAACAGAGCAGCACCTGCAAATTTGTCATAAATGGAAATAGCTTGATAGCTAAGCATAACAGTGAAATCATAAAGAAATTTAACTGTTTATTAAAAGCTCAGTAAACATCTATCAGCATTAAGAAAATACATGAAAATACTGTGAAGGAGAGGAAATATTGCATAAGAGTTTATGACCATTTCATGTGGGGATTCCATTCCCAGCCCCCACATGAATTGACAGGATGCATATGAACACACCCTACCCTGTTATGCCTCATTATGCCCCACTCCTGTTCCCCTCATTATGCCCTTTTAGTGATGTGTTTTGTGATCTTTTCTGTCAATTCCAGGTTGGGTGCTGTGCATGTGTCTTTCAGACGTGCATTAATCAGTCATTGCCTGTATTGCTTTTAGAAATCAGTGATGATGCTTTTAGAAATCAGTGGTGTCTCTTTATGAACTGTCAGCTTTGAAGGCCTCAGCATCTCCTATAGTGTTGGAGAAAATAGTTGGATTTTGCAGAAAGCTAAATCCATAATAGTAGTTTATAAGTGTTTATTGCAGTGTTGTAAATTGGATATTCATGAACTTGGATATGAATGGAATATGGAGTTAGTGTTTCAATTCATTTCGAATCCAGTGTCCGCTAATGCTTGTACATGGAATAGCAAAGCGTAGATGTCATGATGTCTGAACTGGACCATTGTTGTGCACTTTCTCTTTCTTGCTGTATATTTTGCCTAAGATATGTAAAGGTCTTTGGAAGTACTGAGTGCAAAACATCCCCAGCCTGGTGCTTTCCAGGTGATTCCCATCATCCCTGACCATTGACTATGTTGGCTAGTACTGATGGGAGTTGTAATCAAAAACATATGGAGGGTACCCGGTTTGAGAAGGCTGTTGTAAAGGCTAACTACAATGAAACAGCCTGGCACCTTTTTGTATGTGACTTTTCCCTAAGCAAAAACTATGCAAGCAAACTTTTGTGAACTAGTACCCATCAGTTTCACTAGCTTTGTTAAGATTGCAGTATTGGAATTTGACAGTTGGGAACTTCCTGTATCTTTTTGGCAGATGCTTGGGCATCAGAAGATTATACAGTGGTACCTCGCAAGACGAAGGCCTTGCAAGACGGGAAACTCGCAAAACGAAAGGGGTTTTCGTTTTTTGAGCTGCTTCGCAAGACGATTTTCGCTATGGGCTTGCTTTGCAAGACGGAAACGTCTTGCAAGTTTGTTTCCTTTTTCTTAACACCGTTAATACAGTTGCGACTTGACTTCGAGGAGCAACTCATAGCACGCGGTGTGGTAGCCTTTTTTGAGGTTTTTGAAGACTTTGGTGATTTTTGAAGCTTTTCCAAAACTTTTCCGACACCGTGCTTCGCAAGACGAAAAAATCGCAAGACGACAAAACTCGCGGAACGAATTAATTTCGTCTTGCGAGGCACCACTGTATGTAGTGGAATATTGGTGGTCATTAGTATGTAGATTTGGAGTGTCAAGTAATGGGTGAATGAACATGTTTTGCTGTTAAAAGTGATAGGCCCGGCAGCAAATATTATTTGTATTGTTGTTTTTTACCTTCTTTGCCACATAATTCATATGTATTATCAGACTTTTTTCTGATAGTGAATTAGGGCAGAAAAACCTCAGGTATCTGGGACTTAAATGCCTAAAGATCTGCTTCTGGTGTCTAGGCATTTAAAATATTAAATCAGTTCTGTGTAAGGTTGGCACTTTAAAAACTTTGGTGCTGGCTTCAGTCAAAGCTGGTGTTTCCCTGTTTATAAAATGCCCTCCCTAGTAAGATGTGGCTGTCCCCATCATTATTAACTTTCAAGAGGCATTTGGAAACACTCCTGTGTATTACCCAGGCATTTTGGTGACTGAAGAAAACTGTTCCTGGGAACTATGAGATCACTTCATGAAATAATGTTGTTAACTGGAACTGCTTTTAGAATGCTTTTAACTGTAGCTGCTTTTTAAATGTTTTAACTATAATTGTTTTTAGTATATTTTAATTGTTTTAGTATTTTTTCATATTTAAATTATGGGTGTGTTTGCCACCCTGGGCTGCTTTCGGAGGAAGGGTGAGATATAAATGCAATAAATAAATATGAGAACCTGGACAAACACATAGTGCTATCTTTTCTAGCACTATCTATGACAGTTCAAAACTTGCTGCATATAATTTTTGAATGCTTCTTTTCCTTGGAATATCCTCAGTTGGAGGCAGCAAGGCTTCCAAATACCAGTTGTTGGAAACCACAGGAGGAGAAAGTGCTCTTGTGCTCATGTTTCCCACAGGCATCTGGTTGATGGGATGCTCTGAGAATGGGATGCTGGACTAGATGGACCATTGGTCTGATCCAGCAGGCTATTCTTATATTCTTACATTCCATGTTGAAGGATATGTTTTGGAATTTATGGTAAAGCCGTTGATCACTTTCTTGGCCTTCCTATTTTTCACATGCCCTTTGTAACAGTTGTCAAAGAGAGCAAGAGTTATTTTGCCTAATTTTGCCTTAGTTCATAACATTTGTTTTCCTCCAGTCAATACTCTTTTTATATTGCATATATCCATAGCAATAAGAAGTGAGAGTAACTGGAGCAACTGTTGCTAGGTACTGTGACTCTGTTTCCAAGTTTATATTAGAATTCATAAGTACCCCTTTATGAATAAAATAAGAAATATAATAGAAAAGTCAAATAAAGCCTAACTTCATTTATATGCAGATAATTTGACATTTCAGTCAGAAGAAATTTGGATTTCCAAAATGCATCTTAGCAAGTGATTAATTTTTGGCATTTTAAAGTGTCCTAATTTATTGTTTCCCTGCAGTTTAATTTCAAATGGAGGCAAAGGTACAGCAAAGCTGTTGGTACACTTCTAATTTCATGGACATTTATTAACATGTCTCATTGATTTTAGTGGAATTTAGTTCCATATGAGCATATGCAATTAAATTGAATTTTATCTTATTGATGGAAATGGTGCTGAAGTCACTAAGCAATTTACATTTGTGTAAGAATTTTAATAGGAATTCTGCTCTGAAAAGATTCTCCTAATGATGTATCTATTTCAATGAACATGTGGGAGTTTGGGGAATGTATAATGTCATAAAATGGGAGCAGGGTTATGACAAGCTATGCTTTCTAAAAGCTAATTATTAAGCAGTTAGCAGCTACATATGATTGTAAATTTGATTAAACCCCAAAGCCACTTCTCTTTTTCTATACATGTAAATATAGTTAACCTTAGAGATGCACTTGACTGTTTATAATGTACAAAGAAGCACATTTTCTGGAACATAGGCATGGAAATCTCCAAAATCTGCTTTCCCGCTGCCAAAAAATAGCATATAAGTTAAGGAAACATGAATTAATGTGCTTTAGCAACCCTACCCCTCAGTTCTTTAACCTGGTAGTCTAGGCTCCCTATGAATTTTATTTATTTGAAATTGTATATTACAGAATTAGCTGTGCTTTACACACTTTTACAGTAAGCGTTCCTAGCCTTCTAGATCCTTTGAATACCCAACAGTGCCACCTAGCATGGCCAATGGTCAGGAATGATGTGAATTGTAGTCCAAAACGAATAGAGGGCAACAAGTTGAAGGAAGGCTGCTCTACATTTCTGCTCTCTCCCCATCTGGCAAAACTAGTGGTTGGGATCCCAAACATGTGGTTAGTCCTAGAGGTTTTAACCACTAGGAATTTCATATCTACCACCAGAACCTAACCTCTTTCACAGCTAAATGATGCTCCTGACTCCCAATGTGAATGTGGCTTTGTTTAGTTGAATTATTATAGCTTTAATAATATTAATATTAATAATAATAATGGTAATATAAAGCGTGACCTAGCCAGTGCTATACACTTTAATCTCCAATTTATTTCAGTAGAATTGTTAAACATGTGCTTAAGCAGAGAACATTAAAGCACAGATGGTAGTGGCACTGTGACAGAAGAAAATGTGTTTCTTCTATAATAAAAAACATTAACTGTAATATCTCTGCATCTGACCCACCAGGAAGTGGCCCCTGTGCCACTCTGGTATCCTATGAATCAAACATCAAATGTTACTTCTGGTGATAAATTGTGGGACTTGAGACTCCAGCACACCATGGGCGAGCAGATGGTTGAAAGCATGTACACCACACATTTTTTAAAAAGTTGACTGTTGAGAAGGCAGCACTTCAGATGAAAAGCCTTCCAATCTGCAAAGGCTTTTAAAGGTAATCACCTGCACTTTGAACTGGGTCTGGAAACAAATTGGTAGCTAGTGCAGGTGTTTCAACAGGGCAGTTACTTGCTCCAAGTAAGCATCTCCATTTAATAGCCTGGCTGTGGGAGTACGGGAGGTGATAGTGGAGTGGCTTGATAGCCAGCAAGATGAACACATAATTTTCTAGCTACTGATTTTATCTGCTAATAAATCAGCTTATCAGACCTGATGCTTGAACTGAAAGAAATGCATTAAAACATGGACAATGAAACAAAGATCTCAGCAACAGTTAGATCTGAGTTTAAAGTCCCATATTCCCATCTGAAATAGACTGGAATTGCCAAGAACTTAGGGAGACAAAACTGAATATTACATGGCAAAGAGCTACCTGAAGCTGTAAAAAAGTGCCAAACTTGTGGGGAAAGGGCCAGGCGACGGAGAGTATAGTTTGTAAAATTAAAATGGGGAATTATTCAGGCTTGGACTAAGAGCTAATATAGGGGATGCTGTTAGAAATTAAATGGTCTGTGAGAAATAGAAGGGGAAACGCAATGCACTTTTTACTCCACTGCATCAGTTACAGTTGTCCTGATGTGAAATTGACATTAAGAAAGAACATGACATTAAGAAAGAGGTCTCCAGGAGTGGACTGCTTATATAATTTCCATACCCTTGCAAATGGTAGTGGTTAGCAACAATAAATCCAAATCTCACTAGGTAATGGGGGTGACTCAGTGCCCACCCCTCGCAACCATCCTCAGCCCACCTGGTGGCAAACAGTGTTGACACATCCTAATGAATCTTCCTGAGTTAAAGAATGGCCACTACACAAATTTTACACTGCTTATACAGTGGTGTTTCTTGTCAAATCAAGGCCACAGTAGTATATATGAATTTTACTGGCACTCATTAGTGACCTTGGCTAGGACAGAAAGAACATTTGACTGTGGAATAGAAGGCAGGCAAGGCTGGATAATAAAAAAGGCTTCAAGAGGAGAGATGAGTCATAGACATACAAAGATAAAAGCTTTGCAAATGATACACCCACAGAATCTTATCATAAGCAACATTTTACTTTAGCTCCTATTAATGGGAGTTTTGAGAAATTATGTAAGAACTTTAAAGGGCTCACTCTTAACTTGATGGGAGGTTATGAAAGAGAATATGTAGCCAGAATATTCCACTTGGGAATCAGAAAGCTTTTTTTAAAAAAAATATTAATATGCTGTTAATATTAGTAGCTCCTTACTTTAGCTGGACAGCTGTTAAGAGTTGTATGGAAACAGTTTGTAAAACAAACCCCAATATTTGATTATTATTTTTGCCTTTGTGTCTATTAAAAAGACAAGAAATGTATATATTTGCTCATGCTTTAATAACCACAGATTTGTATAACAGCATTATAATGTTGGTGGTTTTATTTTCAATCCCTTTGCTATGAATCCCTAGTATGGAGATTACTCTTTCATAGCAGTAGTGTTTTGCACTGACATTTTCATCAAGGCATCCACCAGCAGTAGTCAAGAGTCCCTTTTCTGTTCAGTCATTTGCAATCATCTGTATACATAATTAACATTAGTTCTTATGGGGTTGCCATGGAGAAAGGTATTTAAAGTTACCAAGGGCTTCCTTTGACACTTTAAAAAAATTATTCAGATTATGGTTCAAGATTCAGGTAGGTAGCCATGTTGGTCTGACACAGTCGAAATATATAAAAAAATAAAAAAGTTGTCCAGTAGCACCTTAGAGACCAACTAAGTTTGTTCTTGGTTTAAGCTTTCGTGTGCATGCACACTTCTTCAGATTCAGATTGTGGTATCTGTGAAAAACAGTACTCAGTTGGGCTGGTCTTAACTTGCTATGTGAATACATATTTTGTTTTATTGAGAGCCAAACTGCATATGCAAACTGCACCTCATGACTTTTTTTAAGATTGAAAGTGGAGAAATGGTGGGGAATGGGAAGGGGGGAACTTAATATTTTACCTGATTGCAATTTCCAATTTCCTTGCATCAGAGCCTCCCTGTGGGGGGAAATATCCACGGGGAAATGGGAAGTTTTGCATTTATTTCTTTTATCTTAAGCTTAGTTTCAATAGATTATGGGAACTAGGGGGCTGGGCCCAAAGGCTTCAAGATAAAAGAGGGTTTTGCAAAGGGTTTTGAAGTAGGTAAAGGTAAGGTAAAGGACCCCTGGACGGTTAAGTCCAGTCAAAGGTGACTATGGGGTGCTGCGCTCATCTCGCTTCAGGCAGAGGGAGCTGGCGTTTGTCCACAGACAGCTTTCTGGGCCATGTGGCCAGCATGACTAAATCGCTTCTGGTGCAACACACAGGTGTTCTAGCATTTTGTTTTGGGCATAGGGGGCATCAAAGGAGAATGAACAGAGTTATCTGAGGGAACAGAAGACTTTTGGAAGGAGCTATGAATGGGTAAGGGATGCGGGTGGCGCTGTGGGTAAAAGCCTCAGTGCCTAGGACTTGCCAGTCGAAAGGTTGGCAGTTCGAATCCCTGCGGCGGGGTGCGCTCCTGTCGCTCAGTCCCAGTGCCTGCCAACCTAGCAGTTCGAAAGCACCCCCGGGTGCAAGTAGATAAATAGGGACCGCTTACTAGCGGGAAGGTAAACGGCGTTCCGTGTGCTGCGCTGGCTTGCCAGATGCAGCTTGTCATGCTGGCCATGTGACCCGGAAGTGCCTGCGGACAGCGCTGGCTCCCGGCCTATAGAGTGAGATGAGCGCACAACCCTAGAGTCTGTCAAGACTGGCCCGCACGGGCAGGGGTACCTTTACCTTTTACCTTATGAATGGGTAAAGATAGGTATCCATAGGAGGAGAGAGATAAAGGGGCCATGACGATAGGAGGCTTTGAAGGTAAGAATAACTTGTGGATCTAGGTGTAGTTATTGAATATCTGCATGTGATAACTTTTGATCCATTTTGACAACTTGTTGGCACTAAACTGTCCTCTGTTGTCAATAATTCCAGCTGTTTGAACACAATGGAACACTTGGGAACAGTAGAGCCAGAAGATGATTCAGGATTATTACCACGCCTAGCACCTAGTCCACACAGTGAGGCAGTTGCTCATGAATTTCAGGAACTCTCCTTGCAACCCATCCAATGTTTGCCTCCCCTCAATGAAAGGAAGAACGGTGAGTACAAAATATGACAGATATTTGGTGTAGCTATTAAACAAAACTGAATTGTTACTTTTTTATTTAAGTGTTCTGTGATTTTACGCCCACTGAAAAAATGAATATCTGAATGTTGTCCAATAATGTTGCAAAATATGTCATATACTCTATCATAAACATTTATACATGTTTCCCTGCTTGAAATACCAGGTGTTCATCCAGTGCTTGCCTAATGTATTCAGCACATCTGATGAATGCTGAGTACTTCCAAAAATATTAATATCTAGTTTTGGAGTTACCAGTTTTACATTTACTTTATTGGGCATTTATGGAGCTTAGTGGTTGCTAGTTTCATCTCTTCCTTTTCTGTTTCTTTTGGCTAAGAGACAGGAGATTTTAATCAGGGCATGTCTGTTCTAAAACTCAAACATGTTTCCATTTGGTGTGGTCTTCATTCTTTGCATTCGTTTAGCAAAGCTTACATTTGTATGTGGTCATCTGCTGCTTGTTCCCTGTACAGTTGTTTCCTATGTACTTGCAGCTGTGTTCTGAGGCATTTGGGTTTACCTTAAAGAGATACCTGGCTATAATTTGTGCACTCCTAACAGTAATCAATTCTACTGTCTTTTTAAATTTATATAATAACTTAACATGGAGGCAACTGAGGACAATTTTTGGAACGGGGTTAGAAAGTATCAAGTAAAGAGCAATAGCAAATCCTACCATCTGAAGCAGAAGCAGTGTAGAAGAATAACAATGCAGTTGTCAACACCACTGTTTCCCATTTCCTCGTAACATCCAGATTTCAGCAATGCATTTTACGTGGGTCTTCCTCTAAAGCTTACTCATAAATGTCTGTTGCTTTGAAATACAACAGCCTGATTATTGACTGGAACTGATCAGTCAGAACATAGCTGACCAGTGTTGAAACTACCCTACTGGCTTCTGATCTGTCTAATTTAAAGTGCTGGTCTCAACCTTTAACATCTAAAGTTGTATACCTTTTGGGACCCAAGTTTTTAAAGCAAAGGAACCATTCGCATAAACTTGCTCAGTTAGAAGGATTGAGTTGTATCCAATGGGACTTCCTCTTCCTTTCCTGCAAGCCCCTCCTGAAATCTGCTCCAGAGGATTCCCTCTAAATTTTGAGGGGTAGAAGGGGAGAGAGGGCAAAGTTGTGTTGTGTGAGAGGAGCGCAGTGTTGGATGCAACTAATAGTTATCAGAGACCCTCTGCTGTCAAAAAGTGAGGTGGATTCCTGAATATCTTCTTCAGGAATGCTCTCCTATAGGATTTGAGTAGGTTCTTGCAGGGGGTATTTTTATTGTCTGGACTTTTTAATGCTTTTAATTATTAATCTCTTTAATTTTTGTTGTTTTTTTGTTTGAGGATGTTTACTTGTGATTGTTAGGTGAGGTTTTACCATTTATCACTGTTTTTCTATTTGCTATAATTTTGAGATGGTTTTAATGGCTGGTTGAGCCATCTTGAAAATTACGTTTTGTAAGGTATGAAGCAAATTCTTTAACAATCCCTTGGCAAGTTGCACCTTTTTATAGAGGAGTAAACAGAACCATGAAGAAAAGTTAACACTCTTTAATCCAGCATAGTTTTTCTCATAATGATACCTCATCGTGCTCTAACTGTATAAATTTTATGAGAAATTGGTACTTCATTTAATCAGAAAATGTTAGAGTTGTATCCAGTGTTATTCCTACTTAGAGTTGACCCATTGAAATCAATGGACCTAAGTTATGTCTATAAATTTTAATTCTACATATGTAGAATTTCAGAATGTCAAGTTTTGTGATGAAAAGATCCTTATGTGGAAAAGAGAAGGAGATTAGAGCATGAGAGCAATCCAAATGCACATTCCATTGGCAGTAATGCAGTGCTGGTAGGCAACATTTGTATTCCTGTCCTGCTCATGGAAGCATCTTCTCTGAATCAGATTAGTTATCTTTAGATACCCTTGTCTGTTCAAACTTAAGGCTTGCTATGCTTATGCATAAATACTTAGCATTGGATGCACCAGCACCTAAAAGCAGCATAAATAAGGCTGTAGTTTTGAAAAGCTCTGTTAAAAAGAAAGTCTTGCTGAATAGAGTGGGACTTACTTCTGAGAAAACAAGTGTAGGATCATGCTGTGCATGTATCTAATTTTCTTGGCTTTGGCTCTTCAGCATAAGGAAGGTAGCACAGTGGGTTTGTACAAGAAATGCTTCCAAGTTGATTCACAACTTGAAAATGAGTGCTTAGATTTTATAGCATCTTATTGGTGATTTATTCTGAACAGACTGGATTTCTTTCAGCACTTCCAGCACTCTTTTCAACCTAGAATTTGGTCAGGTATTTATTGTAGTTTCCTTTGCAGCCTAAAACAAATTATTCAACCTCTGCGTGTTGTGACTTGATTCTGCAGCTCATATTAAGAGTAAACTTTTTCTGAAAGAAGACACCTTCAGAAAGTTGGCGAGTGTGACTATGTGCAGTGCTTTATTTCATTTGATCATATGTGAGTCAAACTGGTAGTTTCTAGCTTTTTATTTTTTAAAAAAGATTGATTTGTACATTCAGTACTCAGTTCTTTTATCTTCATTTTTCTATTTCGTTGTGGATCTGTTCCGACAAGAATTCTCCTTGTGCCTTAACAGTACTATGGTAACAACTGGCAGGAATCCATTGCTATTGTCTCATGGAGGTGATGGGCATTCTCGCTGCAGCTTTGATACTTGAGGATGTTTTTTGAGGGGCAAGATAATGGGCAGTCAGGTTTGATATTAACTTCGAAGGAAGATCTTGATAGTTTGCTTTTTAAACATAGGAGAATAAGGACATTTAAGTTCTCAGGGCATATGGTATGGTGAGGTGCCTGTTGAAGGGGAGGGGGAGAAAACTGGAGCGGTTGAAAAGGGAATTAACCTGCTAAAGCTGTAATAGGTTTATTGGATTGGGTGGAGGGAATAAGATTTTCTGAGAAATTTGTTATGAGATTTTTTTGCAGGGGGAAATCTCCCCCACTTTGTTTGTTTTGTTTCTTTTTTAAAATGAATTCATCACACTTTTAAATAGTCGTGAGTACAGTCAGACAAAAAAAATACTCTGTTGCTGTTTTACCAGTACATCTGGAGTTTAAAAATAACATCGTACATCATGTCTAATACAGTTCAGTGGGTCATGGGTACAACCATGAACAGCTTTTTTGATTCCATCATAAAAACACATATAAGGGGTTCGTCTGCCTTCTCAGCTTGGGATCAAATGTGGACTAGGAGACTGTAGGAAATTTTCTGTCCTCTGAACTGTTTGTTGTACACAGCAAGTAGATAAGATCAACATTCCTAAAATGTAATACCTTTAAACACGTTCATCAAAAGGCTTTTGGTACCTATCTTGGATTTTGATTCTTAAAGGTCCTTTTCCCTAAGTTCAGGACTGGCATCTTAAGTCCAATGTTAGAGATACTTTGTATAGCCTACAGATTTTCTTCAAAGTCCTGTAAATCCAGCTTTCCTTTTTGAAAACATTTTTTTTAACTCAAGTTAACAGGTTAAGACACAATTTCATCTGGCAGAGACTCTAAATGGGCAAAATATATATGATCCTGAATGACTTCCATATATCATGTTGGGCAAGCCTATCATACGATTCCTTAAAGTTTTGGCTCATTTCTTTCAGCCCTTATGTGTTCCTAGTACATGTCATCTTAAGGTTGAAAGGAGTGACACCTCCAGCTTCCCAATTCCACAATAATGAAATTGTACTCTTGAGTTTGGTTTCAAATGCTACCTACACCAGATTAAGGTGGTCAGTGTTTTACATATGCGAGCATTTGGGAAGTGTGCAGGAAGGTAGCTTTTCATTGGTTTGGAGATTGCACATGAGTTTCTTTATTTAGTACTTAAAGCCAAACAAGTATTGTTGCCCAAAGTGAACATGAAGCATTTTTAGTTCTTCGTAGTAAAGAAAGCCAATGACCAGTACTCAATAACCATTTTTTGAAGAAATGAAGAACCTGTGGCCTTGCAGATATTGTTGGATTGTAATCCTATTATCCATGATAATTTGCCATGTTGGCTAGTGCTGGTAGGAGTTGAAGTCCAAGCGCGTTTTGAGGGCCACAGTTTCTTCATCCCCGTATTATTGCTTAAAGAGGCGCATGTAGCCTACATGGGCTTATTACACTAGACAGCTGTGCACAGACTTGTGGGTTTCCGAATGTAGCCCTGACAGAACCTTGGTTCTCTCTAACTTAAGCATCAACTAAATACAACACTAATTCAGATTTACTGGTTACACAGCATGATCCAGGGTTGTCTCCTGTAACTTCAGTGGATTTTAAGAATTCCTTTTCACAACTCTGTCTACCCTATCCTAACAGCTCAGTGCCTGATATTCTGAAAAAGACTTGAGTAGGGCTGGGGGGGGGGGGAATAATGTGATGTGTGAAATAATTTTGACCCTTGGTGAGAATGTACATGTTATCTAAGGGATGGCATCTCTTATGCTATAAGAAATGCGAAGAGAAACTTTGTATATACTGGTTTCCCGTTCAGTCTGTCATTGTTACTAGTACTGCCAGTTCCCACAATCCTAACATTCCCTGGGCATCAGTCAGTGTCTGCAAGGAACAATTTTCATGTGAAAAGCCCACAGGCCAAGACTCAGTGGTCTCTAGAGAGCTGACCTCTGAAGTTGAGTCTCTTCTGACATTTTCACAAGCTACTTGAAGTGATTTCTGCAGATTCATTCCATTTGGTAAACTTTTGAACAAAATCCCTGTCCTTTTCAGTAAGATTTATTAAAGCCATTTCCCCCTTTCTCAGTGACAGAATGATGCAATTAAGATGGGAGATGTGTCTGGTGACTAAGTATGATGAAAAATATTGTTTACTGATTCTTATTTTTAAGAAGGAGTACAAAAAGAGTCCATGGTGTTGTTTTACTTCCAGACATTTCTTGTTGATAATGAAGTATTTTGCTGGTAATTAATGTAATGTCTACTTTTTAAAACTAGTTTTTTTAAAAAATTATCTTTTAGGGGGCAAAATGCTAAGTGTAGTGGTTCTCTCTAGATGAATGTTGATAATTTTCTAGTTTCAGCGAAATTACCCTTAGCAGTGTTGTATGCTATTGATGTTCTAAAAATGACCTGTCATTAGGAAAAGATATTGGTGGAATAATTTTCAAAGAGTGGGTTACTGTAAGCGTTGCCAATTCTTTTCATTCCATGAGCACATTTCAAATTTCTTGCTTTTCATTCTTCACCCCTCCCCCCCCAAAGTTATAAAGAGAGAGAGAGAACACATACAGTTTCCTTTTTCAAGGGTTTGGGGTAAAATACAGCTTCAATTGTGTTAAAATGCATAGGTGTAGCCAAGATTTATTTTATGGGGGGGCAGGCTTTATGTTGGGGGGCAGAACTGAGATATCTGTGATGCAATTGGCCAGTTAGTTAAGGATTTCTATTTATTTACTTGATTTAGGTGGGGCAGCTGCCCCCTCTGCCCCTCCTGGCTACGTCCATGTTAAAATGAATCCTCTTGAATTTGCATGATGTTACACAGGGTACACAGGGACGCGGGTGGCGCTGTGGGTAAAACCTCAGTGCCTAGGACTTGCCGATCGTATGGCCGGCGGTTCGAATCCCCGCGGCGGGGTGAGCTCCTGTCTTTCGGTCCCAGCTCCTGCCCACCTAGCAGTTCGAAAGCACCCCTAAGTGCAAGTAGATAAATAGGTACCGCTTTATAGTGGGAAGGTAAACGGCGTTTCTGTGTGCTGCGCTGGTGCTGGCTCGCCAGAGCAGCTTCGTCACGCTGGCCACGTGACCCGGAAGTGTCTCTGGACAGCGCTGGCCCCCGGCCTCTTAAGTGAGATGGGCACACAACCCTAGAGTCGGACACGACTGGCCCGTACGGGCAGGGGTACCTTTACCTTTACCTTTACCTTTTACACAGGGTCCTATAGAAGCAACCATTAAATTAAAGCTTACATTGGCAGACTGCAAAGTAAGAAATCATAGATATGGTGTCTGGGACAAAAACACTGATTCAAGGCACGGATCCTCATCATGGTTCATTTTTACATAGGATGTGAATCAATTATATCTATGCACTTAGAGGTGACTTATGATTTGACTCATGATTTTAGGGCATAGTTTGTAAACAATTACGAGAATCCATAAGGATCTGTGCCTCACATCCATGTTTTTGCACCAAGGCAGTACTAGAAAGGGTCAGATCTTCGATTTTTATGGTTCAATGAGTGGAGACAGATGGGATATGTGAATTGATAGAAGGGTGTGTCTGTCTGCCTGGGACAGGTAGCCCATTACAAACTCACGAAATTTCAAGTGGATCCGTTTTACTAGATTGTGTGCGTTTCCATCTTTCTGTTTCTCTGGTACCTTATTTCGCCAAACTCTTGTAGCACCATGTCTTCTCCACATTGCACAGTCTGTTTTCCTCTCCCATTCCCAGTCTCAAATCTCTCCTCTTTTTCTCATACCACATCAGGTGCTTCACTGTCTGTTCAGCTGCTGATGTGCTGATCTAAGACTTGAAAACCACATAGTGCAAGAGATTACAAAAAAGTTCATTGAAAACTAAACACAGCAACACTATTACGCCAACACCGCATACAGCTGAAAGAGGAACTGGGAAAGAGTGTCCACCTTCCCACTTCCTGTTTCACATTCATGCATTTCAAGGCTCAGATTGGTAACTGATAAAAAAGCTATATATGTGAAATATATTCTTATGAGGAAAAATTGCCACAAACACATCTAAGGGATTGCTTACTGGGAGCCCAACTCTTCACTTTACTGAATGTTCACATTTAAGGCATCTGTTCTTTGATTTTAAAGCAGCCATGGGGAGGGCCCAATCAGGATTTGAACAACAGAGCATTAGGGAGAGGGTTTAATTGAGTCCCCCAGTGAAAACCAAATATCCCTTTTTCCCGGGGCAAATTGCAACTTGGAGGGTTTGACATTGATATTTTTAATTAGGACTGCAGTTTTGGGGGCACAGGCAGCGGCTATTTAAAAAAGAAAACTGATTTGTTAAAACTGTGATTGTACATTTTAACATGATGTGTACTTTAGTTCTGTGTTTTAATAGATCATATATTCTATTAATGTTTTATTGTTTTTTAATTACCGGTATTGCTTCCCCACTCTATGTGTTTAGCTGTTTCTATTTTAGCTGTAGAGTCCCTGTCAGGGAAAAGGGCAGGATATAATAATAATAATAACAACAACAACAACAACAACAACAACAATAATAATAATAGCAATCCTATATCCAATTTGCTTTACTTCAAGCTGACATTTATAAGGATTTTGCTTTTAACCTTTTATGTTATTGTTGCACACCACCCCAATCTCTGAGTGATGTGAGATTCCAGAGGCTCCAGGCAATAACCAAGGTTTTCATTTTTCATTTAGAATGATGCATAGCGGAGACTGTGGTATTTTTTTGATATATTGTTTATTTACACATATATGCAACCTGAGCCTATGAAGGAGGGGTTCAACACCCCAAGAGGGCCTTGCTTCTCCTATAGCCACAGCCTTAGATTCAAAACAGAAATCAAGCATTGCTCCCCCTCTCTCCTCAGCTTGCTGCTTTTCTTCTACCTAACACCACTTCGCTCTCTCTCAACTTTTGCTTTGTCCTTCTAACTATCCATGAGTTGAGGGAGGGTGCCCCACCTATTTGCCATCTCACACTGATCCACTTAATTTGTTCCCCTTAATGGTGATCACCTCACCAGGAAGTTAACCTGGCTTGTACTTTAACACTCGCTGGATCCAGGGGTTAGAAGGGCCTCAGCCTTCTTCCCCTCCCAACTCATAACATTATAAAACATGTGTGTGATTGGTGTGTGTTTGTGGTCTGTTTGTGTGTGAAAGAGTGGATGTGATCACACCAATCTTTTGGAGGTTTGGCCAACAGTAAATGCAGCCCTTGGGCCAAAGAAAAGGTTATCCAGCCTTCTTTTATAGCATTCTCAAGAAAAAATGAAATGAACAGTCTCATGGAGGGGTGCTGAACCACTTCTTTTAACTGAGCTACCCATTCCTTAATCTGTGTTTTTGGTTTTCTGTCAGTTTGAAAAACAACAACCAAAAGGCTTGTTCAGCTTGACATTATGAGGAGAGGGAGAATGGATCCCATAAGATAAGGTCCAAGCAGTATTAAATACTTGTTTGTGCATTTACGTCATGTTTAATGAGGCAATAAAATTGTCCACATATGTTTCTGTTTTCATTTCTCATGTAACTGATACTTGAAATTGAGGCTAGCCATGCTCCCAAAGTTCTAGGCAGACTGGCATAGTTGAGATAACAGAGGATGCATCATTTCCTATAGAGCCTTTCTTAAGATTTTTAGTGGTTGTTTCCTCTAGCCCTGATGTTTCTTGAGGCTAGAATTGGATGGTGTGAATGCAAACTATTTGTAAATCTGTGGGAAATGTGATGTTAAAGAGATTATTTATGTGGCTTATTTTGTTGATGGCGCAGCAGATGTTGGGAAGAAGTAGTGAAGGGCCTTTGAGCAGCATGCTCAGCATGCTTTAATCCATAGTTTGTCTTAAGACCAAATGACTGCAGTATGTGGGATTGTCCTTGGTTCTGGTTTGGAAGCTCCAGGTTGTGCAGAAAGCAATGACCAGACTGCTTCCCTAGCCACAGACTGTGACTGTGACACACCATTGTTATGACATCTGCACTGGCTGCATGTCTGCTACTGAGCCAGGTTCAAGGTCGTATTGATTTACAAAACCCTGTGCAACATAGGTCCAGGGTACTCTGGGGATTACCCTAACCCTTATATTCCAGCTCGATCACTGAGATCATCTACAGGAGCATCGTTGGTCATTCCCTATGTTTGTCAGGCTCATTTAACAACGAAAAGAAAACAAGCCTTTAGTGTCATTGGCCCAGTCCTGTGGAATTCATCAGGCTCTTCTGTTTCAGCCTTTAATTGCCTGCTAAAAACTTTTCTACTTCTCCAGTTTATGCAGGAAATTAAGAATGCATATTTGCATAACAGTTAGCTATTTTTATTTTAGCACCTTAATTTTTATATTGTATGATTTTGCATATAATTATTGTAAACTGCCCTGATATTTCCAATGAATAGCGGTATATAAATATTTTAATCAATAAATAAAGCAATATGCTTTGTGAACCAGGTCATTGTGTTTGCTTATCACCATCATTCTGTCCAAATGGGATTGTTTCATGCCAGGCAAATATATTCTCTTTAACATGAAATAAATTTATCTAACATGCCTTTCATGTTTAAGCTTGCTTTTTAAAAAAAACAAAAAACCATGAGTGATAAATTTTACTCAGAGCAGCCCCATTGAAATTAATGGACATAGGTAATTTAGGTCCGTTAATTTAAAAGTACAACTTCATTAAATACCCCTCCATGTTTACTTGGTCCATTAGTGTCATGTTTAGTCTTCCAGAAGCAAATCTAGTCACAATTTTAATGATTTTGATATGGTGTCCATAATCTGGGATCTTATCTGGCAGCTACTGAAATCAACTGAAATACTTCTTATTGACTTGTATAAAAACATTGAAATGTATGTTTGATTACAGCTTTCTTTGTTTGGTGCAGTGCTTCAAAACATACTTCAAAGAGTCAGTTGTAGTTGTTCATCTGAAGATACTCTCATTAGATCAGATATTTTTGGGAAGGCTTCTATGTCACCTTCCTGTTTACCATGTTTACGGTACCATGCAAACATACCATTGTGAAACACTGGTCTGTATGAAATCCTACTCGACTTCTTTTAACAAATTAGTTTTATAATTGCATGAATTTCTTTAAACTGCGAGAGACAGTTGTTCAGCAATTAAATCCACATGTTTGCTTCTCTTGCTACATAGTTCAAAGCTGTAATAAGTGTATAAAAACTTTGAAGCAATTAGTTGTTACAGCAATGATTGCTTTCTTTACAAAACAAAATGCTACAACTTTTGAACTCTTGATACTCCTGGTTTGTAGTGTTCTAGTGATCAGACTAATACAAGAACAGGATATCCTCATACATCCTTAGTAGACATAAGTACATTTTCTCTAGCTGTTGAGCCATTTTTTTTAAGAGCACGTCCACATGTTTATTAAAAGCACCTAGCTGTTCCCTTTCTTCCTCCTCCTTATCTTACCCAAGTGGTATACAAATGCTATTGGTTCACATTTATTTGAATGCAGGGATAGACAACACAGTATTCACTGGGTTGGTGGTTCTTGTTATTTTAAGTCACTTTTTTATTGAAATGGCAGGCACTTTGGTCATCCTTGGAGGGGCTTTTCTGAATGTGTGAGTGGTGGGGTGCTCAATTATATTCTGTGTGTGAGATACATTTGGGCAGAGAGAGGGGGGAACAAGGCATGTGTGATTGTGCATAGATGAAGTATATGAGTGCATGTGTGTGAGGGAGGTGCTTGTGTGCATGTGGTGTGTGTGTGTGTGTGTATTGTGTGCTAGAGTGAGTAGCCACCTTGTATACTTTTCCTAGTGCTGGGGAATGCACCCTTTTATTATTAGATAGCAACTACATAAGTGTGTGTGCCCAGGGGAATCAATATTGTGTGATTTCCACAGTCAGCACCAGCAGGTCATTGACGACCTCCCATAGAAAGCATGAGATTGTCTGACAAAGGAGGGGGACAGCAGCAATAACTGTACTTCCGATCAGCAAGCCCAAGAGGCTCAGTGATTTAGACCACAGCGCCAACAGCTCCCTTGATTGTAATTAGATTACAGTTGTTCTAAAGAAACCATCCTTGCACTCTTGGGGATTGCAATAACTACCTGTGCGATTGCAAACATCTTTTTCCTAGACAAAGTGCTTCAGCAGGTAGCTTGACATCAATAATTTGAATTCACTGCTATCTAGTTTCAGGCCTGGGTTCAACACTGAATCAATCTTGATTGTCTTGATGAGTAATCTATGATGGGAGTTGTAGAAGGACTGATGGAGTGTGACCCTGTTATTTTTCATGATCTTTCAGTTTCTTTTGTTATTGTTGGCCATGGTATTCTTCTGAAGCAGCTGTTGGGATCATTAACGATGGAATCCAGTGGTCCTGGTCCTTCCTCAGTGACCTATTTCAGAAGGTGGTGATGGGAGGCTATTGCTCTACTCCAGGGATGTCTAATTGGTCAACCACGATTGACAGGTCGACCCTGGTTGATATTAGTTGATTGCGGGCTCATTTTCCTCTGCGGGGGGGGAAAGGAACATCCGGCCCCACCCCCTCGCTCTTTTGTGTATTCACACCCTATTTCAAGAACGGAAGAGGGAGTTACCGCTGGTGGGATTACTTCTTGTTTATCGATTAATGCCACGCTCTCCCCCCCCCCAAATCGGCAGAAGTATTTGCTGTTTCCCTAAAAAATGGTCAATAACTTTGGCACTCTCCAAAAAAAAAAACTCAACAGCTTTGACTTGCCCCCCTTAAAAAAGGTCAACAACTTGGTTTCCCCCCCACCCATGGGTAGATCACTGCTAGTTTTTTTATCTGGGGTAGATCAGTTTCTTGGGAGTGGGACATCCCTGCTCTACTCCATGGCAGTTAGGCTGTTGTATAGCACATTTTGAAGCTGGGTGGCAATGTTCAAAGCAGCACACTCTACTGAAAGTTTCTAAGACATGGAAAACTTGCTACAGTTGAAAGAAAAGCAATTCTAAAACAGTTAACATAGGAGGAATGATTTTAAAAATCATGAATTCACTTCTGTTCTATTTGCAATGCAATAATTAGGGCTTGAGGCTGCAATCCTATACACGGTTACACAGGTGTAAGTACCATTTTACTTAATAAGACTTACTTTTGTGTAGGCATTTTTAGTATTGCCCAGTAAGAAATGTTTTTTGTTTTTGTTCAGTGCAGAACACAGAATATCGTTGGTAGACAATGGCATATATACATAATATTGGAAGATGAGCAGATGGATCAATTCTGCTGTTGTGGATAATGTTATTAACGTTATTAGGTCCTGTAATAGTGCTGCCAAAATAGATATGCAGTAAACAAACAAACACCAGCGTTGCAAAATGTGACTCAGCAATATCGAAAGCAACACGATGGCCAGAAACAATTACAGTATAGAAAACTTTATGGAATAAGGCAAAACATCAAAACTGTCAAACTGAAGTCTCTTAAAGTCCTTGAATAAGTCACGGTGCCAGACTTTGCCCAGCGGAGAGCAAGCTTGTAAAGCTTTGTATGATTAGCAAATGTCCAATTCTGATGTCCAACTCTGAACTCTGCACAGTGTTTCCAGGTAGCAACTACTGTTTTGTTCAGTTTTTCATCAGCCAATTAGTTCAACAAACACTCGTAAGTAGAAAGATGTGTATTTTCTTCACTAACCAATCTTTTTTCAAACTGATATAGTATACATGAGGATGAAAAATACTCTGGAACAGTACTCATAATTGAATATTCATGTATATTATATCAATTCGAAAAAAGATTGGTTGAAGAAATTACGCATCGATCTGGCCATCGTGTTGCTTTTGATATTGCTGAAAATAGATATGCAGACAGAGTTGAAATCTGGCTCTGGTCGCTCTGACCATATGCTTGTTGTGTATCCTGTTCTGAATGGTGAGTAGTTGTTTTAGATTGGGAGGCTGTCTTGTCTGTAAGCCAGTACAGAGCTTTGAGAGGGCCAACTTAAAACAACTACTCACTAACAAGAGGACAAAACTTCATGCATCTGATGGAGTGTAGTCTATGAAAGCTTTTGTCCTGTTTTGAGCAGCTCATAATCTAAAGCATAAAAACATGTTGAGCTTGCACACTTCTGTTAGCTTTGGTTACAAATTTGGTTACAAAAATGTATTAAATTTGGGAAGATGAGCATTAATGATGCAGAATATAGAGCTCTTAAGGAAATCTTCTATTAGTGTTTCAGCTTTTTGCTGTGTTTTATAGTCTTCCTACGAGTCCTTAGTTTCTTTGCACAGAAACTAAAGAGTTAAATAAAGTTTATCTGAATAAGCTGACGGTCTCAGGGCTCACAAACTTGAGTGAGCACTTGATTGGCTCATCTACAAATGCCCTTTTTCATGAGAGCAGATTTCTGTGAGTGAAGAGACAAGATTGTCGTTTCCTTGTATTGTTAAAGGTTCTGGGGAAGCCCTTTTGAATGGGTGATCATTTTTGGAAATTACACCATCTTGGTATTTTCTTGGATTGTGATGAATCTACCTCCATTTGAAGTTCTTTGGGTTCGATTATTTCTGCGCTCCACACTTTTTTGCCTCAAAGATTTTGCATGCTCTGAGAGTTTAGCATCATCCATGTAAGTACCGTAATTGACTCCTCTTTTACTTTTTCACAGGAAAAATATTAAGTTTTTCATTTGATTTTATTGAAAGTGTGTTTTAATGTTCTTGCTTAAAGTATGTTTTTCATACAGAAACTAATTGCATTGTGTGGGGAAAGCTTAAGACTTGCTGAAATATTGACACTCTTCTTACAATAAGCAGACAGTCACAGAGTTTCTGCTAAATGCCAGCTTTTCCACTAACGTAGGGATAACTCCATTTGCCCATGTGCAGGATGCTTTAGCAAATTATCCTGTTTGTGTTATTTCAGTGAATTTTCTTGTTTTGAAAAGATAAATTGAAAACTGGAGGGAGGCACCTTTATAAAAAGGACCTTATTCCTTAAAATATTATTAGAACATGTAAGAAAAACTTGTCCATGCACTGAGAAATCACCTTATTCAAAATAATTCACAATTAGCTCTAAATAGGAAAGTTATCTTTTATTGTAACTTGGTCAACAAAGTCTTAATTCTATCTGCATATTACAGTGTCAGTTGCAGTACAAAAATTCCATCAAACTGACTAGTGACACTCTTTTAGAATAGGAAGGTGTCCCGTCCCCCCCATTCCTTTAACAATGCTTTGAGGTCATTTATGCATTGATATCCAGACTGACGCATGGAAGCTCAAGTGAGCATGCTGGGATTTTGCATAATCCATTTCCCTGTTCACTGCATTGTGGGCCATGCTCAGCATATATTCCCATTACTTGGCCCCCACATTGTAGGGGTTGAAGCAATCATGTGTGCATTGGGTTTTTTTGTTTTTGTTTTTTTGTTTTTTGGGGTGGAAACAGAGATAATAACTTTATTGAATGAATTTATTTATGGAAGTTCAAGCATATTTTTAAGTGGAATTTATTTTGTGTACTAGTTCTGCATAGATTTATTATTATTTTTAAATCTAGGTTTGTAACCCAGTCACAGGTTGCATGAATCTGTATTTTTTATCTGTTTTTAAATCTTATATTAAAGAGTTAGCCCTGGACAGTTTGTCAGGGCTGAAATATTTCCATATAATCCCTTACATAGTACAATTTACCAGTCTTAATATACAGCATGCAAGTTAACCATATACAGTATGTGTTATAATTGTGGGAACTATTGATGCTGCTAACCCATATCTAAAGCCAGGGTAATGACAGATGGCTGACAATGCACCAGTTTTTGTTCAATGGTGACATGGTTTCTAGTATTAAAAGTGAGTTTAATCACATTTTCTAACGTTCTTATTCTCTGAAAAACTCGAATTGTTTTCCTGTTACAATTGAAAACAACATTTTGAGCTTGACTTTCACAATGAAAGGCTTCCGCTCCGAAGTTGAAATTCATCATAATCTATTTCCAACTGAAAGTAGGATCTTGTAATGGAAAATTGTATTTGTAGCCAGCAGTGGCTGATAAATCTCAGGATACATCATCTTTTTAATCCAGTAATTAGTACTTTTAATGCTTTTTCATTCTGTGAAGATTTTTGAATAGGAGATTAGATGAGCACCTCTTAGGATACTTTAGTGTTGAAAGCTCACAAAGCTTTGGGGTGAAACTGCTGCAGCTCTCGCCATGGGAGCTGAGGCACTTCCATCCCAGTGCCTTGTGGGCTGGGACGATGCAGCTTCTTTGCACAACTCAGCTGGTGGGGGGCAGAAGATCTTCTCCCCCAGCTGAGTGAGCCCTGATGTCCCTGCTGCTCACACACAAGCGTCAGGGACCTCAGGGCTTCTTTGCATGGCTCAGCTGGGGGTGCAGGAAGGCTCCCCCCCCCCCCAGCTGAGCAAGCGCCATGCTTTTCCAGCTTATATGTGAGGCATCAGGGCTTGCTCCTCTGGGGGCCAGGAGCAGTATAAGGAAGCCGAGGGAGGAACAAGCTGTATCGGCCGGGTGATACAGCTTGCTCCTCCCTCTGTGGTATGAGGGGCAGAGTGATGACAGCTTCACCTGGCGGCATATTGCAGGTGAAACTGCCGCTGCTCCTGAGTCCCTCTGCTACCAGTGGCCCAATGTTGAAAGCGGTGCTGGTAACAGAGGGACTCAAGAGCAGCATCAGTTTCATCCACAATATACTGCTATCGCACTCTGCCCCTCATATTGGTCCTGGGTGATGGATCAGTGCAATCCAGTGATAGGCTAAGGCATCTCCTCAGAAGCTCCAGACGGCATAAAACTGTAAAGCCACCATACAGGTAACATGTAAATACTGAATCAAACTATGGCCTCCTACTGCCAAACTACTCAGAGCTAAGCCATGGAGTCTGGTCTTGCTCCAGACAAACCACAACCTATAGCTACAGTTTGTTCTTGGCTTACCACTTGTGATTTGTTTGGGGAAACAAACCATGAGGCCAGGTTCGGACGTAATGCTAACCCATGGCTTAGCTCTGAGTAGCACAGCAACAGCAGGACCAAAAAAGGAGTGAAGTGGCTACAATTTTTGTTCTGAGTATCCACACACTTTCTCATTCACACTTAGTCATGGTTTGGCTTGGGGAACCAGACCTTTGTCTCATAGCCCCACCCAGCTATTTTCTAGGAAAGGATGTGGACACTGAGACATACGTATAGAGCAGCAAATCTTTTTCACCCACCCTTGCATCAACCCCAAGGCTTTCTAATACATTCAAGTAACACATATTTTAAATAACTTATCGTGTTATGCTAGAGAGGTTAAATCAAGAAATGCTAATTTGGACTTAATTTGGATTTCATAGTGTGTTCTGGTATCCTAAATGTATCTGTTATAAAATGTTTGTGGGAATGGTTACACAGCAGAGTAATTGCTTCTCTCTTCTCAGATAGAAATAGCTGGCTAGAACAGCCTTTGAAGCAATTCATTGCTCATTTCTACAGAGTGCACATTAAATCTAACTGTTCATTAATGGTCTTGAGGGAAGGACTATAGTGGGTCAGTATGGTGCTGGTTAGCACATTAGATGACTTTAAGTTGGAAAAAATGGCATAATTGGAGTAATATCAAAGCATGTACTTGTACCAAAGCTTTCTGTGTCCTGAAAAATTAGCCAGCCTACCGTGTTGCTGGAGGGGCTCTGCAAAACTCAAAATTGTTTATACTCTTGCATTGTTAGGAGCTGCAGCAATGTAATATTTCCCATATTCTGTCTTGAAGGAAAAGGGCATTGAGACTGAGGGAAAGCAGGTGGTAATGAGTTATTTCCTTATCAAAGTTTTATGAATATACGTAGTTATCTTTTTGATATATATTTTTGTCAGCAAAAGCAGATAAAGTATTTAAAATAACTACTATATGCATAATGTTCTCTGAGTCTCTCAAGTATGTGAGCCAAGAAGATCCTTCTTTTTCTCTTTCTTTTCTTTATGAATTTGTAAAAATAATACTCTGGTGTAATTGTGTAAGAATATATTGACCCTGCCAAATTTGATATACGTCCTTGGGGAATTGTTTGTTTTCACTGCAATTGCCAGGAAGCCCTTTTTTGGCTGGCCCTCACTTCTCAACAGTATGGCTTATTTTTTCTCACGCTTAATAAATAATAGTTGTACTGAAGTGGTGGGAAAACTAAGTTGATTTATGGAGTTGTTAGTGTTTTTGAACAGTAAAAAGATCACCATGAAAGAAGATTTATTATAACATAAAGATTGATCTCACTTCATTTGGATAGAAGGGTGAGATCATTTCAAACCATATACTTGACAAACATTATCTTTTCCCATCAATGGGACTACATGTTACTGAAGGGAAGAATGATTAAAGTTAGGAATAAGGCATTTAAAAAACACAGGAAGAAAGAGGAAATTTAGCAAGCTGCATAGAAAGCAACAGAAAGAATAAATTCTACATAGCCTAACCATCTAGGAGGATACATTTTCATAGGGAACAATTTTCAGCTTGAACCATGGGGGAACCAGGGGAGAGGCTGACAGTAGAACTGGATACTCCAATAAAATATGACCATGTGGAACTGGATACAGCTCAAGTGGCAGAGTTGGGCCATTGGTACCTTTTAAAAATTCAGGAAGGTGCAAGTAAAAGCCTCCAAAGTCCATTTTCAGGACAATACCTTTATGAGGCCAACTGAAACATCACAGCATAGTGTACAAACATTCAAGTTCTCCGGAACTCTTGATCAGGCTAGATGAAAGACAGAACACTGGTTAGGCTAATGCTGAAGCCATGCTGCCTCTCTCTCTAGTCACAGTCTTTAGATTGATTGGGAGGACATAGCAGACATTCAAATGAGGCTGTTGAGGTGCTATGTAGGTATCAGGTTTCACCTTGGACATCTGGTAGCAACAAGCATAGCAGTGGATGTACTTGTATAAAATTCATCAATTTCATCATTTTTTGCAATATGCCCGTTGGGTATTTTATTCAGTTTAAAATCTTTCTTAATTGACTTCAGTTGATGGACTGCAACCTTGTTGAGAAATTATTTTGTTGAGTATTATGAGCAATTAGTACAGGAAAAAAATCCATTATATTATTTTACTTCAATGCAGTCCCCCCCTCCCAAAAAAAGTAGAGGCTTTACGTATTTAACCACCCAAAATGTGTTTTCTGCTAATTTTTTATTCCCTGCCATAAATGATAGTTCCTTTGGTTTCTGCTGAATGCCTTCATTTTAAAGCATTCTAGCCCACCATTTTGGAGGTTTGTTTGGTGCATTATATTATGACAATATAATCTTCAGTTTGCCTTTACAACAGATTCTTGCTGGCAATAAGTGTGGGCCATAGCAACAGTGGTAAGCTACTCCCTCAGTGAGGAACCTGCTGTTTTTCTTTTTAATGAGATTCTGCTTCCATAGTGCTACTGTTTTTTGTTTTTTTAAATGCTACTTTCAGATTGATTATATAGAGGGATTCAATGTTGTGCTATGCCAATCATTATTTCAGGGCCAGCATTTCAACTTGCCAGATGGAACAATTCCCCCCTCTCCTCCCATGCACTGATTTGAGGGTTCTCCAGACCCCCAAGTCAGTTTTGGGGAAATGGGAAAGAGAGGGGGTGGGACTTTGTTGAGCAAGCAGAAGTCATTTTGTGGGCATCTGCTGACAGGACTAATTAGTTTATTTTATTTATTTATTTATTTATTTATTTCATAAAAATATTTACTGATTGATTTTTTTTAAAAAAGCACCTCAAAGGTTAAAAACAGTAAATGTGTTTTAAAAAATGGTTAAAAACTATGAAAAATGTACACCTGTAATTTGAGACATTTGAAAAGTTAAAATGACAATAGCCTAAAAACAGATTAAGACCTGCATCTTAGTGTTTTTGTGACAGTTGAATATGTTTGGGGGTTAACCTGCTAGTCCAGTCTAGTTGAGTGAGAAGCATTAGGAGGCTTTGGTAGGTTGAATGTATTGTTCAATTTAGTAAACTAGATTGCTTTAGTTGAATAACTTGCAGGGTTTTGTTGAAGCCTGTAAGGTGAATTTGGTAACCAGAGCAGCATAGGGGCAACAAAATTAGCTGACATTTGAGTAATTTCCTTTTGCCACAAAAATTGTCTCTGGTTGCTCCAAAGGATTCCAGGGGACCTTTAAGGAAAACTGGAGTGATGTAATGAGGGTAAAGTGCTGCTGCACTAAGAAAGCAATTGAAGTTTGCTACTTTAGAAATGCTACATGGAATAAAATGAGAAGAGAGCCATGGCACTGTATGCTCATTGTAGAGCGAGAATAGCAGCATTTGTATTGCTTTCATGTTTCACTTTATGCTAGTGAGATGGCCCTCAAGTGTTGAAACACAGCCATAAAGATTTGATATAGGAGAGTGGGCAGGTGAGTGCCAACCCCAACTTTCCTTCTCTGATTTCAGCTGGTTTTGCCTTGTCTTATCATCCTTTATTTCTGGTTCCTGCAGCTTTCCTGCAGTTTTCCTTTTTTTACACCCCCCCCCCCCAAATTCTGACACCATTCTTAGCTCCTCTTCCACCAGCCACTGGTCCTACCTCACTTTCCTTTCCTTAGCATGCACTTCTTCCATACCTAAATTATCTACTCTTCTTCACTTCAGTCTTGCCCAGCTGTAGCCAGTCCTTATTGATGTATGGAAATGTTGCATAAACGTAGGTGAGTCCTGTCACAATGAGCAGATTTGCTTACTTTCTTCTTATTGGATGTGTCCTTCCTACCCTAAGTCTGGCACCGTCACTCATTTGTGTGTCCAATTCTGTAGCAGTTCTATCTTTTGTTCAACTTTGTATGACTGCAATCCAATAAAGCCTAAACAAGGCCCCTGCTTTATGACCTAGTGCCTTATTGAGCTCTTTACAGATGCCTTCTTTCTTTGCACACTAGAAATACATGTGTGGATGCTGTTAGTGAGGAAGCTTATCAGTTGTTATTCTTGGGTGTCTGTGAGAAAAGTGATTGGATCGGGGCATTGGCTGGTGATGTCACAGAAGCACTGAAGGTTTCCTTCTCAGGTTGCTTTGAAGTGTGTTTCCTGCATCTTGGATTCACTTCCAGACAATAATGTCACATACTCCCCAAACATCTTTCTCTCTTTTCCAATACTGTAGTACCTCTTTAGCCCGGGCTGCCAAAGTGATTTGGGGGAAAAGGCAGACAGAAAGGTTATCCTGCCTGTGGACATGCAGAATGCTGTTAAATTCAGTTTCTTGAAATGAACACATGTACACAATTCTAGTTGCTTTACCACCACCACCCTCCTTTTACTTCTGATGCTACAGATAACTCCTTGATTATTGTTTTGCATCATGTTCTTAAACACCATAAAATGCTTCTACAGCTATGGCAGTAGTGGGAGAAAGAGAGAGAGAGAGAGAGAGAGAGACCACAACATCAATATGTCATCTTAGGTATTGCCAAATGCTGCTCCTTCCAACTGCTGAGATTTATTTTTAACTGCTTGACTCAGTGTTTGTCAGATGATTCTGGCCATCAAACTGCATATTGAATGCAAAGTACAGAGAAAGCGAGGGTGGCTGAAAAAGGGGAGGGATGAGGGGTGGTTGTCTGGGGAAGGAGGTGGGACTTGGAAGCTCTCCACATAGGCTCACAGTCTTCTTATCTCAGAGAGAGTTATGTGCTCCTAGCAGTTTGAGTGTACTTTCAGGTCAAGCTGAGAAGTAAAGGGTAATGGCTGCTTTCAAATGCTTTAAAGACATAATTGCTCAATTATTGCTACATTGAGCAGAAGGAGCAGCATACTGCTGGTTTGTAAATTGGTCTCTTTCCTGTGCTGGATGTTGCCTTTCTAAAGGAGTCCCATCATGATCGATAGCTCTAAGAAGCAGCAACAGGGTTTCCCAGAGATTTTGCCTGTTGGGGATATTGAATCATTGAAAGAAAAGGAATGTCTTGACACGAACAACCAGAAAAGTCTTAAGGAAGGTCAGTTTCATGGCTTGGGAGATAAATGGGAAGGCAAATATGTAATTGGGTCTGGCTTAATTTTGAAGGGTTAGAGTTATAAGTGTGTGTGTGTGTGTGTGTGTGTGTGTGTGTGTAAAGATTGCAAAGCAGTGCTCTGAAATCTTTGGTTTGTTACTTAGCTGTTTAGCAGTGCTGGTTCTTGAAGAGAAAGTATTGTAATCTTCCAATGATATCTTGGAGGTAAATGCTCTTATCAGGATCACTTCGGTTCACAAAACCTGCTGTTTCACAATTTGAAGTCCAATAGAGACAACAGAATCAGAAATATCTGCTTAGGAATCTCATTCACAGTCATTTCTGACTTCCTCCTGCTGCTAAGTACAGTTCTGCTTTGCCATGTTTTTATATCTAGCAGCTTCATATTGTGTCTCTTGTTAAATGGCCAACAGTGCAATAAAATAAAGGAAAGCCCCTTATCCCCCCTCCCCAAAGTCTAGGGAAGTTGGGAGAGTTATAAACACTCCATTATGGCATCTCTACTAGCAAATTGTAAAAAGACACAGCAGGATGTATCCAATGTATTGTTCTAGTTGTAGCAGAAATGTATCTATTCTCTGAATCAACAATTGTGGCATTTTTATATTGTGAGGCAAATAGCATTATAGGCAATTGTGGTTTTATTTTATTCCTCAAGCATGAGTCCCTGATTTTTTAGACATTATGCCCCTCCCCCCAAGCAATATTCCTGCTTCCCTGACGAATCTCTCTCAGTTTTCCTTTTTGGAGTCTTATACCTAATTGCTTTGGAATATCTGGTAGTGAGCCAGAGAACACTGTTTGTTTCCTTTGATACAGAACTGGCACTTCCTTCAAACCAGAGATTGTTTTTCCTTCTTGACGGAAAGTGTATAAATGCAAGGAACAAAAGTACATTGGGAAATTGAGGAAAAGACCATTTCATTGCAGTTCATGTTAGAGACCAGTTTCTTTTAAGAGGAAAATGTTACAGTTCCATCCCTTCTAATATTGAATGTCAGTTTATGCTTTTAATTGTCACCTTCTTGAAAGAGTGACCACTTTTCTTGCATAAATGGAAAGCAGGATGTCAGGAATATAAATAACTGTAGCTAAGAGCAAAACGGTAGTTCTGTATCTTACCACAAAACAAAACCACTAATAAAAATAGTGAACAACAACAACAACAAGAAGAAGACATGCACTGCCATTTTTGACTGTAAGTAGAATTTTATTCTTATTCTACTGTAAATTATCCCCCTACCACCACACATGAGAAGTTATAGCTCCTCCTAATGCCCAGAGTTAAAATGTTTTGTGTTAACTGGTTCTACACAGGTAAAACCACAGCTCCTCCTGCAACTGTGACTGCTGGGATAAATGCAACAATGATCAAAACAGCTGCCCGTGGTCTTTATGTACAGCTTTGGCATCCTTCCCCATGCTGGTGTAATGCCATGATTGCTCACATGCAGGGGACTTTGTATAAACCAGATGTCAGGGTGTAGAAGTCAGCATTTGTTTTCATCTTTCAAATGCTATTCATGTCTATATCATTTTAAGGCATGCCCTTGAACCTTATCACATTTGTATCCCACTTTTCCTCCAAGGAGCTCAGGTGGTGTATATGTATATTTTGTCCTCACAGCAATCCTGCATGGTAGGTTGAACTGAGAGATAGTGATTGATGCAAACTCCTCCAGTGAGCGTCATGACCAAGCAATCTGTTGGTAAAGAACATGGTGGACCAGTCTTTGACAGTCAGGTCAAGCAGGAATATCTTCATTTGATTAGTGCTTTAGCGTCTGTAGTGGCATTCTGTCTTCAGGGAACAAATTCAATGTGTTGGTTTTTGTCTCTGTGTGTAGAGCCCAAAAATATATAGGGCTGGGCCCCATATACTTAAGCCAGACCAATCTCATACTACCACCATTCTCATAACATCCAGTCCCTTTCTACATATGAAGGTTCCATCCCTTTAAAATGTACCCTGAACTTCAACACCATTCAGAAGACCTTTCTGTTAGACCCAACTTTTAGCATGTGGGTTTATTTTGATTTACTTGGATATCTTATATATATTTGTTTGTTTATTTTAAAAATGTTTATATACCACTATATCAAAAAACATATCAAAATGGTTCATAATGACAATATCTATGCATTTAAAACCAAGGATAATCAACTAACTATTACAGAAAGATATTTTTCAACTTTGGCATTGTAGTTAACCTTGAGCCTTAAAAATCAGGTGGGTTAGAAATCTAAATTAATCGTGTTACAGACTCCTCACAGTTGATTGTTTACAGTTTAGTGCAGCTTTTAGTATCAGTGCATCCAAAAAGATCCTGAGAGCTAGTACAGGGTTATTGAGAATGGTATGACAGGATGAAAACAACACCACCATACTGGAGGAAACAGAACGATAAGGTGTACATAGCAGCTAGCATGTTCTTATATATCCCTAATGTGTGTTTTCTAAACTTACTGTTCCTGCAGAGGAAGGATATCCATGCATGTTGTCCCCTCCCACTTGCTCCACTGGGCAGGAAAAAGTACCGGTAAATGAAAAGAGGTCACCTAAGCTGTCAGAGCAACTTTTCCCCAGTTCACATCCTGCCCATCTCCACATCAGGTTGCTTTTGGGATGGCTCCAAGTCTGTCTTGGACCATGGGATCTTTCCCCTTGGCTGGCAGCCCATCACCTTCCAGTCTTAGGACCGCAGTTATTTTAATCATCATCATCAACAAAAAGGGAGATCAGGAAATTTTGGGTCAGATAGCAGAGGGGGTGGATAGGATGAGTTCTCCAGCCATCTCTGATGACTCCTCTGAGGACTCTGAGATGTCCCAGGTTGCCTGCGTTTCTTGAGGAGTGGTTTTACCCACTGCCTCCTTCAAGCAGGCAGAGACCACCCTTTCTCACAGAGAGGCATTAATCACCTCCCTAGCCCAGCCAGCTGTCTCTTCCCTGGTAGTTTTTTTATCAGCCACGAGGGACAAGGGTCCAGAGCGCAAGGCATCACCCTGACCAATCCGAGCACCTTGTCCACACAGTTAGTAAATTAGCCTTTACTATCTAAAACTCATCCAACACAAAAGGACTAGACAGTGCTCTGGACACCCCTTCCATCCTTTTATCTCCCCCCCTCCTGCTTTTATCTTACAAACTGTAATTAGTGTCATTTAGTAAACATACAGATAATAACTATCAATATTAATTTACCCCTCAAACTCTGCTGCCAGGATCTTTAACAAACCATTTAAAATTGTTTCCAGTAAAGGGGTTTGGTTGCACTTTTTAAAATCACGATATTAAAAAAAAATCTGTGCTTTATACCAGTCATGGTTCTGTACTCATTTTTAGTGAGTTACCATACAGAAATTCTAAATTACTGGGCTTCTCTCCCCCCCCCCCTTTCAAAATTGGAGTAGAATGATAACTCATTAAAATGGTGAGCTGGCATCTTCTATCACCCTTCATCTTGAAATCTTTCTTGATGGGGCAGAAAAGGATTTTACAAAGAGCATTCATTAATGCACAAGCCCATGAAGATTTTGACAATAAAAAAATGCAGAAGTAGAATCCTCTTAGTATCAGATGTCTTAGGTTAATCCATAAAGATGTTAACCCTTTGGAGTGACTTACAGAGGTGAAGCCTGTATTGGTCCAAGCACAATCATTTTGATTAATTTTATTTATCTATCCACTGTTTTCACAAATTCCAGTCTTTCTTTGGAAATTAACAACAACTTTTTAAAAATCCATTGGCTCTTTGCTATTTCATGTTAATCTTAATATGTTTACAGTAGTTCTGTGTGATTTGTTGTTGAAAAATACAATATTTGTTACTAATTGTCACAATTTGCCCTGAAAGCCACTAGTGTGAAAAAGTAATACACCTTTGGGTGACAAGGATTATGGCTGCTATCCTAAACACTAAGGATAGGATATCCTAAACGTTAAGCAGCAAGCCACATTGATTAGACTGGGGCTTCTAGGCATACGAATGCCCTGTAAATGTTTTTGCTACAAGTCATAAGCACTTTACTGGGATTTTCTGTTTAATGAAAGCAGGAAAAATCTCTCTCTCCATGTAAAACTAAAAGAATACCCTGGCATTCTGCCATTATTTGAGACTTAGTTTTACTGAATCCACATTTTATAGGTTGATAGAAAAGCTAGGGAAAATACATCTGGGTTGATGTCAGTGTGACAATATATTCTTGAACAGCTTCAACCTATCAAGTTTATTTCATTTCATTATACACCAGAGTATCTTAGAATCATGGAGTTGGAAGGGACCTCAGTGGTCATCTAACCCAACCTCTTGCTAATGTAGAAAGTCGATTGCTAATTGAGTAGGATCCTAGATCATCACAGTAAATGTTCAATACAGGGTTATATCCTAGAAGAACAGCTAAGTAATCCACAGGAATAATAGATCTCACATGGGAAGGATCACATCATATTCTGCATTTCACTGATTAGGAAGGTGGGATTTTGCCTTGAGTCAATCAAGGCATAAGCTCGGGTGATCATAAAGGAACTACCTACAAAGCCCAAGGGAGCCCTGCTTCCCACTTTTAGCTCTTTTTTCCTTTGCTGAATTAATAGCATTTCAGTTATAACTGTTAATAGATATGTAATTTGGAAGCATGCAAGATGAGTTATAGGGAGTCAAAAACAACATATTTTATGACCTTTTCCAAGCTTGCATCGTGAACAATTAAAAGATTATAATGTGCATTCTAATTTTTGAGATGTTGAATTTAATTAAATGAAGGCAAGTCTATCATCTTTTAACAAAATCAAATTATTTCTGGAATCAGTTTACAACAACAACAACAACAACAACAATAATATAATTACAATCTGTATATACAGGGCAAAATGTGTATTTATGTACTCTTGAAATACTTAGTGACCAAATTTCCAAAACCCAGTGAGTTGTTAGAAATGTTTCCATTTTCAACTGAATTTTTAGCTGTCTGTATAAAATAGGCATGATCTTCAATATTCAAATACTGTATTTTTCTGTGTCTATAAGACACCCCATGTATTAAAACACCCCCTATTTTGGGGGCCTCCGATTTAAGAAAACGGGGGGGAGATCTATCCGTGTATAAGATGCCTCCAAATTTTGGACATTATTTTTTAGGGGGGGAAATAGTCTTATACATGGAAAAATACGGTACTTCATCTCTCTTTTTGCACTTTTAGACTCATTCTAATTGATGCAGCCACACAATAAATTATTTGGTCCAACATTAGGACAGCATCATATATTGCATTGTGAGCAATTGCCAAAGTGGAAAAATTGCTCTATTTATTGTTTTTTAAAGGAGGGGAAATCGTTTTTGTAACAACTGTGATAAATTCAAAGGAACTCACCAGATTTCTGCACCGTTTCCATGGCAGCAAGAAGAACAGCTGTAGTGCCTTCTGTAAATGTCCAAAGTCAAATACTGGAAAACCTGTTTTTCTAAGCTCTTACTACTTTACTTCATTGCAGCTGGTTACCTTCTGTTGAAGAACGGAATATAGTACTAGATGGAAGATTAAATTTTGACCAAGATTGCAATTCATATCTCTTTAGTGTGCTCAAGTTTAAGCAGATGTACCCCCATCCCTACTATAAAAATGATATCCAAAGTAGCAGAATAAAAAGATAATGATAAAATGACAAGATCTGGGATTGCCTGTTGTTCGCACACATGCAAATACCAACAAACTCTTACATGTAACAGGAGATTCACAAAAATTTCAATTTTATAATTAATAACAACTGCTAGGATCAGCATCCCTTAAGCAAATTTCCATTTCCAGACACACTGTCTACTGAATATGACCAGTTTGGGGGGGCAGGGAGAAAGAAACTCTTGCACTGCACACAAATGGAAAAAAGAAGCCAAAATTTATCACTCAGAGCACATATTTAGAAATGGTTGCCAAATTGAGTTTCATTTCTTGCAATTAGCCCTGCTGTGATTTGCAGCTGGTTATTTAGTGGATGAATCGAATAGGTCTTCAACACACTCTTCTGTTGTTGGCAAAGAGTGTGACTTCCCAAACTACAGCACAATTAGTTTTACGAAGAGCGGTGTTTTAACTGTTCAAAGCACAGCTGTTTGTGGATGGATCCAAATTAGCTGGCTGTAACCCAGAATAAATGTATTTATCTATTTATGACATTTATGGGGTTCCTCTCAAGAAAGCCTCCCACCTGTCTGCTGCAACATGCATCCTGGTCTAATTAATGACTGTGTTGCTGTTTTGCTAGAAATTAATTTAATTGGCTTGTATTCTTCTTATTGACTTGGTTTTATTGTGTGCTTCCCTGGGAATCCTTGAAGGCTGACAGGCAGTGCCTAAATAAATAAATAAAATGGGGGGTTGGTACATCTGCGTGGGATAGTACCAGGGACACAATGCAGCAGTGATGACAACACTATCTCCTGGGGGGTTTATGTGAGAATTGCATGTGTTCTTTTTGTTGTTTGTAAATCTATGCTACATATTTTATTTATTAATTGGTTTATTATTAAATATATATTTCAGTGGTGCCTAGGGCAGCAAACACGAACAGTAAAAGAAAACATCTAGAAACAATTCCAAAACAAACGCAGGCTGGGAAAGCTCTTTACTTGAAAGACTTGTTGAAAGAGAAAGGGTTTCACTAGCTGCCAAAAAAACCCCAATGAAGATGGTGCCTGTATAATATTTGATGGGAGGGAATTGCAAAAGATAGGTGCTCGATTCCTATATTATGTGGAACACACCTCCTGATAAGATGGTATCTGCAGGAGGCCTTTGCTCACAGAGTGCAAATTATTCATTCATTTATTAAAAGTTCTATACTTCCCTTCATCAATGCATCGCAGGGCCGCTTAAAATACGTAACACAAAAATGCACACCATAGTAACAAACGGAAACAATACCTCTCACAGTTCAAAAGGGCACAGATTGTTTTTGCCTGGCACCTAAATATATGTAACAAATGTGGTAGGCCAGCCGCCCTGGGAAGAACATTGCACAAGTGGGGAGCTGCCACAAAAAAAAAAGGCCCACTTTTGTGTTGTCCCCCTCCGGACCTCTCAATTGGGTTTATAAGGGGTGAGATGATCTTTCAAGTATTCTGGTCCCATGCTTTATAGGACTTTAATACACCAGAACCAGAAGCTTGAACATAGCCCCGTAGCTAATTGGCAACCAGTACAATTCTTTCTGTAATGCATTTTGCACTTGCTGCAGCTTCTGGGCCTCAAAGGCAGCCATACATAGAGTGCATTGTAGACCCTCCAAGTGTCCCTATTTTCCAGGGACTTCCCAGATTTAGAGAAGATGTCCCGGTTTCTGATTTGATCCTGGAATGTCCCCCTTTTCCTTAGGATGTCCCTATTTTTATTGGAGAAATGTTCGAGGGTATGGAGTTATCCAAGCCATCTGAGGGCAATGCTGTATAGATTTTTTTCAGTGTTTAATGTTTTATTATGTTTTTATATATGTAGGAAGCTGCCCAGATTGGCTGGGGCAACCCAGTAAGATGTGTGGGGTATAAATGGCAAAATTATCATTATGGAATGGGACGTCCCTATTTTCATCGGAGAAATGTTGGAGGGTATGGCATGACAGTAATTTAAGCTCTCTTAGCTCCTCTTCTTTTGATGTGGTGGCAACAGCTCAAGGCTAAATTGATTCCTAGCTATGGTTTGTGCAGATGGGCAATAAAGTCACATTAAATTATAATTAAGATGCCTGCAGGGGAAAGCCTATCTATTTTTTTAAAAAACAACAGCCCATCTTGCTTTAAATAAAGAGAATACATGCTTTACACTTTGTGTCCTGCTTCCCCCCACTGTTCATACTTCTTTTGATATGTGTATATATGCCAGTGAATCCCACATTATAAATCACAGTGTTTATAATACTTGTACACTCAAAATGCAGCTGGACATTTTAGATGACACATTTAAAAACACAGACAGAAATTGAACAGAACATGCTACAAAACTCATTGGAGCTGGAATTAAATAGTTCTATCACCTTATAATTGCTGAGGATCTTGGTGGACTATTTAGTTATTCTTTTCTGCCTGTTGTAGCTATTATAATGCACTGTGCTATATGCCAGGGTTGCCATATTTCAAAAAGTGAAAATCCAGACAAAGTTGTTGAGCTTCTTTTTCAAAATCGCAACACAAAAAAAGAAGATGAGGAACATAAATTTTTAAGGAAGTTTTCCCAGACATTCAAGCAATTTCCGCTCAGATGATATTTACGAGGTCCAAATCTGGAAAATTTCAGACATATGGCAGCCCTACTATATGTTATGATTTTAAATTGTATTTTATTGCTTCTTTTATTTCTTACTTTGCATTTTATTGTACAGTATTATAATTTGAATCACATCTAAATAAAGCTTGTTTAGGGAAGCCTTGGTATAGATAACACTATAAGGATAGAAAATACCATTTTTCTTTGATTGCCACAAGTATGAATCCTTGCATCAGGTGGCATCATCAGATCACTCTCTGGTCCATATGGCTTATTATGTATGATAAAATAATAAACTCTTAGTAGCAAGGCTTTAACTGTAGTCACCTCGGATCTTTGGGATGTCCTTCCTACCAAGATCAGAAACTATTGATGGCAACTTTGCAGAGGTGTCACATAGAGTAATGTGTAAGTGAATGAGCCATTTGTGAAATCCCCATTGCAACGTGAACTGAATGGTAGCTTGGTATTGGGCAAGCTACCATTTTTCTGCCAATCAATACATTTATGTGAGTTGTGGCAATCTTGTGGAATAAAAACATAAGAGCACAAAGAGCTACCACTGCGTAGTGCTGTAAATGTCTACTCAGAAGTAAGTCTTATTTTCATGGGACTTACTCGCAGGTAAGTGTGTGTGGAACTGCAGCAAGTTAAACAAGGGATTTGCTCTATATAATTTTTTTTTGAACAGCTGATCTCCATGACATACCACATACTGTTTCCCAGAGTGCTCAACTATTTAAAAACAGAGTGCCATGGGGTTGGCTGGGGTACTGTTTGAGAAGAACAAGTTGAGAAATTGGAATTGTGGGATCATGGTATAATTCACATTGTAAAGGTACAGTAAAGGGACTACTGACTGTTAAGTCCAGTCGCAGACGACTCTGGGGTTGCGGCGCTCATCTTGCTTTACCGGCCGAGGGAGCTGGTTTACAGCTTCCGGGTCATGAGGCCAGCATGACTAAGCTGCTTCTGGCGAACCAGAGCAGTGCATGGAAACGCTGTTTACCTTCCCACCAGAGCGGTACCTATTTATCTACTTGCACTTTGACATGCTTTTGAACTGCTAGGTTGGCAGGAGCTGGGACAGAGCAACGGTGAGGATTCGAACCGCCGACCTTCTGATCGGCAAGCCCTAAGCTCTGTGGTTTAGACCACAGCGCCACCCGCATCCCATCAATTCACATTGTAGCATAGGTAAAACTCAGATAAGAAACAAACAAAATATGGCAGATATCCATGCAAATGTAAAAGCGCCAACTAAAGGCCTAAAACCTAGTAATTCACCTTGTATTCTTGATTAATTTATTACAAATATTTATATCCCAGTTTTCTGGTTCAAAAGTGAACAACTGAGGTGACTAACACAAGCAGATGTTTAATACCACACAAAAGAGAGAGAGATTAAAAAGCTAACTGATGAGCAGCACACAAGCACACATTCTATAATCCTGGTGGACATTTTATTAGATTTTAATAGAACCTTGTGACAAACCTTCTGAAATAATGACAGTGCTTGCATTTTAAAAGTATGAGATTATAACAACATCAGAGCTCTGAGCAATTTGAAATAATTAAAAAGGCAAACAATTTGCTCTCTAATTTATTATGAAAAAGGTTGCTCGACGGTGTGTATACACACACACACACACACACACACACACACAAATATACTTGGCAACATTTCAGTTTGACTCATTTTATTTGGGGAATGGCTCTTATTATATTGTTTGGGGTATAGTTCCCACTCTGGAGCCTTCACATTGGAACCTTGGCTTGCACTGCATTTCTGGCAATGGCAAATGCATTGTTAATCCCCATAACTAATAGCATTTCTGCTCGTCTCATGTCGCTTTTGGCAGCAGGCTTTTTAAAGTGCTAGTCTTTCTGATAGACTCAAGGCATCAAATGTGTTTATACTATCCTGAGCCCATGCTACATTATAAAATGAGCACCAGCATCTTCTGGCATGTCCATTGCACTAAGCAGGTATACTTCACAACAGGACACTAGATAAAAATGTTTGGCACTGCAACACAATTGAATTGTTCGATGTGCTGTTAACTGGAAAAAATTATTTTTGAAACATTATTCTAAAAGATGAGCTACAGTTTAGTATTAATTTGTTTTCATTGGTAAGTTTCAACTGTTGCTCTCCACATGGAGGAACAAGTCTTCAAAAGTTAAGACACAGGCTTAGCTCAAGTATTTGTTGTTTTAAATATGCTATAAAAGCAAATGTTACTAAAGGTGTATATAAAAGGTTTTTAAAGTGATCTGGGGATTCCTTGCCCTTCATGTCCAGTAACTACTTGACCCTACTTAGAGATTTTAGCCTGTAAGTGTAGAGATAACCAAAAAGACTTTCCTGTGTAATCCATTTCTCCTCTCTCTCTTTCTCTTCTCACAGTGACTTAATGTTCATACCAGTGAAAGAACTGAACACTCTAATTTAGAATGTTCTAAGATGGTATCTGAAGTATTCTTCACAAACTGATCAAAGGCTAATTTTACTCTTCTGTACAGACCTCACAGATTCCCTGCTGTTATGACTGAAAAGAAAGGCTGCACATTTACACTTCAGTGTTACAGCTGCGTGGAGTGGTCAACCTGTATCTTATTAGGCCAATGTTTGCTGCAGATAAGAAAAGATTATACCCATGACTTAAGCCAGCAAATAAATAAATAAATAATTTCCAACAAATTTGACCATACTTGTGTATAACTGAATGTGGCAGCAAACCTTTACCCTCGAATACTGGTTGTTGTTTAGTCGTGTCTAACTCTTTGTGACCCCACAGACCAGAGCATGCCAGGCTCTGTGATCTCATCTATTAGCCTCGCTATAGATACTGAAAAGATGGAAGGGGTGAGAGAATAGATAGTGACCCATATTTTGTTGGTGCAGATGTGTGATTACACAAGGCAAAAGTCATGAACTAGAAAGAATTAACTCCCTATGTGCTCTTTCCAGTCATGGAGAATTAGAGTTGCTTTATTCTAAGTTCTCTATTCTGAGTGTGCTGCGCAATTTATAAACCTAGTGCTCTAGATTTATTAGGATCAGAATTACAAATAGGGGCATGCAAACAAGTTCCTTTTTTTTTGGTTAGTAGAGACAGTGTTGAGGCAGTGTGCAGTGCATTACCTGGAACATTGCACTGCAGAATATGGCCTAGTTGCACACCACTCTAAGCCAAAATTGAATCACAGGTTATTGAACAAATGGCGTGTAAACCACAAGTCAGTGTTTCAGTTGACTGCAGCATGCCTTGTTTGTGTGTGGGGTGGGGATAAGTTGTTGGGTCAGGTTAGCCATATTGATTTGTATGCTGTTGGGGGGGGGGATAGGTAATTGTTCTGTTGTGCTGTGTAGGTGATGAAGGGGAGCCATAAGGAGGAGAGGACTTAACCACAAGCCAGAGTTGGGGCAACATGCTAAGCCAAACATTGATCTAGCTGCTGTGCTGGATTTAGCTAGAAAGATTTGGGAGGAGCAAAACAGCTGCCGTCTCTCCCTGGCAGCTCACACATTTGCACTAATCCATAGTTTGACTTAGCATTGCGTGCGAATGTGGCACTTTTTGGGGGAGAGGGGTCCTTTCTAGAATAATAGAATGGCATTGTTTTCTAGGTTTGTTACACACACACTTATTTTTGGTGCCTGCTAAAACATTTTTGTTTAGACAAGCCTACACAGATATCTAGAATGGTGATATAATGTTTAGCTTTATGCCTATTTTTTGAATGTTTAAAATAATTGTTTCAATTATTTTTTAAACAATAATTTTATTTTTTTATTCTCTTTGTAAACCTCTTTAAGGATTTTTTTTAAATCAAGTGATATATAAATTTTATGAAATAAATATAGAACCAACAGAACTCATATTTTAGACTAGTAACTTATTTATATGTTGATATCATACTGAAAATCATGTTTTTTTGGGAAAAAACACTTTGCACATTGAAAGTGTTTGTCATTCAAAAACAAACAGTGTCCTAAAATTACAGTATTGAGTTTCTTTTGACCGTCTGGCAACTACTTTTGTTTTGTTTCCATTTTAAAAAAAGTAGAATGGAAACTTCACATCCTAAACATACATTCATAAGCTATCAAGAAAAAACAGGAGAATGCAATGTAGTTTATTATATATATTTCCTATCTTAAATCCCTTTTCAAAAAAACTTTATTTGAAGAGAGAATGTATGCATGCTTAAATTAATTGTTTGCTTAGATTCCCTTTTCTTATCTCATATCAAGTCTCAAGGAGAATTATTAAGATGTAATCATTTTGTTTTGACAACTAACTTTAAAAAACACACACCAAGATCTACGGAACCAATTTAGTTTTGGCCTGCGATTCTTGGACTAGGAACTAAGACCTATTGATATCCTTGCTGTCTAAAAGTTTGTAACTGCCTCCCACAATGTGGTATCCGGCAGATGTTTTGGACTACAGCTCCCATCACCCACAGGCAGTGTGGACATTGGTTTAGGTCAGGGGTAGGCAACCTAAGGCCCGGGGGCCAGATGCGGCCCAATCGCTTTCTCAGTCCAGCCCGCGGACGGTCCAATAATCAGCGTGTTTTTACATGAGTAGAATGTGTCCTTTTATTTAAAATGCATCTCTGGGTTATTTGTGGGGCATAGGAATTCGTTCATTACAATGGTACCTCGGGTTACATACGCGTCAGGTTACAGACTCCGCTAACCCAGAAATAGTGCTTCAGGTTAAGAACTTTGCTTCAGGATGAGAACAGAAATTGTGCTACGGCGGCAGCAGGAGGCCCCATTAGAACAGTTTCAGGTTAAGTACGGACCTCTGGAATGAATTAAGTACTTAACCCGAGGTACCACTGTATTTCCCCCCCAAAATATAGTCCGGCCCACCACATGGTCTGAGGGATGGTGGACTGGCCCACAGCTGAAAAAAGTTGCTGACCCCTGGTCTAGGTCCTAGGATGATGGGGAGTTGTAGTCCAACAACATCTGGAAGGCACCTTGTTGGGGAAGGCTGATTTACAGGATCAGGTCCACTATGGCTAAGTTACTGATTTAAACCAGCCTGTAAATGTATTGGTAGTGTCATTTGATTGCTGAGTGGAAATTTAAAAAGCAAGCAAGGTTGCTGTGGTCCTGAAGGTGTGACCTAATTTTCAAAACAGAGAAACAGTCTTTTTCTTAAAACTCTGTGAGAGAAACTTATTGACCTTTTGCCACACACATGGCATTTTATATGAGGCATACACACAACTGTGGAGTTGTGATAACTGAGGAAGCCTGTAATGAGTTATGCCAACTCAGAAATCTAAGAATTGAATAAGTAGGTGGAGAGTCAGTTATTCAGTTTGGACCAAAAGCAGATGTAAAATACCCCCATTAAAAATGGATAACCAGAAACCTTACAATAGATCTTTAACCTCTACATGATTCCCTGAGCACACAACAGAACATGTCAAACTTCCAGTGATAGTTCTTTAATAACGAATATATAGTGGGTTGGATTGAATAATATGTGAAAATACATTTTCTTTTTTTGCCTACCCAGTCAGCCTTCCCTGCTTACAGGCATTCATGCAGGAGCATAGCATTTGAGTAGGGCCACTGTGTGTAACAATCTTGCACATGGATGATTCCTGGATTTTATCTGGGGTAGAACTATGCTTTGAGACTATTCACATAGGACTTCATGCTAGTAGGTCCTAATTAAATGTTATTGTATGGATGACTGAGGACACTGGAAAAGAGTTGGATAGGGAGTGAGATGACTGTGGTGGATTGGGGTTAGGTCTGATCCTAGCCCAATTTGTATTAAGTGTTAAAATCACTCCTTACAATTGATTTTAGTAATCAACAGTCCTGACAGACTAGTGTCCTGACAGACATCGTAGATGCAGGGCTAAAAGAATAGTGCCGTCCCTTAAATCATTTAGTACGTTGGGTGATATTTGATCTGGGGACTTCCCTGCACTAACAGCACCAGCTCCTAGGGAATTGATTGTAGATATGGACATTTACAAAGAGAAATCTTCCGCAGATAATATGCCTAGTGTCTTGGCAATATTCCACTACCATCAAAACACAATGCAATGTAATAATGCATGAAGTCAAGTTAAAATGCCTGTGCCACTCTACCGTGGAAAGGAGCATATTCTGTCTGTGTTGATGCACCTAAATCCTATGGAAAGCAAGGGGTCGTAATGAAACATTAAGCTGTAGGGCTTAAGTCCGATTAATTTAGTGAGAATTATGTATTCCTCTAACTTTCTCTGGATTGCACCCATTGTACTTAGCTACTCGTAAAACTGCGTTCCTGATTGTCAAATAATTATTCCCTTTTTTCTGTTGCCAGTACTTCAGCTAAGGCTACAGCAAAGGCGGACAAGAGAACAGCTGGTGGATCAGGGAATCATGCCACGTAAGACTAATTTTATTTTTTGCAGCTTGTGCAGCACTGAATTCTCAGACTTCTTGCTGAAGACAAAAGGAAATAACCAATAACATTTATGGCCCCCAGAAAACAAAAGGGATAATCAAAATTATGTGCTTTCACTGTCTTTTCTTTCTCAGACACAAATACACACACACAAAAATATTTCACCTTTGTGGAATTTGTCTACCATTTTTAAGTTGTATGTCAATTTAGAATTATTGCTTCAGAAGCAACTAAAAAACCTTTATTGCTTGGAGATATATACTGTTTCTAAAACATGATTCAGTTGGTCAGAACCCAAAGATACCTTCCACATGAGAAAGTTGCGTAACACATGTGGAAGTTACAATGGAAAACCTAATCATGTGGAGCTGGGTGGGTTTTTGGTGTGAGAGGCTAGAATGAGGGGCTGGTTTTGTAAGGTTGCTGAGTGGCGGTTTGGGAAGAGGTGGCCCAAGGCAAGAGTCTGGGTTACACTTTTTAGTAGACTGCTAGGGTCTGTTTCCACTGCACTTTCAATAAACCTTAAAGATAAGCCTCTTAGGGTGTGCCTCTTATAAGCCTCTTAGGGTGTGTAGGAAATGGGCTTTTTGTGTGCATTTTTAGAAACATCATATGCACTTTGTTTGCTGCTAATTGTTTTATTTTAGCTTTGCTATCTTGTGATAAATTTCGAGCAGGCTTGCTTTCCATGGAGTTTGTTCCTATTTATGTCTTCTTCTAAACTTTTCCTTCATTTGTGTGTTTGTGAGTTGGATAGCTTATGTGTTTGGGTGGAGGAAGAGGTGGGTGAGGCGGAGGGGAAGAGATGCCCCAATCCGGACATTCAGTGGCAAAGTGGGATGCAGCACAGGTGGATGAAGAGAAGATAATAGCAAGCAGTTAATTGTGGCCTTTTCTCTTCTACCAATCTGTCCTCCAGGCTGGTAGTGCTGTTGCTGTATGCCAGGTTGGTCATTGCCATTCCTTATTTACAAATTGATTTTGGGTGAAGGAGCTGACCTGGCATGCAGTACCATGATGTGAGTGTGTGTGCTAGGTGAGACAGATTTCACTAGTTTGTCCCTATGGTACTTGGTACAATATCAGCGTAGGCTGGGTAGATGACACTTTGAGTGCAAGTGACATAAGTCTCATAACCAAGACAACTGATGATAAAGGCATGTAATCTAGCCCACCCTGTGCTGTTGGTGATATCAGCAAAGAAAGCTTACTTCTGCCCCCATTGCATCCTCCAGTATTCATCCAGCAGAGTTTTTCTGTGATGAATGATTTAAGATCTTGCCCTGTGGAAATGGCCTGGAACCCTCAGAAACCTGCTATGACAAGTTTGCTAGGCATTTTGAGAGCAAAGTTATTTGATGTCATTGATAATACAGCTCTAGAGGAGGTGTTTAGATCCCCCTCAAGCCTGGATGTTTGGTATCAGTTTCAGATATCAGGGCCTGATGATGCAAAACAAGATGCTTGAGGATACTTGAAGATGTCTATCACATGCAGGTCTAACCCTTGTCCAACTTGGGTTGTTAGAGTTAGCTGGGGTATTGAATGAGCGAGCCCAGAGGGTATTTAATTCTTCATTGCAGGAGTAGGTAATGCCTTCTGCATTAGAGGTGGCAGTAGTGCACCCTCTCCTCAAGAGATCTCCCTGGATTCTAGAGGTTTGCATCAAGTACCACCCAGTTACAAAGATTCCCCTTTCGACAAGATGCTTGAGAAGGTGGTGGCTGCTCAACTTCATATGCATGTGGAGGAAGCAGGCCAAATTATGCTGTTTGGGAACTCCTGAGTACAACCAATCCCTGGCGAAAGTGAGGTTGCCAGTCAGCTAATCAGTGCTAACTGTGAGTCCCTTTTGGCAGGGATGGGGAAGAGTAATGCAAGGGAAATGGGAGAATAATGAGAGTGCGTGAACATTATTTTTGTTGATGTAAGGCAGACACCTGAACCAACCTTTTATTCTCCATACACATATATTTGGTTTCTGTTTGCTGTTTCTACACAATTGTCACCTCATTCTCTAATACTTACTGGTATATAGAGGGAAATTAATGCAAGCACCTCATTTTTCTGCTCATGGTCCTTTAGAACCCACTCAATATTAATGATGTTCATTGAACTTATTGGTCGATGTAGGTTTTATTATTACTAACAAAAAGCTCGTCATTATGACAGGTGGGGGAGGGCAACAAAGAGGAGGCCATATACAGTGGACAGAGTGCATTCAATGTTAGTTAGTAGAAACAAATATCAAGGAGTATAAAGTATCTGTCTTTAACAGTATGTTCTGATAGTTTCATGTCAGTCTTTTACTTCTCCATTGTAGCTTTGAAGAGCCCAGCTGCATTCCATGAGCAGATAAAGAGCTTGGAAAGAGCCAGGGTAAGGAATCAAGTTTAAACGTGTTGCTTCATTCCTCACATATATTTGCATTTGGAAAGGGTGAGATATGCAAGATATGTGAAACAAGATGAAACAAAACTAGATTATAATCTCTGGAACTAAATTTTGGGGTCATTTTTAATGAAATTTAAAGTCCTACAGTAACTACTACAAACAAGCCAAAAACAGGCAACAGTATGATTACTTATAATATTCTTCAGCCCTTTCCCCAGTCACCCTCATCTTCCACTGAATATAGATTTACAGTAGATAATCCCAGCCGAGATTCATTTTCTGTCCAAACAAACCACAATGATGTAAAGCCAAGGGTTGTTCTTGGCTTACGAATTGTGGTTTGTCTGGTAGAAGCAAACCCAGAGCACTGGTTTGCATGTCCCTCTAAGCCAAGGCTCATGATTTGTTACTCCTGGCCCAACAAAATGAGCATTAGTACACTGCTCATTCACAGTAAGCCATGGTTTATGGTTTACCATGATAGGTGCCAGTGTGTTTCATTGTAATGCAATATAGGACTCAATCATAGAGTAGCTTAAACTCAGTGCTGCTTAATGACATTCGGGGGAAATGCTGACTTGTATTTCCTGTGGTAAGTGTGTTGCGTATTCACATTCAATCTGCTCAATAGAAGTGGCCTTAAAAAATGGGCAAACTGCACTATTGGGAAGTCATTATTGTATTTAAAAAATCAAACAGTTCAAATACAACATAAAGTCTGGTGGTTGTAACTGCTGACTTGCTAGGAATCCTAAATTAGATTTATACCACATTTTGTTCACTAGCGTCACTATGTAGAGGAATAGGTTTGAAATACGTCATCTACAAAGAGTAAATTTGTATGAGTTGGATCTTGGATTGTAAAATGTGAAGGGGAGAAGTCTGCATTTTATCCCTTATTGTGTGAGTTGCCAAGAACCTGATGTTCTGTAGTATTCTCTAAATGATTTAATAATAAACATAAAACATAATCTTCCGATGTAAGGCAACGTCTTGCAAAACATTCTCAGATGGTTACTCTTTTTCTGTGACCAAAGAATTTTAATAATTTCCTTCAATGACAGCCGTTCAGGACTTCAATAAAGACATGTACTCTGAAAGCCATTTCCCAAAAATGTTTCCTTAAAGTGAACTGTTTTGGGTGAATTGCCAGTAAATGTGGTATATTTAACGTTCATGCATTTTTTCCTTCAGACTGAAAATTTTCTGAAGCACAAGATACGCAGTAGACCTGATAGATCAGAGTTGGTCAGAATGCACATTCTTGAAGGTGAGGACCCTGATGTCATATTTTCTGGCTGAACATTTTAAAACGCTCAATATGGCTTCAGAACTTGAATATATTCCAAACCTTTAGAAAAGCCAATGAATCTCCCTTGATAAAACTAATTATTAATATGTGTTGATAAAATCTAATTTTCTCGATTTACATATTTAGCAATCTTTGATTTAAGGTAAAGTGGATATTAGGGACATTAACTGTGTTGTGGTGTTTCTAGACCTCTTAAGAAATAATATTTATCTGCTTGTTTCAAAAATATATACTTTGATTTCTGCTTCAAAAACAAATGTAGCTGCAAAGATTGTACAGTGCCAGAAATGCATAGCTTGTGGTGAACTGTGATAGCCATTTAAAATGGTCAGCAAATGCTCTCTAGAAATGCATGAATAATGTGATCTAGATGTTGAAAATATGGTTGTAATATTAAAATCAAAACAAATGTTCATAAAAAGGAGTTGGAAATGGTATAGTTCTTTTTAAAATGTGTCCCCTTTCTTCCAGAGACCTTTGCGGAACCCTCTCTACAGGCAACTCAGATGAAACTGAAAAGAGCACGATTGGCAGATGATCTGAATGAAAAGATTGCTCAGAGGCCTGGTCCTATGGAACTTGTAGAAAAAAACATCCTTCCTGTAGACTCCAGTGTCAAAGAAGCGATTATAGGCAAGTAGGGAAGCTGTGACATCATCAACACCATCATCATTTATTATTTATACCCCGCCCACCTGGCTGGGTTTCCCCAGCCACTCTGGGCAGCTCCCAACCAGATATTAAAAACACAATACAGCATTAAACATTAAAAACTTCCCTAAACAGGGCTGCCTTCAGATGTCTTTTAAAAGTAAGATAGTTGCTTTTCCCCTTGACATCTGATGGGAGGATGTTCCACAGGGCAGGCGCCACTACCGAGAAGGCCCTCTGTCTGGTTCCCTGTAACCTCACTTCTCGCAGTGAGGGAACCGCCAGAAGGCCCTCGGTGCTGGACATGGGTCTATTGATGCAGAAAAGAATGAGAGGTGAAAACCTGAGCCTTAAAGGACCTTCCAAGTTATGAGGTTTTGAAAATATACATTTAAAAAGGTGCATTTGTGAAGTCATTTGTTGTAGAAGATCCAGATGGTTTCCCTCAAAAAACATTTTTAATCATAATTTATTTATTTTAAATAATAATAATAAATTAAAAATAAAAATGTGTGCCCCATCCCCAGACCATTTCATTCTAACTATCCGACCTCCCAAAATTTTAACACCTCTTGTGATGGTTTGACCCTTTCCATTTTAACAGTACAAATTCTACAAATACCTTCCTCAAAATCATTTCACCTGCATATTTCCCGTCTTAGCACATGTTAATTTATCATTAATAGCTATGGCTATCATAATTTATTTCTGTGAGTATAAATACCTGTGTTATGACTCACATATTTATTTATATGTTTGTTCTGCTGGTGTTGTGGTTGTCATCAACGGAAATGCAAAGCATATTTTTTGCAAACGCAATTATTAATTGATAAAGATTTGTCTTTCAGTGTCATCTGCTTCCTTTATGGGGGTTTTTTTGTTCCCTTTTCATTCTCCGTGTCCCTTACAGTTGGAGGTGCTGTATATCTGACACTCATTGGATAGTACCTATGACATCACTAGTGATGTCACTAGTGGCACAACTCCTTTCCATGATATCCAAGCCATTTTGTGTCCTTTAAAATTTTGAGAAGCATTTCTTACACCACCTCGTTTTTAAAAAATACTAAATACTCTGCACTCCTCTCCAGATCTGAAACACATGTTTCCCTTATACTTTCCCCCCAAAAGCAAAACACATAGATGTAGTTATGTCCCACAGCAATGCTACCATTTGCCCCTTGTTCATTTTGTGGAACAGGATACTGACACCAGACCAGGGATTGTTCTATTTTAAAACTAATGGGGAAAATAGCAGTATATTAAAGGAATCCTAAGAGCATATTTAAATGTCTGTTTTGTGGAACTGTGGACCTGCAGTCAGTGCACATTTGAGCCCCACATTCCACATACATATGTCATTCAGATTATGTCACACTCACACTTGCACTTGAAAGAAAATGAGCTTGCTTTTTCAAGGTACACATGACATTCTCCACTACCCTGATTTTTGAATCTTTCTTCAATATGATAATAAGTAAGCCAGTTACTGCCTTCAAGAGTACTGCTTTGTCCTCATCCTCAGCTACAGGAGAGGTTCCCCCCCACCCCGCTTTTCCTAGAACACATTCATTTAATCAGGTTAGTCTTTCTTATTACCCTCTCAGTTTTGTTCCGCTTAATATTTAACTTACGGCATAAAGCATGTTTATGGAATAGTTGCACAGAATGTGCAGTGTAAATCAAATTTCTCAGTAGTAATTAGGAAAAAAATAGGAAAAAATGCAGCCAAACTAGACACAACAGGGCCATTGTTCCTGGCCTGCCCTGTTCTCTCATATAAAGGAGGAGGCGGAGGACATGGAAGAGGGGAGCCAAATGCCCCCATACCTTGCTTCTACACAGTTTGTTGCTCCAGGCACTTTCTTTATTTTCTTGACCTCAATACTGAGTCAGAAATGGAGAAGATTACCTGGAGAAAAGAGATTATCCTCATTAAAACATGGAACCAAGGAAAGTTTAGCACCTCTCTGCCATGCACTCTTGTACTATTAAAATCTCCAACCTCTTTTATGTGGAACTGGAGTACTGTAGACGTATGATGAAAACAAATGTCCAACGCTACTTTGTTTAGTTTGGCCCAAACTCACACAAAGAAGACCTTCATACAAGAAGGTCTGTTACTTGTGAAATGTCCATAGGTCTTCACAGAATGAGTGCTGGATACATGTCAAAAATAACAAGTATATTGTTTCTTCATTATCATGGCATTAAAAGGTGATTTCTCACCCCCCCCCCTTTCATTTTAGCGGTTGGTCAGGAGAACTATCCTCAAGGATTGGATGAATCCTTTGATGAAGACAGCAGTGATGCTTTATCTCCAGATCAGCCTGCTAGTCAGGAATCCCAGGGCTCGGCAGCATCCCCTGGTGAGCCCAAAACAAGAGAGGCACCATCTCCAGTCTTGCCAACCCCCGCTACTAATCAGGTAAAGTGTCTTTATTCCATTCCATAACCTTAGTTATTGTCATATTTTGCTGTTAACCAAGTATTCTTAAGATATTCTTTCTCTATTTGATAAATGTCTGTTGTGTTTTATGAAAACCCTGAAGTTTTGGTGGGTAGAAAATGTTCATTACTTCAAGCAAGTCTGTCCATTTTTGTTAGATGCATATGCTCAGCAGGTAGATATCAAACTCTGCTCTGAAAAGCAGTAGAAAGTCTTCCCTGTCGTTCTTCAATATGAGCTCCAACATGCATAATAGTCAGGGATTTCTGTGCCAAGAAAACCCCCGGAATCCGTATATTTTCCATGAAACTTACATATAGTGGCTTCCTTTGCATACTTTCTTTTTCCTCCCAAACTTAATGGCAATGAAGGGATTGCAGTGGGGAGTGTTAACTCTCTCCTCTTCAGCCATGACCAACCCCTTGAAATCTCCCCCTGCTGCAAATTGGCTTGGAAGAAGCCTTCTGTTGGCTTTAATAAAAGACTCCACACACACACACACACACACACACACACACCCACCCACCCACCAGCTTGGTTATTGTATGTGGTGGTGGTAGGATCTTTTTGGAGAGTGTAGCTGGGGAACTCAAAAAGGTTGACCCTGTGATATCTTGATGTCTATAGATGAAAGTGCTGGACCTTTTTGATTCATCTAGAATAAATACACACAGCACTGTGGCCAGGAAATCTGTTAAATAAGTATGTGTTAACTATCCACACATCACACAGAACGGCCGTAGCATATTTATTTTTAGATGCAGTGTCTTTAAAATGTGACGTGGAAGATCATTTTGACTGGAAATGAATTCTCTTCTCCTTTTTACAGTTGTACTTGGGCTGAAAAATCTCCCTTATTATTATTATTATTATTATTATTACTCAGATTTGCTGGAAATATCTGTCTGTGGTGTCATAGCTGTTTCTTCTCTCTTCATGGTCTAGATATTTAACATTTCTTCATATGTGCAATCAAATAGTTAGCCAAGAACATAAATTTCTTTTCGTTACTGTTAGTACAAAAATAAATTAGATTCTTTTCCTTCTAAAAACTAAAAGCAGGATGAAGAAGTGATTGCACAACACAAGGTGTTCCTTGCTATCGTGCTCTTCCCAACTAGTTTTGAAGTAACATTTAAGAACACTTTTATTCATTTAGTTCAATTGAGAAACACTTGTAATTTAAAGTATTTCAGTGCTGGAAATTGTAGGTTTTTCTTGCAGAGGTTTTCTCTTGTGGTTAACGATTTTTGTGTAAAATTGCTAAATCCAATCTTTACCATACTTCCTTGAGACCAGACCAGATATTACACAATAGATTCATGTAACTATGTATGAATGATTGGATTTTAATTACAAGGATGGCAGTTTAAATGGAGAATTTTACAGAGAGGGGCTGCTTAGTTCTCTTCTACCCATTGGGGAAAAGATAGGGATATAGCAGCTTGGGGCAGGGGTTGAATTTGAGCAGCAAAATAGCTTATAGGGGGAGGCACTGGGAAACTCTTGCACACATCTCCGTTATAGTGTCCAGTTTATCATTACATGAGATATGAAGAATTTCATATCCTTTATCATTTGTATATGATTTAAGCAGTGTAATTACTTTTAAATATTTGATCAAAGCAGCCTTGATCTAAATTTTTCCCTTACTACTGTTTTCTCCACATTTCTCTCTCTCTCTCTCTCTCTCTCTCTCTCTCTCTCTCACACACACACACACACACACACACACACACACGAAATGTCCAGTGCTGCCCAGGAATTTGAAGACATTAAAATATATTGTAATTTTTAAACGGATAGTGTAATTTGGGGGTTTGGGGGTTGTGTGCACACACACACACACACCAACTCAGGACTCCAACCTGACCTGGGGAAGAAGCTGAACTGGCACTGAATAATGATAATAAAATGTTGTGGAGCTATTATTTAATTATGGTTAGTTTGGCCCACCATCTTGATTCAAAATGGTGCCTGGCATCCAAACATAGATGAAGACTGGTGATGATATTTCCAGAGGCATCCACATTTGTGCAGGTTGATGCCATCCTGCCAAATTGGGCAGCAAAACTTTCAAAGCTATCCAGATTGGCACAGGTTAGAACTGTCACACCAAAATTTGTGAAGACCTGCCAAATGGTATGATGAAATTTTCAGAGGTGTCAAAAGTAGTGGACCCAACATGCCAAAAAAGAGCAAAATCATGCCAGAGTCATGCTTGGATGTGCTATCTTGATTCAGAATGCTGTCCGGCATCCAAAGTTGTTGTTGTTATTTTTTTAACAAACTTGTCCTTCTCCCAGAGAAAAAACAAGCAAACATGGTTCCAAAATAGAGAGGACAATGATTCCCATTTTAAGTAATCCAAATCTTTATTATGTAACCAAAGGCCATCAGGACCAGGGCAAGAGCACAGGGGCTGCAGTCTTCAGTTTGGGAACACATGTTTTCTCCTTTGCACTAAGTCATGGTTTGGCTTAGCAAATCAGATCTGTATATCCTTGCCTCTCTAACAGGAATTCTGTTCAGAATGCCTGCCAGCCAGCTAGCCATTCCCTCCTCCAGCAGGCCGTTCCATCCCGTTCCACCTCTCTTCTCCTTTTTCCATGTTTTCCCTTTTTCCAACTGATACTATGTCTGTGACTAATGAGCTTGCACAATCCTTATAGGGCTGGGTTTCTTTGGGTGGAGTGGGGGGTTAGCTCCATCATTATGATCATCATCAAAATCATCATTATTTGTAGTTCTGCAAATAATGTTCTAGGGGTTTCCCCAAGCATTCTGATTCCTCCCTTTTTTCAATGATTTCATTTTGACTCCACTTCTATTGACAGTCACTGCCTGAATGCACAAGGAGAAGAAATGACAAATTGTTATTAATAACGTTCCAAATATTTGTTAAATGCACTTTTGTAGGCTTAATTTTTTTGTTTAATTTTGCCAAATTAAAATGTAATTCATGCAGCCAGTATGCTTGCAGCTGGTGAGTGCTGGGAACATTGTTTTCAGCAGTCCTAGTGCTTTGACCTAGAGAAAACTTGGCAGCAGTGGGATAGATTGGAGGAACCAAACCCTGAGTGTGGAGGGGAACCCTGGCCACACTCAACAAAATGTTCTCAACCTTTAGCGTGAATTTACTCTCTCTGACATGCTATTTCCAGTGACTTTTTCTGACAAATTTGGATACTTTCAGTAGCAAAAGGAAGACACAAACCATTTAAGGGGGGATGTTTAATTCTACAGGCCACTTAAAAAAATATTTTATTGATTTTTCAAAATTCTGCTGGTGACTTTTGAGACATAAATGTATCTAGAGTAAGACTTTCCTTTGGTTGCTCTTCTTGAGAAATTTTGGAGAATTTTGTGGCTCTAGTTCTTTTGGGGAATATGTGTGATGTACATTCTTTTAGAAAAGCCAATGCCAATGTTGAAAAAATAGTTACTCATTTTGTTTTGTTTTCTTTATGATCAGTATCCCACATTAACACCATCACTACCTGAATTTCTGAAGCCGCCTGTCACTGATCAGCACACTACACGCTCTGCAGCTGCTGCTTCTCTTACCCCAAATACCGTGTTGGCAACAAAACTCAGCAGTGGGCCAACACTAATAAAGGTATGAGAAAACAGTCATGCTTAATTTGTTTGGTTTATTTACTCTATTAACAAAGAAAAATCTCACAACAGGAGAGGTGAGAAATATTGCCAGATTCCTGTACTAGTATTATGGATCTTGCAAGACAGACATTTGAAAAATGAAACAGCATAAGTAAAGATAACTTTGTATAAGTACAGGTGCCACTGAAGCCATCACAGAAGAGCACAAATCATGGTCAAGTTGTTATTTGGCTGATATGTTAATTTTAAGCATCACATTTTTGCCAGAATCCAGTTCTATACGTTAAAGTAGAAGGTACTTCTGAAGGAAAATAAGTGATGTAAAAATGTATGACATTTACAAAATTCACTGAACAGTTATTTGTAGTTGGACTTATGGTGGTGGGGTTTTTTTTGCAAGTGTTTTGTTCCCGACACTGCATTTTCTGAGATGATGTGGGAGAAAGTAGGATGTTGGCAAGGGATGTTCAGCCTTCCTTGAAACACACACACACCTACGCACAAAGCCTTGCATTTCAGTGTCAATACAGATTTAGTTTTGCTATCTCCAAGGTTTATTATTATGCCAGCTGGATTAGTGGCCTTCAGAGGATTGCAGGCAAGGACAACCCTCTGCCAGTTTCTATAAAATTGTTTTATAAGGCATTTCCCTCAGTCAAATAGACCCAGTGGTGATGTCACCTATAAGCTAACCCAGCTTTTCCTGCAGTGGTTAGATTTTAAAGATCAAATATCACCTAAAGCTGTGTAATGCAACAGATCTCTGCCTTGTGAGGCAACTGTCCCTAAGAAGGGACAGGTAATTATTGGGAGTAGGATAGTCTGATAGGCCAATATTTGTGCCCTAACAAATACAAGCCAATGCTGCCTCTGCATCACATTTCCACCAACACTTACTGCTCATCCCTAGCATTTAGGAAGCCACAGACTGGAACTATCTAAGTTTGCTAGGCTTTGGAGAGTTTGCTTAGCAAAATAGTCAACAGCATGGGTTTAAGCGAACTGAACCTGCAAATGGTATCTGGAAGATGCTACCAATATACACTGGCAGTTATTGAGGACAAGTCAGAACTTTGCATGGTTGTGAGCATATGGAACTTGGTGCAGGGGATGTGTTGCATGTGTAATGGGAGTCCCCATTTTCTCCACTCCAAGTGCTAGTTCAGAAATGCAGATACGTAAGTTCAAATGTGTGTGGGAGCCTCTGTGGACATATGAAACATGTGGACATATGGTTTCAAATTTGGAAGACTTGGGGAGGGGACTTTTTGGATATGGTTAGCATAAATAGGAGACTAGTGTTTTTGATTAGTGAATCTGTGCTATAGTTGTTTTTTAATTCTTGATTGTAGCCAAGTCAGTTTGTTGCAGTGGTTGTGAAGAATTTCCTTAATAAAGTTCCTGTAACTGTAATACTGGACTGTCATCTGCCGTTTTTGTTTATAAGCATGGCCTGCAGCCCAACAAAAAAAAAGTTGACTGTTACATTTGCTTTCTGTTCTCATTCATTCATGATTATTTGTTCCAAAGCTACAAATTATTACAGACTAGTAGGACAGCCTGCACATTCAAATTGCTAATTGACACATTTGAAGTATCCTTCAGAGGCTCATGAAAACCAGCCAAGATGATGCATCTCTATATAGCATAAGAACGTGTCTAATTCTCTTTTAAAGCCAGCCACTTTCATGGCCATCACCATTTGAGAGAGGGAAACTTATTTTCTCCAAATCATGCATAATATACATCTCTATCATAATGACCCCTTACTCACCTTTTCTTTCAACTAAGAAGTCCCAGATATTGGAACCTTTCCTCATAGGGAAGTTTCTCCACCCTCATTTTCATTGCCGTTTCTGAACCTTTTCTAGCTTTACTCTCTTACAGGATCTGTCATTGGTATCTAAATAGAAACAATGCAACAAGAGAATCACAGCAAATAATGCAAGAAGAGAAGCACAACTTGCACAATGACTGTTATGAACCCCTAAATCCCTTTGCCTATCCTTTTGCTTATCTATTGTGCTAAGGATGGAGAATCTGTCATCTCTGGATTCTGTTGAACTCCAACTCCCACCAGCCCTGGCTAGCACATGGCTAGCTATGATGGGAGTTACAGTTCTGCAACATCCAAAGGGGGACAAGCTCCCCACCCCTGCTCTGTACAGATCTCTGAATTAGACAACCTTTAATGAAGTTACAACTTAGGTTGGAATTAACAGTACAGTTTCTCTTCTTGATATATTTGATAGAAACAAATGAACAAATTTGTGGTCGGTGCAGTTAATTCCTAAACATGCTGGGTAGAGCACATTTGCCTGACAGAGAATATACAAGCACAGAATAGAATTGCCTTTTATTTGCTAAAAGATAGTTGCACTATCCATAAGAGGAGACTGGCAGCCATCTGTACATAGCCATTGCAGATGCAGAAGTGCATCTGAATAACCTCTCTGTTACCATTTTGATGTTCCATTGGGCCTCATTGAAGTGACTGCTTGCATCTTTTGATTTGTATGGGGAAACAGCTGCTTATCTTGGGCCACCAGTTAATATAGTAATTGGTTGCCAGAGACTAAAGCTGGATTGGAGCCAATGTCATTTGTCATCAATGTATAATAATTATTATTATTTGTTTATTAAATTTATATACCACCCTCCATCTGATGATCACAGGGTGGTTTACTGCTGACCTAACTGGTATATAGAGAAGTTTTGGGGTGGAGGGGGTAGTGTCTTACCTCACAGGTAACCAACACAATTTGAAAGGTTAGTCATTTTATTTAGGACTGCTTCAGACAGAATATGGTCCACCCCCTGCCAGGCGGATTTGACAGAAGGGTGGGTCCACCCATTTATCAATAACCTGACATCATATGACATCTGGTATATTTGATCCCACTGGAAAGCAGTGGGACTTGTATTCAGTGCTGAATTTAAACAGTGCCAACTGTAAATCCCATTGCAAAGGAACCTTTGGGAGTGCACACTAAGCCGACTTGCATTCAGTGTTGTTTAAATTCAACACTGAATGGACAAGCCAGCATCCTAGTACTCACTGCTAAAATCGCTCCTGCTCCGCTCCTCCTCCTCATTTTTATTTGGAGAGAAACAAATCATAAGCACTGGTTTTCATATAAACCTAAGCAAGCGCTCTTGGCTTCTTTGTATACAAAGAGCCATGAGCAAAAGGGAAATCACTATGTATACTTTTGCAGAGTGACATCTTTGGGTTTAGCTGCACTGTTCTTACATGGGATTCTATTGCAAGGTGTAAAATAGCCCTTCCCTGAGCAGAAGGGAACCTTTGGCTCTAACTCATTGTTTATGTTGTCTGTCTATGAATAGCAGCCCCACCCCAAGAACCCAAGTGACAAACCTCGGAGCAAGAAAAGCAAAGAGCCAAAGCCCAGAGTGAAGAAACTGAAGTACCATCAGTACATCCCACCTGATCAGAAAGGTGAGAAGAATGAGCCACAGATGGACTCCAACTATGCTCGCTTGCTGCAAGAACAACAGCTTTTTTTGCAACTGCAGATCCTGAGCCAACAGCAGCAGCACTACAACTACCAGACGATTCTTCCTGCACCACTCAAGTATGTGAAGCTTTGTCAGTTTTCCCCCCTGTGTGGGAGAGGGGATGGTATTTAATAGGGAGACATATCAACTGCTATGCTTGCTTTGGTGTTCTGGGGCTTGCAGTCAGTTTTGGGGAGAGAGTAGGTTTCTGAACTACAGAAGAATTCTGTTGGAAATAAGGGAATTAAGGAACACAGGACTTGTCTTACTTCTATTTCTTCTGAAGGTTTTTGAAGCAAAGGAAACCTAGTTTGATAGGCAGGGGTTGCCATCCTCTTAAAAAAACCCACACACACACACACACCAAACTTGTTTCGTCTGGTTAAAGAGAGAGAGAGAACATAAAGCCCAATCATATGATCTGCTATGCTAGGCAAAAATGGATGCATCAACAACCCTCAACCATAGAACATTGCAGCAATTCAGTCTAGGACAACAGTACTATTTAAAGCCTTGCACATCAGATGTATATAGGATAGCAAAGGCAGGGTGGACACATGATGGTATAAAGCAAAGTTCTGGTCACATAGGAACAGCTCCTTGACCTTCACCCCAAATGAGGTGCCAAATCCCGTTATCCAAACAGACTAAGGACTAAACTAGATGGAGCATTAATTGTGTGTTTACAATAATGTGTGCTTTCTGCAATGTATGTAGCAGCCTTCAGATTATGGGGATGGGGGAGATTACTCTTTCTCTCTCTGCTACAGTGCAGATAAAATTGCCTGTCGAAAGCTGCTGTCTGTGTTATGGCCAAAAGGAGCTTCCACGGAAATGCATATTGAACCTGTGAAGAGACAGTGTTGTTGTTGTTACCATGACAGGGGTAGAGGAGTTAAAATTCTTTTCCCCATCTCCCACAGCACTGAGGCTGTTCAGTCTTTCCCATTGTTATTGTGAGAAAAAACTATGTCTGCTAATTGCATGGGCGCAATTAACATCAAATCTTGTTTAGTCCAGATGATGCTTCCGAAGTGTAGGCTGTGACTGTTAATCTGGAGCTAGCACTGTTGCAGGCAACAGGCCTTTGCAGACACCCATAGAAATGGGGCTTCCAGCCCTTACCATCAGAGACAAAGGGCTGTCTGTCTCTTATGCACACAGCATTTCATATTAAACATGTATTGTGTAAGTATGTATTAAATGCCACTGCAGGCATTCTCAAGGATAGCTATTTTAGTGTCAAAAGATAGGCTTTCTGCTTCTCTGAGATATTTACTGAAGTTATTATCCTGATAGAAACTGCTGGATTCCCCTTTTCTGGGAAGATCAAGGCCAATTTGCATGTACCACCCACCCCATGAAATGTGAATTGTCTGGATTCACATTTCAGCTGAGCCAATGAGGAAGCAGTACAAAGTGCTTTACAAATTCTTTCTTTATTTCAATACAAATTCCCTCCAGCATTTTTAAACAAAGGCCCTGTTGTTATGCTAACAGAATAAAATATATTTTAAAGTAACAAATGGTTTGGTCATTTTGCATTTCTAGTGGTATACTCTGACTTGTGCAGCATATACAAAATACTTCATAGTTAAGTGGAAAATCACTTCACATTCAAGGCAATGCATATTACAATGAGGTCATAGAGAAAATGGTTGAAAGCTTCAATTCCTTTTTTTCCTTCAAGGCCAGTGAGTGACAAACAGAGCAACACCGGGAGTGTACCACTGAATACTTTGAGCAATAGCACATCTTCCGCAGCAGCCAGCACTCCGAGACAGAACAATAATATTTCCAACAGAAAACCTGGGCCCCTGCCTCCTAGCTTGGATGATTTAAAGGTAAAAAAAAAGTGTCATGCGACCATTTCAAAAGTGATTTTTGTTTGCTTCTTGGGACCTCAAATGTTCCCAAATCATACCCTTCTCCCTTTACTCACCTTGTTCATTGCTACTTGGCTTGGATTGCAGAGATCTGGGTTCAATTCACTGTTTTGCCATGAAGCTCACATGGTGACATTGGGCCAGTCCCCACCTCTCACCCTAACCTACCTCTCTGGGTGGTTGTGGAGATAAATTTGTAGGAGTGGGAGTAGGAAGGATAGCATCTGTGGCTAATCTGGGCTCCTTGGAAGAAAAACAGGATAAAAAATATAGTAAATCATAATTCAGGTGCTTGCCTATTAATAATTCTTCATGCATGCAAACTTGACTGCACCTGACAACAGCTTATAGTAAAAATAATAATAAAGGTTACTTTGTAAGGTGCCATTGGGCTTGCCCATTAAGTGCAATGTTGCTTTCAGTTCTGCACACATAGGGAAGGGAATGTACATAGAGGTAGGTGATCAAGCACCACAGTGAACATGAAAACTTTGTGCTTCCAGGAACTTCACTTGCACATTGTTGCTCCTTGTTTAATGTTTTTCCACTCTTTGTCCAGCTCCTACTACTTCTTTACATTGTTCTTTTCATTGGTTTCCTCTCACTTCTCACCTTCGCTTCAACGTTTCGTGTCTTCCTGGTCTCTCTCCTCTATATCTATATTCTCTTCTATCTCTAAATGCTCCTTTCAGTTCATGCTCCACCTCAGAACACTTACTGTGCAGATACTAGTCTTCTATTTCAACCTAAGATTAATCTCACTGTTCCTACCAGTGCCTTTTCCATTCCAGCTCCATATCACTGGAAAGCCCTTCTACCTTATATGTTTCTCTCTTGAGAAAGGGCTGTAGCTTTGTATGCAAGAGGCCCTAGGCACAGTCTCTGGCATCTCCAGGTAGGGCTGGGAGAGACTCCCTGCCTGAAATCCTGTAGAGGTGCTGCCAATCAGTGTAGGCGATACTGAGATAGATGGACCAATGGTCTCATTCATTATAAAGCAGCTTCCTACTGTATGTTCTTCTTGATCTGTTTTTTCATTCAAGCACCTCTTAAGGCACGTGTGTTCAATTTGGCTTTTTCCAAGTCACACTTTCCCCCTTTTACTTTTCTTTCTTCCCTAATTTATCTTGTCTTTAGTAATTTTAGGCACCCTATAAGTCATAATGTCTCCTGTGTGCAGAAAAAAAGCAATCTGTCAGAGTTATCCTGATACTAGTTGGCTTCTTTTTCACAAATGCTTCTTTTTTCCTTTAAAAACAAAAACAAAACTCAGGTAGCTGAACTGAAAATGGAGCTCAAGATAAGAGGATTGCCAGTGTCTGGAACTAAAATGGATCTTATTGAGCGTTTGAAACCCTATCAGGATCTTAACAATAATTCTATCAATGCTAGTCATACAGCGGCAGTTACTCCTTCCACTAATTGTACCAGCCAGCCTGGAGAAATAACTGCCGTATTCCCTGTTGCTACATTAAACAAGCCAATAGCTAGCTCGGGTTCCAGCTTTTCTTCAGAAACAACATCTGGTGGAACTGGCGGCAAATCAACACCTATGGAATGCATCAACTCCCCTTTGCCCATTTCCCCGTCTCCTTCAGAGCCGTCCAGTCTCAGCACGGATGACACTAACATGGCAGATACTTTGACGGAAATCATGACCGTGATGTCTCCATCACAGTTCCCAAATGCATCACCTCCTCTTCGAGCTACCACAAATGAGGACAGTCACGGCAGTGGAAGCATGTTCGGCATGGAGCTTGATGCAGCAGAAAAGGACCGTAAGCTTCAAGAAAAAGAGAAGCAGATTGAAGAGCTCAAAAGAAAACTGGAGCAAGAGCAGAAACTCGTGGAAGTGCTGAAAATGCAACTTGAAGTTGAGAAGCGGGTTCAGCAGCAGCAACCCCAAGCCTCAGCTAATATTACACTGACTTTGAATCAGAAGCATATCGGTCCTGATGTCAAAGAGGAAGGCACTTTAGCAGATTGCTCTGATGCAAAACAACCTGTATCTGAAGCCAACCATTCTTTAGGACAGCCAGCATCAGTGGATGTCCAGAACCTAGTTGCCAAAAAGGCTATTGTTATCAAACAGGAGGTACCTTTGGCCAAAGCTGAACCACAAAATGTCATATCTCAGTTTTATGTAAGTTCGCAGAGACAGCCACAAACTGCTGTTGTTGCCCAGCCTCAAGCTCTACTTACTGCACAAGGAACAGCACAGCTGCTACTGCCACTCTCTCTCCAGGGTCCAAATTCTGCCACTTCAATGCAACTACCTGTGGGCAGTATCCAGGTACAGGTACGAAAGGTTCCTCCATTTTGAGTTATTTGTCATTGTCACTTACAATCTGATAGCCATGGGCAATTTTCTTCATGTGACTTCAGTGACTATTTTATCTATTGTGGTTTGTTATGGATGTTGAGGGTCATCAGGGGAACCCTGTTCACCTCACAGAGCTACAATTCCCAGATTGGTTTAACAGCCAGTTCCTTTCACTATGGAACTCTGGGAAATGTAGTTCTCTGAAGGGAATAGAGGACTCCTGACTACTCTCAGACCCAAGATTCTTTGGAGGAAGTCATGACTGTTTAAAGCTGTACGATAGTGCTTTAAACGTATATTGCAGGTGGATCCAGCACTGGCCATAGGATCTAATGTAAATGGATTAAAAAGTCATACCAGTTATTAGATTAGAGCTCTGGATTAGGCCTCTGGTACCAGTGCAAGGGGGATTTACTGTGAGTTGCTGCTTCAACACAGTGGCTGACAGAAATATATTAATAATCCATTCTGTTATTACTATAAGAATAGTTGTTCTTGTGAACAGCTTGCCATAAAACATAATAAGAGAAAATCTCATGTGCCTAGATGAATGCAAGACATAAAATGTGCCACATATACAAATTCTGGGATTTTCAAAAGAGAAAGAAAGAAAAAGACACTTTCTTGCAATATGTATAACTGGAAGTGGCACCAGCACACCTTTTCGGGATTTCTCAAGAAGTGCCTGGTGAACTGGCGCTAGAACAGGGAGTGATGTCAGTTAGAAAATTCATTTCAAAGAGACTTGGATTGACCAACTCACTCTCCTTCCCATATTTTTTCTAGAGCAGGGTTAATGATTACATGCACACCTTGGAATGCTCCTCTCAAGTGAGTGTGTAATAAAAAATGCATAATTTTGGCTTCACTCATTGTTTCCCTTATCTCTAAAAGATGTATCTAGTCATCTTAAGGAAGAAGGCATAGCTCAGTGGTAGAGCACATTCCCGGTTTGATGTGCGCCTTTCAAGTAATCTAAAAGGATCTCCAGTAAGTGGGATGAGAGATGCATTTGTAGAAGACCTTGGAGAGCTGCTACTTATCAGCACAGACAGTACCAGGCCAGATGGGCCGGTGGTTTGGCTCAGTTTTAGGTATATTTAAATGTCTCTTGTGTCAGGTCAAGATGGAGGGATGCAACTGAAATACATAATTGCATTACACACACAAACACACACCCCTGTACTACATATACAAGCAGCAAGCACTATTTGCTTCTTCCCTCTAAAAGCTGCAAAACTGCTTTACAGAGCCACACTGACCATGACTCTTTCTCATGTAGAACAGGACAGTGAGGTTTAACTTAACAAGAGTTGTTGTGGTTGTTGCATTTACCATGCAGCTCTTAATTTTCCTTTCAGCCTTCTATTCCGCAGCTTTCAAGGCCCACTGTGACATCACAGAAGCCAAGCCAATTGAAGCCACAGTGGTCATAACACCTTTCTGTCCATAAAGTAGTATTTGCTGCTCATGGGCTGTGAACATGCGAACCCACCATCTTCCTTAGCACTGTGTTTAGATACTTCAGGAGGACTTGATGTCAAACATTTAAAGATTCATTATAACATCCCTGGGTTTCTTTCTTTATGCATATAGTCCAGCTGAGTCCTGTACTGTGAAATCAAGCCATACTCTTTCTCCTGTAGGCCCAGCCACAGTCTGGCATTCCAGCCATGGCACAAGTATCTACTTCTGCTTTGTCCCAGAAAGTACCACAGATGCACTCTTCAGCATCCAAAGAAAATGCTTCCCCACAGCATGTGCTTGGTCACACCCCACAAAACAGACAGGTTGGTGAATTATGAATACAGATAGACTGCATACTGTCAGTGGAACTCTTTACTTTTCTGCTTCGTAACTTAAAGTATGTGATATTCCTTAAAGTAGGATATAGCATTGAATGGGATTCATAAATTGTTATTACATTTCTCTGATTCTTAGGTTAGAATTTTTCCTCATATAAAAATATTAGCATAATTATCACCAAAACGCTTGAATGGAAGTCATTTTGCACTGATGAATGTGATGTACACCATTCCATTATTCTAATTATCTTGTCGTTTTTGCTACGGTATCCTCAGCAATACTTAATGATTTCAGGGTTGTTGTTTTTTTAAAAAAAAAAATCAGTTGTGAAATGTACTACAACCTGCTATTGTGTCTTCTGAAAACTGCTATACTAAATTAAATCACACAGCAATGGGTAATTCTCTAAACTGCCTTAGCATTTTCATACATAAGGCTTACATACATTTCTATCCCAGTTGGTGTGCATTTGTGGTTCATTAGAGAGACATTGGTAGCACTTCATTGAGTTTCTTCTGTTTAATAGGAAACGTGCAATACCACACCTCATTCATTTTACTGAAGTGTATGCAGGAGAGGCTACTAGGACATTGCTACTACAAAAAAAACCCTATGGCTGCAATCTTACATCCAACACAAATAGAGCAGGGTGTGAAATGCCCCCAATGTACTCCTTGCTTGGTGTTCCACTACCCTGCTGAACTTATATCTCCACAGGACCATCCCTCCATGACAGGACTAGCCAACATCGGGCCCTTCAGAAGTTGTTGAACTACAGCTCCCATCTTTCCTTACAATTTATCTTGCTGACTGGGGCTGATGGGAGTTGTAGACCAGGAACATCTGGCAGGCATCACCAAAGGTTGGCTACAACTGCCTTGTTAAGGAAGGCCTTTGTACTTTCTCCACTTCAGTGATATTGTGCACTAGAGCATTTTATTCAATTTAAGATTGAATGTTATTATTCTTGGCCACACTAGAAGCTGCTTGATTGCTATTGTACACCATGCTCTTGAAGAAAAATAGCATGCATGAGTTTTAAATACATACATTTTGTTTTTACAGATATTTCCTCCTACCTCACCAAATACAGTATTTTCCTATCAGAATCAGTCTGTGACAACTCTACAGCAACCTTTGTTTAGTCAGACAGCAAATACCACTGTTCACTCAGGGAACCAGGTGCCATTGGTGCAAAATGGACCCAGTGCTCCTCAGAAGGTATATTCATTTTATGTATTCAGTTACTAACTTATTTAAATTATTTATTATCTTGCCATTAAGCCAAAAAGAAGTTCCTGAAACAGCTTACAAAGATCAGGAATGTCAGTCCCTGCCTTTAGGCTTACAATCTAAAAGATGCAAAACAAAAGGAAAAGAGATCGGGAGGGAATAGCAGGGAAGCAAACTCAGACACTGCTTCTTAGTTACAAAGAACGTAAGATAACCAGTCAGAATGAAAAAAGTTCAAGGGCAGCAGGAGCTGGAGGTTTCTGCTCTCAATATAGCAGCTGCCTTTGACGCAGCTTGATGTAATAGCTTATCCTTTGTTCCCCTACCCTAGAATATATATGCTCTAGGAGGTTGCTAGAGTAACATATTTGAGGCACTGTGACCATGGCATAAAAACAAGGAGGCACCCTCTCTTTTTGACCTGAGAACTTTTAAAACTCAAGACAACTTCCAAACAAGATGGGGCCATATTTAAATGATAAGGTTGTCTCCAAAGTTAATCCTACTCAAAAACAAGTGGGCACGACTAATGCTGGTGCATTCATTTCAGCGGGTGTACTCTATGTGAGACTTAGTCAGATTCAACCCTAAATGCCATAGACTACACTTACTGCGCAGCCATATAAAGGGAAGTTGTTGTTTATGTGCACTTTTCATTTCCAGTAGATTAATGGAGATGACGTACAAGGTGCTAAATTAGCACATTATTGTTTTTAAAGGAGGGTGATGTGGATTTCTGTAGAGACGCTGTTTGAGAACCTTCTGCTGCCACAATTATTTGCTGACTGTTTGCCATTGTTTCACACAGCTGGCCTCCCAGTCTCAACCCCAACAGTACATTTTGCAGCAATCTCTGTTCAGCAATTCAGTAACCAAGGCAAAAGACCCTCCACGCTATGAAGAAGCCATCAAACAGACCCGCAGCTTGCAGGCTTCTCAACGAGAGGTAAGATGTATGCAGGAATGCAACAACTTGACATGTTTTACCGTTCTACACAGAATAATCACATTCAGCTTTCTGTGCATCTTTCCATAAGGAGCAGCCATGGGGAGACTAAGGGAGGCACATCTCCCCCCCCCCTTTAAAACTCCGTCACTATCAAAATTTTGCCTTCTTTTGGTTTTCTTCCCCTCTTTAGTAGGCTGGAAGTTTCAAAGCCCTCATCTTCTCTGATCATCATTCTTCATTGGCTGTTTGCTAAGCAGCTTAATCCAGCCAAGATCACATCATTAGCATGAACCTAGGACTGAATAATATCTAAGTAAGGGGACAACTATCATCCTCTTCTGCACCATGGTAGCTGTAATGAGTGAAGAAGGCTTTCTCTGTATCCTGTACCCTGTGTGTTGATTTATGCCTATTAGAGCATTCTTCCCATGCCTGCAGTTGTGTAGTACACCTTTCTCCGGAAACAGTGATTCTCTTAATTCTTAGCAGAATAGCAGCTAATGATCCTACAGCACATTCTTATATATGTATCCTCCCAACTAAATTCAGCAATGTTTATACCCAGGTAAGTGTGTAGCACTACAACCTTAGTTGGATCAATCCTTTGGAAAAGTGTCCCAGATCTGCAAAATGTTGTCCTTTAGCTAGTAAAATAGTGTTTTAGCTTAAATATGCATAAGCCTGTTCCTTCTTTGGGATAAAAAATGATATGAGATCTGTATTTGTTGAATTCTACTTTATTGATTTTGATTTTTCTTTTCTTTTCCCTACACTGCAACTTGGTTGAATAATGAATAAAATACATTTAAGAAAGAGCAAATGAGATCACAAAAGCATCCTTATTTAGCTAGAAACATAGGGTGTGCGGTACCCAGACCAGCACAATCCCCATGGTGATCCCTACATGCATAATCATATTTTAGGGAAAGGTGTGTGACATAATGAATAAAAAACTCTCTGTGTTACAGATTTCCAGTGTTCACAGCCAGCAAATGGATGACCTCTTTGATATTCTCATTAAAAGTGGAGGTGAGTCAAATTGAAATGCATCATATGGTAGAGAGAGCTTCCTATTCCTACTTTTGATTTAACAAGAACAGCTGGTAGGGAGGGGTAGCACTGTGGGTTTGACGGCCCAGCACTGGCTTTGCTGCTACTTACAAGGACAGGGTAGGGCAACAGCGAGGTTTGGGGTGGGGTGGGAATGCTGGATTGGCTCCACTTGTGCTGATGTCCTGCCTGCTCCTACAGGGTCCTAGTAAGTGTATTGACACTGATACCAAGAGGCAGCTTCCCTTCCAATTTGCTGCTCTTGCTGTTTAGTATAGAGCAGGGAAGGTGGCCTGGTGGCCCTCCAGATGTTCATCTGTCCCAGATAGCATGGCCAGTGGTTAGGCAGGATGAGACATAGTCTAACAACATGTTTTAGGACATATCGTCCTTATCTCTGCTCAAGAGGGATTTTGCTGTGAGCATCCTTGAGAGTGACATTCATAAAAAGGGTGTCTCTTATTGGATTTTATGTTTGTTATTCAGCATAAAAAGGCAGCTCATTCTCAAAGTAATCTCAAAGTAATGTATTTTTAATATTTTGTTGGAAGCTGCCCAGAGTGGCTGGGGAAACCCAGCCAGATGGGTGGGGTATAAATATATTATTATTATTATTATTATTATTATTATATACTTGACTGTGCAATAACATTTATCTACATCAGGTTGATAGTGGCCAAATATTTAACCAGTTAGTTCAGAAAGTTATTGACAGTTCATTAACGATCAGTGGTTTACAGCATGAGCTCAGTTAATCAATTTGGATTCCACTGTGTTGTGTAGAGATCTTCACCCTTTAGTCACTGCAATAATCTGTGAGAGTCTTGTAAACAGTCTTAATGAGGGCCTTCATTGAATCATTGAAATGAGAAGATAGCAGGCTCTCTAAAAAGGGGGTGGCTATTTGACTCCTTTGGGTAACATGGGTTTTGCAGCACATGTCTTCAATCATGTTGATAGTTGTACAAACATTAGCTTGATACCTTAATTATCTCACAAGACTTAATTGTATAAATAATTCACCGCTTTCAAATTAATTGTATCAAAAGCATAAATTTATTGGTACAGTGGTGCACCAAAGTGAGTGAGGTTTTTTTCCCTTTATATGTAATAAATAAAATATCTTACTGATTTATCTCTCATTTCCTTTTATGCAGAGATTTCTCTGCCTACCAAGGAAGAACCTTCTCTGATTTCCAAAATGAGACCCGTTACTGCCAATATCACCACAATGCCAGTGAACACAGTGGTGTCTCGTCCGCCACCACAAGTCCAAATGGCCCCTCCTCTCTCCTTAGAACCAACAAGCAATTTCTCTGTAAGTCTGGAGAATCAGCTAGAAGCCCTCTTGGATGGAACTCTGCCTTCAGGAAATGGAATGCCTCATCTGGCAAGCAGTAGTGAGGACAGAGAGTCTTTCTCTCTAATTGAGGACCTTCAAAATGACCTCCTTAACCACTCTGGCATATTAGATCACTCGCAGTCACCTATGGAAACAACAGATTCTCAATTCACTGCTTCTAATTCCTGTTTATCTCTTGATCTTCCGGACACAAATTTAGACAACATGGAGTGGCTAGACATTACCATGCCAAATGCTTCTTCAGGATTAACTCCTCTCAGCTCAACTGCCCCAAGTATGTTTTCAACAGATTTTCTTGACCCACAAGATCTACAGTTGCACTGGGATTAACTAAAAAGGCAAAGCCTACTTGACCACGGTTTTTAAAGATCCATTTACATCATAGGTCCATTATTTCACTTTCCTTGTTTTCAGGGTAATCTTGAAAATTATCTTTAGCGTGTAAAAACAAAACAAAACAAAATGTTAGACAAAAAGCATGATTCCCCCCCACCCCTAGCAATCAGTTAAGGGGAGGGGAGGGGCAGGGGGAGAGTGAGATTGGATCTTAATTCATGTAGCTGGGATAAGTCATAATAAAACTGCACCTGACTGTTGCTATAGACAGCCTGAGCCAGGCTTAAGCTGCCTTGTCAAAGCTCTGGCTAAGTTAAAGAAAACTGATGGGATTTGGTGAAAGGATTGAAGTTGGCTATATTTGGACTGCTTCATGAGTTTAAAAAGTCTTGAGGTAATACTTTAGGGCTACCACATTTTAGCCATTTTAATTGGCTAGACTGAAATGGTGACTTTGATTAGTTGGGCATCAAAACAAGTAACACCCCCCCCCCCCAGTTGAAGTTCTTTTAGAAAAACTCTGCACATAGGAAGCACCATCTTAGGAATTCCCCTTCCCCAATTATGTGACAAACGAAATGCCTCTTCTAAGATGATGCCTGCTGCAACATGTTTGTGCATCATTAAAAACAAAGGAAATATATGCTTTGGTCTTGACAACTATTGGTTTTCTTATATGCAAATGTATGATTATTTACTAGGTTAATTAAGTAAGGCTGTAATCCTTCATGGGTAATCAATCCCACTGAATTCAGTGAGACTTACTTCTGAATAAACATGGTTTGTAAGTAATCAAGTAAAACTCAAGATTAATCAGCTAATATTTCTTTGGCCAGAGCCTTATTTAATTTTCACCCAGAAGAAATATAGGAAGTGCAGAGGCACATACATTAAAAATGCAGTGAGGTGTGTGTTTTGCCCTCTATATGTTGACAACAAATCGTTGTTTGCATAATTACAACCAACTTTACTTCTCTTATTTTATGTAGGATATCAGACAGGCAGATTAAGATGCACAACAATTTTCTTTCATTTGTTAGGTGTTCATAAGCTATTTGGCAATTAAAATGCATGAATTTGGATCCAAGGGTGCCCTTGCATATGCAGAAGACATCTTCCATTTGTAAAAGGGGATATTTTACACTTTGTTCTAGAATGTTTCTAGAGAAAAAATGAAACTAAATCCAAAGAAGTTGGATAAGAAGAGCTCTTGCAAGCTCTTTCTCAAGAACACTCTTACAAGCTGTTTCCCTTCCCCTCATAATTCTTTGAATCCAGCCCATATGCTGACTTAATGTTAACACATTCAAAATGAACAAAAATCAGTGTTTCCAGATCCAAATTCAGAATGATCATTATCTTTTATATTAGGTCCAAAATTTAAATTACAAGAACACCGTGAGTGAGGAATGTACCAACGTGTGTTTGCCTCCTTCTAAAATATTTGAATTTTCCACTTTTAAAAGATTTTAAGTGAACACGTAACAGCGTGAAGGACAGTCACACAGAGGAGTTACCCATCCCCTGCTGCCTGAGCCGTCTAACTGGAAATGCCAGGGCTTGAACCTGGGCCCTTCTGCATGCAAAGCATGTTCTCTGCCATTCATCTGCAGCTGATCATTTGTTTGGCAGAAGAATGAGGGATATTATAGTATAGCTAGCCATCTACTGTTCTTGAACGTCTCTGGATTAGGGCCCTAGAATCAAAAAACTGTGTAGTTGGAAGATACCTCAAGGGTCATCTAGTCCAACCCCCTGCACTGAAGGAATCCCAACATATGGTCCCCCATCCAATTTGAAACCCTACTGGACCCTGCTTAGCTGTGCAAAGCGGCTGGCAGTTTTTATAGCTGCACCACTTATATTCACAGTACATTTCTTAAGGTAACAGTGGAACAGCAGCATTTGGTAGAAATTAACTATTTGGATATTGAAATATATCATCAAAAAAGTTACAGTTCACATGAAACTTATTCCAGAAAGCTCTGTCCTCTTTTAACCATGAATAAATATTGGAAAAACTACAACCATTCTACAAGGGTTGTGGATTTCTATGAAACTCAAATGAGAAAATAATCTTTATTGTATGGTAGCCTTTTTCAGAGCAAGGTTCCTTTTTCATAAAAATCGCAGCATAATACTTAGACTTCTTTAGAAAATTATCAGAATTTTAGTGTTCATTACCCATAACATTTGATCCTGCATTTATGACCTTGTTTTGTTAAAAAACAAAACTTGTGAATCCCTTAGAATTGACAGACACAAGAATCACTGATAACGAGTACAGTCTAGTGAACTCTGCATAGCTTGGTTTATTCAATGTGCAGTATTTTGAGCCAAGTTCACATTGAGATTGCATATTTGCAATTTATTTTCTCGTAAAGCCACGACTGTGAAGATGCCAATTTAGACAGTGTGGTTTAGAGTTAACATGGGCTTTCACATTGTAGAAAATATTAGTAATGTCAGGGTAGCTTCACACCAAAAATCAAAATTAAAATTAATCTGGGACCTATGTTTGGGAGAATATTCTTATGCCACTTTGCCTGCCATAGGTTACTCGATGGTCATATTCAGCAACTGGATACAGTTGAAGCACTAGCCTTGTATTTCAACACTAGTGTGGTAAGCTATATACAAGAAGGAATTCCATGCAGACAAGTGAATGAGCAGATCTATGCAGAAGGGATAGAGCACTCCTTCCTCTGCAACCAGCATAGGAATGAGAATAGGAAAAAGTGCAGAGAGAGATCACATATCTTCAACTTTACCATTCCGCTTTGCCATCTTTGGATGGAAGCTAAACTTTTGAGGTGCTGAGTTATCTCCCAGTGAGATGTCAAGTTTCATTTTCTCCCAAAAAGTCCATTTGAGTTAAGATGCTTAGAATTCTGATGGAACCTATTCTGGGTGTAGTGGGATCACCTATGACGTTTAAGCTCCACACTGTTGTAAGGAAGTAATGTGTCCTGTGATGTGCCGTATACAATGTCATAGACCAAAGGAGATAGTAAAAAGATGGAGCCTGTTGTCTGTACCTCGTATTCAAAATGTTGCAGAGCCGAATAGGTATAAATACAAAGTTTTTGGCAGGGCCAGAATTCAAAGAGAAGATGAGTACATGCAAGAACCAGGCAGGAAAGCCTGCTGTCAAATAGGCAAGCCACCATTCAGTTTAACAGGCAGCTTGCCTTTTCAGCAATGACAGCTGATGCAAAGGAAGCTTTGTCTGCATGTGTAGTTCCCATTTGTGTGCATGTCTTTGGATCCTGGCACTAGGACAAAGGGGCAAAGGCCATAATGACCTAGCGAGCTACTGGTTGCTTGTGGTATTGATGCAACAGCTTATATCATCAGGTTCATATGCTATAGCTGTGCTTCACAAACATTCTGAAGTGGGGACCTACCTGTAAACTTTTAGAGCTTTTGTGGGCACCCACTTATAAACTAATTCCACCTTTTGTGCCCTTCTTTCTCTCTGATTTTTCCAATCGTAAATTCAGTTCTCCACGTTTCCACATTGGTTGCGAATTTTCCCCACACCCTGCAAAAAAATTCATCAACATTTTAATGTGACCCCCCCCCAAATGAACGTGTTTGTATGCAACTTTGCCTAATGAACTTTTTTTTTTCCAATTCAGTGCTCCCTAATAATGCATTTTTGAATGTTATTTTCATGAACACATTTTTATGCAGACTTTACCCTAATGTATGCATTTTTGTACACATGGCAGGAGAACTGTATTGCAAAATTCAGAGAAGTGCAAATTTCTTAGGATGGCTTAGTTTTGGTTCCTGTATTGCTTCAGAAAGTGTGAATTACATATATCCGGCCTTAAATGTGAAACAAATCAAATTTCTCCCCTTTTCCTACTTTTGACTCACAGTTTGAGAAGCACCTTGCTACAGCTAGTAAGCAACAGCTTATATCATCAGATTCATCTACTACCTTCCTTGGTTTAGAACGTGCCACAGTTAAGCCAGTTTGTTTCTATGGTGCCTCAGATCTTTTTCTCATCATATTGCTACAAGTCTGACTGGGCTACTCTTGGTCAATTGACAGACTGCATGTAAATATTGCTGAAAATTGACAATATTGTGCGATGTTGCACTGCACAAATATTTCACGCTTAGTGTGCTATCCAAGCCACTGGAGCATGTGCAATGAGGAACACCCCCCCAAAAAAAACCCAAATCCTTTCAGGTGTATGATAACCAGTGCAGAACTTTCTTCTACAAAATCATTAAGGGATCATGAAATGTTTGTAATAAAAGTATTTATTTTTTAGAGTAGGAATGCGTGATATTTTCTGTGCATTTCAGAATAGAGCTTTATTATAAAACATTTCTAAATAATGGTTTGCTTTTGATCATATGTTCTGAGATGTGCCGCCTATTGTACAATATTTACCACTTGTATGTGAACCTGGTATTTGTGAAAAGGGGTTATATATATATATTGTATATATATAAAGTTGCTTGGGTATCTTTTGTGCACTTGACAATTTTTTGTAACACAATATCTTTAAAATATCTTTATCTTTAACAGATGGCTTGGTCCTGTGACTGTCACTGCTAGCGTAGTCTATTTCAGCGCAGATTCGCAATGTTTATAGAAGTGCTAAAGATGTCCTATTTGCTTCAGTTGCAGATACATTGCGTTCACATGTTTCTTTGTCCTGGTTTCTTTACTTTTGAGAGTGGCCCACTTATGGAAACTTGAGGATCTCCCTGCTTTGGCAGCTTTTGCCATCTGGAATGTATATTTTGGAGCCTCAATTGCTGTGCAAGCTGCTGTGGCAGAAATTCCATTTTCTCCTGTTGTGCGTAATACATTCTCACGAGTCAGTGCTGTGAAGCTGAAAGGTGGAAAAAGAATACATGTGGATCAGCCCAAGCCCCACTGACATCAAAGAATGCCAGAGAATTCTGACAAAAACAGAAATGGAATCAGAAATTGCCACTGTTCTCTTACTCATCCCGTGTCTGGAACGGAAATCCTTCCAGTGCATAGGATTGGTATTCCTTGTTGCTGTTTCAGTCCAGAAGGGACATATACTTGATTATACCCCAGTCCCCATTTGCATTTCCTTTACATTGAAATAATCAGGGTAAAATGACATACAGGCAACTCCCAATTTACGCGGGGGTTACGTTCCCCAGGCACAGTGTGTTTAAGTGAAATGGCGTATATTTGAAACACCGTTGACAAAGCCTGCACACACCCGGTTCTGCTCATTTTTTGGTGACTTTTGGGGTCACTTCTGGGTTCAACGCAATCGCGCACATATCAGGTTGCTGCCTGTTGTGGCAATAACTTGCGTAGTTTACCTAATTATGTAAATTAAGTAAGTTATGTAATTTTGCTCCAGCAGGTGTTGTTCTGGGCAGAAGACGAACAGCAGTGGAGTGGAATGGAATGGATGGAATAGAAAACGATGCCTTCTTCCATCCCTACTGTTCTTGATTTAACTGTACATAGGCTGTCAGTGTAATCCCAAGTTAACTACTATTCCACATCTTTCTGGATGAGCAAACGCTATAATGAGGGGAGGCTAATGCATGGCAGTATTAAATGTCACGTTTTGAAAATCAAAATGGAACTGCACTGTCATATTGATGAGAAATCATCATTGCCAGTTCCATCCCAACCTACCCCATGTTCCTTTCAAACAAGTACACTGAACTAAGAAATTACAAAGATGATGTAAACTACGATTTTAGCCTGTATATTCCAGTTGAGGGGAAATCCATTTTTTCAGCTCAGAGAGACTTAACAAGCTTACTCAATGCTGCAACACATTTTGCAGTGTATTCAATGGGATAAAGTTGCGACAAATCTCAGCAGATATCTTATTTAACTGCATCTTGATGTTCGAAAGGCATTCTGCTCTGGTGTTGCCTGCAGCACAGTGCAGAATGTGTATGAACTAATGTGTAAATTTTGGCTAAACATCTGGCAAATACCATGATAATTACAAGGAGGGATTCAACAATGGAAGTGCAGTGACCTGTAATGGTGACATGTATGTTTTTCTAATGAAACCAGGAAACCAGCATTTTTACATTTTAAGTTTTGCACATGATGCAATTTAAAAAGACCCAGAGCCTTAAACAAGTGACAATGGGAAGAACCAAAGTATTGCTACTTCTACTGCCAAGGAGCACACCCTTTAATTATAAGGGGGGGGGGATTGCAAGTTCTCCATCATGCCCCCACCTCAAGTTTTTTCCATGGACATTTTTTGTTTTAAATCGAAGATGTATATATTTTTGAAGTTGCTTTTGTTTTGGTGTCTAGCAATACAGATTCCTTTAGTTGGTTGTGAAACTGAGCTAATAAGTGCAAATCCCCACGTAAGGAGTGGCACGTCTCTTTCTTTATCTCATTGTATTGCTTGCAGTAGAAATCGTGCTTGGCATGATAGGTGTCTCTCTTCTTTTCATAGAAACAATTACGTCTTAGCATCTCACTTTATGGGAAAAAAGAGAAAACGGATACCAATTTGTACATGCCTCTTCATTTTAATTACTAGATTAAAGGGAAAAATAAACATATTATGGCAAGCAGAGCATCCTGTGGTGTGTTGCCTTTGTAAAAGAAACCAAGATGCCTTTGTATTTGCTGTTTGCACCCCTAAAATCAATTCCATATGTTGATTTTTTTTGCCATGTTTTGCACATTGTACTGTATATACGTATTGCATACTGTATTTTTATATGTGTAGTACCTTCAAGCATAAATTTTGTACATAGTGGCAATATTGTAGCTAAGGAGAAGATGTTTATCTCGGCAATTTTGCAATTTGTGTGTCAAAATAAACAAGTTAATATATGTGGTTGTCATCTGTGGAACTTGCTTGGCAAGACCCATCCCTTAAAACATGGTGCCCCAATCCTACGCAGGCTCAGGCAGATGTCGAGTCCCACCAACAAAGCAGACATGTTGGCTGCACAAGCCATGAGTTGGAAGGTGGTGGGATCCAAGTCCTACGAAAGAGCAATCAAAGAGGAGCAAGAGGATTGAGAAACTGCCCTATGAGGAAAGATGACCAGATGACCGTGAGGCTTTTCAGTTTAGAGGAAACACGAGTAAAAGGAGACATGATAAAGGTGTATAAAAGGATACATGGTGTAGACTAAGTGGATAAACTTTTTCCCCTCCCTCGAAACATTTGAAGCTGAATGTTGGAAGAGACAAAATACTTCTTACTGCATAGTTAAACAATAGAATTTGCTCCCACAGGAGGCAGTAATGGCCAACTTGGATATCTTTAAGAGAGGATCAAATTCATGGAGGATGAGGCTATCAATGACTACTAGCTGGGATAGAAATGTTCAACTTTCACGGTCAGATGCATGATGCCTCTGAATGCCAGTTGCTGGGGCTCAAACAGGGAGAGAGAGCTCTTGTGCTCAGGTCTTGCTTGTGGGCTCATCTGGTTGGCCTCTGGGAGAACAGGATGCTAGACTACATGGGCCACTGGCAGCAGACTTATATTATTATGAAATGGAGAGAATGGGAATAGATGCAACTAGCATCACATGACTGGGAAAAAGGAGTCTAGAAAACTACTCCCCAGATATTCAACTCCTGGCAGGATTTAACTTCCAGTCCAAGGCTCTCATGGGTTGCTTGTTTAAATTCATCAGATTCTGGTGGAATTTAGGGAGACAGAAGAAAATGGGAATAAACCTGGCCTCATGGGAGCAGCTCTCTAAAAATAAATAAGGGGTTTCCACTAATCCCAATTTCAAGTCAAAGCCTATGCTGTTACCTCACCTGTTGACATCACAGAGATGCTTACATGGTCCAGGCATTTCTCTTTGTCTCCAGTGCTCCTGAGCTAAAGGGAGCGTGGGTGTCCTTGAGACAGAGGAGTTGCTTTTCGTGATGGAGGTGACTAGGTATCAGTTCTCCAGGTCAGCCAACAGTTCTGAGGAAAGGTAAATAGATAACCTTGGGGATGGAGTGAGGCAGGAAGGGGAGATGGAAAATCAAGGTGTCATTCAATATTGATTGGTGGCAGCTAAAAGATGTGTCTTGCTCAAACTTCAAAAGTCGAAGGTAATTAAAATATGGGGTTTGGATGTAATGGGAAAGATGATACATTCTGTCAAAAGATGCTCCTTATGGAAGGGAACGGACTGCCACGCCCATCATCCATGAACGTGGGCCATGCTGGCTGAGGCTGATGGGAGTGATCTAGCAGCAACCCTAAAGGAGAGGAACCCAATTCGCAGCTGTTATCACAGCTGCGAATCTTGTGAACCGTGTTTTATTTGGGAATCTGATACATTCACCAACCAACTGCTTTTGTTTCAGGGTCCTTGCTCACTACAGTGAGGTGTCGTTATTGCTAGAAGGGCGGTCGGATTTTCCAGAAGAGCTGAAAGGCACCAAAAAGGGAATGTTGTACCTCACCCAGTACAAAGTAAGAGGGCTTGAGGCAGGCTGGCCATAATATAACAAGAGAGCTCATAGCACCTCCCTTGCCGTTGGTAGGTGAACCTCTGACATCGCCTTGAGCTTGGGAGTCCCAGACCACAGCATGAAACACCCACCTCAGGCTGCTGGTTTTGGGTGTCATTGAAGCACAGAACATTTTAATTATGGATGACTGAATGAATAGTTTATTGTTCTTTGGCCATGGAGGCCTATCACATAAACACCCTCACACTAATGCACACATCCCAAAGCACCTGTAAGCATCAAAATAAGTGTGCACACAATATATCCCTGCCCATATTCTCCTTACACAAATGGAGAAGGGGCATTTTTTGCGCTGTGCCACCTTTAGTTCCTTGTAACACTCCTCACTGCTTTTTGAATGGCTTCTTGATTGCTTCCCTAGATGATCTTCCAGCACAAAGATAAGGGATCCACCATCATTCGTTTCCCGCTACAGCTCCTAGGAGATTGTGTCCTAGAGGACGAGCCGGGCTCCAAGCCCCAGCATATCAAAGGAACCCTGAGTATGTATCACCACCTTGAGTCTATTGGCTGCTGTGTGTGATAGTTCTCAAAATGAGAGAGAACTCCCTTTGATGGGTTATTATAGGAACGGAGGAAGCTGCCGTATACTGAATCAGACCATTGATCTATTTAGCTCAGAATTCTTCAACATCATTCATTGCAGGCCTTATTGTCTTTGCAAAGGTAGAATCATAGCTTTTTACCACTTTGGGAGAAAAAATGTATGTTGGCGCAGATTACAACACAGGTGGCCCTGTGGTCTAAACCACTGAGCCTCTTGGTCTTGCCGATCAGAAGGTTGGCAGTTCGAATCTCTGCAATGGGGTGAGCTCCCTTTGCTGTGTCCCAGCTCCTGCCAACCTAGCAGTTCAAAAGCACGCCAGTGCAAGTAGATAAATAGGTACTGCTGTGGCAGGAAGGTAAACGGCATATGCGTTTTCTCTGCTTTCCGTCACGGTGTTGCATTGCACCAGAAGTGGTTTAGTCATGCTGGCCACATGACCCAGAAAAGCTGTCAGTGGACAAACGCCGGCTCCCTCGGCCTGAAAGAGAGATAAGCACCACAACCCCATAGTCGCCTTTGACTGGACTTAACCATCCAGGGGTCATTTACCTTTTACCTTTACAACATGAGCCCAATGTCTTACTGTAGCCTTTTCTCCCTAGCATCCACCCAAGGGGTCCTTGTCTTCAAATTTACCTTCCAGTACGGAGCGTCTGATTGCCTAAACACGATAAAGGGTCTGATTGATGCAGGTGAGGAACTAGATTGAAAGGCCCTTCCTTTGTTGGATATCAAAGGCCCACTCCTTCCTCTCTGTCCCATTTAAAAGGCAGGGGCCACCAACTGGAGAGAGCATTTGGCCAAAAGGCAGGACAGTTTTATGTCAGGATGTGCCTTTAATTGGGAATTGGGTCCATTGCAACAGAGGTGCGGAACCTTTTGCAGCCCGAGCTTTCTTTCATTGGTTACTCCAGGTGCTACATTCCAGTGGTGGGTGGGGCAAGAGGGGGAAAGTAGGTGGAGCAATAGATGTGACTCTCAGCTTTGTAAAATAGTCCAAAATCCAGCCACGCAAATGTGAGAAACTATTATTTGTTATATCTGCTTTGATTTTTTTAAAAATTGATTTTATCCTTGCTTTTTAAATCATGGTTCTTTGTGTGTTTGTTTCTGTGTATTTTAGTCATGATTTATATAGAATTGGACTTCTTGTACACTGCTTGGGGAATTGTTTAGCAAGGAGTTTATCAATTTTTCAAATGAAACAAAGATGCATACAAAATGCATACAAGTGTTGCATGTGTGCTTGTGAATCTATATATCTATATCTATATCAGACGTGCTTTTCTCTCTCCCGCCTTTTTGTTAATCTAACAGACATACTGAGAGAAGGGACGAACCTCCAAGAATATCCCACTGCTTCCATCTATACCTATGCCTACCCCTCTGCACCCCGGGCAGCCCGTAAGTGCACCAATGGTCTCCTTTGGATAGTGTGTGCAAGTTGGCCTACTAAGGAAGCTCAGACTCCCGGCCTCTTAATGCGCAGCTGAAAAGCAGATGGGCTCTCAGCCGACTCTGTTATCAAATCCAGTGCTGTGCTACTGCTACTGCTGCTGCTGCTGTTTAACCAGGGCTGGCAATGGTAGTTTGTTCAGGGCGCTGAGAGTTGCCAGGAGACCCCTGTCCCCCTCACAGAGCGGCAGCTCTTTCCTCCTTTAATTCATATGCTTTGTGTTCCTGATCCCAGTTTTCAGTAGGTGCCTGTCCTTCTCTCCACAGGTTCTCTCAGCATGCTGCCACTGTGGCCTCCCCCTTACCCTGGCCCACCAGACCTCCCCCCTCCCTATTCCGAAGTGGAAGGAACGTCTCCAAGAGGGAGCAGGGGCTCAGGTAAAATCAGCTGGCCCAGCGCTAGCTCCTGGCATCCATGGGCAGTTGCCGGGCAGGGCCCACCAGTCAGGGCTGAATTAAGACATTTAAGGCCCTAAGCACTTAAAAGGTTTTGGTGCCCCCATATGTATCTAATTCAAACTGGTGGAAGGCTGGTTAATCCAGCCTTCCACCAGTACGAGCGCTTATGCCAGGCCTTCCTTGTCAGGCTGCTGAATCTACAAGCCTCCATTTTAATTCCCTGCAAATGCTCCAATGTTGGCTGCTCCAGGGCATTGTGGGGAATTAAAATGGCAGCTCCCAGACATCCTTGGAGCACAAGGGCTGCCACACCACCAGTTCCAGGTAAGCCTAAGGAGCTCCACCAGGGGGCACTCTCAACCAAGAGCTGCCTTGTAAAACAGCATATCATAGGTCTGGGCTGGGGAACCTGTGGTCCTCTAGAGGCCACTGGACTCCAGCTACCACCATCCCTGATTTCTGGCCATGCTAGCTAGGGCTGATGGAGTCTCAACATCACTTAGAAGGCCCCAGGTTCCTCATCCCTGTCAACTGTGCTCATGTCCTTCAACCTTGCCACATCTTTGGTTCTGGAAATATTCTCTGCCAGAGGAATTGAACATGAAATAGTTTATTAGAACTATGTAGAACAGGTCTTCTCTCCTTCAGTGACTTTCTCCCTCAGCTTCCAGCCCTGCTGCTTAACCTCCTAAACTAGATATAGGAGGTGCCCTTAAAGGTATACTCACATTTATCCTTGCACCTGAAAATCATAGTTCTTCACTCAGCACAGTATAGCAGCAGAGTGACCAAAGAGGCTGCAGACTCCTCTCTGGCAATTTGAACATTTGCATAGTTTGGCCAACCATGTTGTACAAACCAAGGCTGTGTACCATACATCTAAAGCACACCCCCCCAAAGAATAATGGGAATTGTAGTTTAATCCCAATTAGATGCAATTCTCAGCATCTTTGAAAAAACTACAGTTCCCAGGATTCTTTGTTGTGGGGAGGAAAATGAGTTTTAAATGAACACAGGTCAAGGTCAGGACTGGTCTGGCTGCTTTGAGCCATTCTGGGCCTAGAGGGCAGAACAGGATATGAATTCAATGAAGGAATGAACTATTTTTTAAAAAAATGGTGGAGGGGAGCATTGGATGATGTGGATATTTTCTCTCCCTCCCTCCCTACAGAGATCCAAGGGAGCTGCTGTCATTGCAGAGGACAGAGGATCCAGGATCATGTTAACAGGCAGGACTGAGGAACAAGTGCATAAATGTACTTTTCTTTAAAATTCTATCCGGTTTTAACTTTTCATTTCCTCTTCCAAGATTTCCTGGTAGGCCAGCGATTCAGTTGGGCAAGCAACCAAGGGTTTCCTTCAAAGAGCTCTTGTTTATTCACAGGCCAGAACAGAACTGAACTGAAGGGTTCAGCCAGCCTGCTTATATAGAGCTCCACTAGAACATAACAGTAACCATTTTCTGTAACTATCCAATCACTGAAGTCACTTTCGATCCCTTATTTGCATATGTGGACCTGAACTATCTTACAGTATCCCCCTGCTGGCCCAGGGTGAGAACTTCAGTACATAACACCTCCGGCTCTGGTGATAGGTCCTGCTGCTCTGGTTCCTGTGCACTGACCCCCAGCCCCTCGTCATCCTCCATCACCCTATGAGTACTGCAGCGAGGCTCCTCACGGGGTCTCTGCCATGGGAGCATATTCCCATGTTTTTCCAGCTGGCTCCCGGTGGAGTACAGGGTCAGATTTAAGGTGTGGGTTTTGACCTTTAAAGCCCTTCACAGCCTAGGACCCTCGTACCTATGGGACCGCCTTTCCCGGTATGCCCCACGGAGAGCCTCAAGGTCCATAAATAGCAACACCCTAGAGGTCCCGGGCCCTAAGGAAGTTAGATTAGCCTCAACCAGAGCCAGGGCTTTTTCAACACTGGCTCCGACCTGGTGGAACGCTCTGCCTCATGAGACCAGGGCCCTGCAGGATCTGATTTCTTTTCGCAGGGCCTGTAAGACAGAGTTGTTCCGCCTGGCCTTTGGCTTGGAGCCAATTTGATTCCCTCCCCCTCTTTTTTCTTTTTTCCTTTCTCTTCCTGTGATGAGGCTGCATTTTAATGTTTCAATGTTTCAATGTTGTATTTTAATCTTGTTTTTAAGTTGTATTCATTCAACTTGTTTTTATTATTGCTTGTTGGCCGCCCTGAGCCTGGCCTTGGCTGGGGAAGGCGGGGTATAAATAAAAATTATTATTATTATTACACCAACCTCTCCTTCCCCACCCCCAGCTTGCCACAGTGTGTCCAAGCTGGGATCCTCTTCCTCATCTTCCTCCTCCCCATTGTCCTGCCAGTTCATGACACTTAGGAAGGTTTGCCTTTAAATGTGAACTGAATTCAATTTCTCTCCCCTCCCCCACCCCTATGTGGTCCATGTGTGCAGACACAGTAGCAGATCCGGCAACAAAATGTTTCTTGTCTCTCACCCAGGGCCAGCGCAGGGTGAGGCCACAACCTCAAATGTGGAAGCCCCTGAGGTGGTGTTCCTGAGGGCACTCTGCCTGCCTCCACCATTGATTTCACGAGATGTTGCCAAAACCACGTGGCATTTTGAGGAGCTTGTGAGATCTCACCCCTCTCGCTTGAAGTGGCGAAACGGGATGCAGTGCCCCGCTTCCACTGATAGGGTGACAAGGCGCCACCTTCCTCTACCTTGTGCCTATGTTTGTTTGTGGAGTTGGCATTTGCATCCCCGGCCCAACGCTGGCCAGAAAGTTCAGGTAGTCACAAGGACGCCTGTTCTCGCCAAAAGTTGGCGTCTCCTCTTGCCAAGGTAAATTTTGCATTGGACAATCATTATCTAATCTGATTGGAGTGCAACACATTCTGTTCATACAAACAATTTCTTAGAAGAAACTAACTGCAAGTTGCCTTATGGACGGCGATACCCCAAAATGTCTAAAACGCTATGCATTCCTCACTTCCCCAATCAGTGTGAAGTTCTAGGGGTGGAAGTACCTGGGTTTGCCTTGGCTTTTGAGGAGAGATCACTGGAGGCTTGTGTGTTTTGTAAACAAAACAAATACGTATTAGAAAATGTACAAGTGGAGAAGAACTGAAGGCAAGCAACATAAGCAGGCGTTAGACCCCTTGCTTCACATCAGATCTTCCCTGGGAGAGGCACACAACACCCAGCTGAGGCTAGCTGAAAAGGTCTTCGCAGTAGTTTCTCCCAGACTTTGGAATTCCCTTCCTAGAGAGGCTAGACTGGCTTCTTCCTCTTTGTCCTTCCACCGACAAGTGAAGACTATTGTATACCTGCAGGCTTTTGGGAACTGGAAAGGGCTTCAAATAGTGCTGCACTGTTTTTAATATCTGTTTTTCCCCCTATTGCTTTAATTTTATTATGGTTTAATTACTCTTTAGCTATTATCCTTTTTTTAAAAAAAGCTTTCTGTGTTTTATTCATGCTCATTTTAATTTTTGTGAGTTTCCTGGAGTCCCAGTTCTGGGAGAAAGTTGGGATATAAAATAAATATAATAAAAATAACAGGAGTCCATTAAGGCAAATGAGGTGCTGCCCCACCAAAATTTAGCCAGCCCCCACTTCCCTGCCCTCTTACTTACAAGTAATCAGGGGAGGCTCTGCCTGTCATTGGCTCTGGCTCCACCCATTGGTCTCTCTACCTTTTGCCCTACCAATCCCAATGGGCACTACATCCAAGGATGCTTCCATCCTTTAGCTCACAGCTCTCTCTCTCTCTGTCTTGCTGTCACATTGCAGCTGCTTTGTCCATTACTTCACACATACACTCCTACCTTCTCTAAACCCCAATGGCTTTTTTCATTTAAAGCCTCCCAGACTTATTTTATCCTTATTCTGAGGCTGCTTTTGAGGGCAAAAACCAGTGTGGTGTAGGAAACCAGAGCTCAGATCCCCAGTCTGCCATGAAGCTCAATGGGTGATCTTGGGCCAGTCACTGTCTCTCAGCCTAGCCTACTTCGCAGGGTTCTTGTGAGGATAAATTAAGGAGGAAGAGAACCAGCACGCCGCCTTGAGCTCCTTGGAGGAAATGTTGGGGTATCTATGCAATCCTTTGCTTGGCATCCGTCTGTCTCAGGAGACAATGGTGAAGTCAAACTGTTGGCAGGTTGCAGCGCCTGCTGTGGTCGTAGAGACCGATGTAGGAGAGACATGTTTTGTTGCAGCTGGGGCAGACAAAGGCATCCAGCTGAGCTGCTGCAGATGAGCGCCCATACCTTACGCCAATCAAGTTGAGCTTATAACTTGTAACTGCTGCCTCCTGCCTTGTTTTTGCTGAAGTTACCTCTCTGGGACACAAGCTCGGGCAGTGTGTATGGAGGTCTTGAGCTGCTTAGATGGCAATAAAGAAATACATTTAATTTTTTGAATTTATATATTGCATTTCCTCCTCAGGGCAACAAACAGGTACAATGATTAAAAACAAACAGAGAGAAAAACATTCTAAAAACAATAACAATTTTAAAAGAATCTATAAGCGGTTGCAGATTTTAAACATTCTAAAAGCAATTACATTTAAAAGCATTCTTCCAGGCAGTGATTATGAGGGGGCTGCCTGATCGGGATGGTTGAAATTTCTCAAGAGTAAACAGAGAAAGTTTTGACCAATGATGGCTGCTGAAGCTTTCAGTGCCAAAAAGCTGTGTTGGGTTGAAAACTGCTGGAAGTCTGTTTCCCAGAAATGCGCATCATTAAAATGTGCTGTCAGGAAATTTTGGCTACCCAGTAAAACAACAAACAGAACCCTGCTCCGCCTTGCAACAGATTCAGTCAATTCCTGTGTTCTTTCATCTGGGAAAGGTAGCAAAACTGTTCTTTCTTAACACTCTCATTCCTGCCTTAATTCAGGTGTTCTTTTGGGATGCAGATGAACTTGTGTGTCACATTTGAGGGAGTAGAAATGAGAGAACGGGCCTTTTCCACAAAGGCTTCCACTGCTACAATTATGGAGTGCATTCCCAGGATGCTTTGGGGGGAGCCATGACTGTTTACAGTGGTATGATACTGCTTTAAATCTATAGTCCAAATGAGGCCAATATCATGCTCTGGTCTGACGCTGGGTGAGAGAAAGAGGTAACAATGGTCAGATGTTGCAGGACCTCGGATAGCTCCAGGTGAGCAAGACTGGGGCCTCTTCACCCTCACCCGCTTGTAGAGAACTTTGGAGCCTTAAAGGGCTGAACCCTGTGGCCAGGTACTCCTCCTCTGTTCTGCAGCCTCTTGCCTGGTGTGCTCACTGTGCTGTTGGACCTGTGATGTACCTCATTCCTCAGGCTCAGGGGAAGGTGCCTGCGAGAGTCCAGGTTCTGGTGGTCTGCGAGGTTCTCCTGGGTGCTCCCATCCAACAACCTCAGGTGCAGTGGGTCTCCTGATCCTCAGCAGGTCAATTGAGCTTCTTAGCTGCTACATCTACAGCAGTGCTTTTCAAACTCAGGTTGCAAGCTGTTGGACTACAACTCCCAGCATCCCTAGCTGGCAGGACAAATGGTCAGGGATGATGGGAGTTTAAAAGGCTGCTTTAAAGAGATGGGGCTGATAATATTATGTATAGCGTTTCTACCCTGTATTTTAGCTAGAAAGGCTGTCAAAGCAGCTTAAAAAGGTCTGTGACTGGATTGTAGCCTACCGTACAAAAAGTAGAATCGGATCCATTTTCTGCCCACTTTTTGTTCTGGCTCTGACCACCACAGCCATGCAGCCCTTGCAGTGAATAGGATGCCTGGCCTCTGCTACAAAGGATCCAGGCATTTGTCCCATTTGAAAAACACTTTCCAACATACATGTATGTGGGTGTTCTTAGTATGAGCACCCATGGTTTTCTTTTTTGTCATTCCTAACGAAATTCCAGCTTCTGTTTTTTCTTGGCTCGAAGGTCTCTGCTGAGTCAGGTCTTTTTTTAGAGCTTTGGCTGATTACGACTTGTGTCAATATTTACTTAGCGCCTGTCCGATTGTGTGCCTTTCCCATTTCTCCTTTTTGATCTATAATTTCCAAGAACAGAATGCTAAAATAGAGCGTTCTGTGTCTGTGTGTCCATGTGTGTGTGTGTGCATTGGAGAGAATCTAAATTATATAGAGAAGAAATATAGGCTGTGTGTTTGTGTGTGTGTATGTGTGTGTGTGAAGGGTTGAAAAGCCCAGCGGTCAGGACAAGGGTGTTCCCCGCATACCCATCTGCCTTTTCTCTTCAGGCTCCATTCTTGCCCAAATGTGTTCAAGCATTTTTCTCCAATCGGACAATGTTTAAAGAGCTTTATCCAAGCAAATAGAGAACACTGTGATTCTATATCCTGGACTGGGCCTTGCTCTTCTTTGCCAGGCACTGCTCATTATCAACAAATAGTTTTGCCCCAGTCCTGCAAATGCTTCAACCAGGGGAGGGGAAACTTTTTTCAGCCCAAGGGCCACATTCACTCAGGGGAAACCTTCTGGGAGCCACACTGACCACTACAGCACACTGAAAAGGACCGTTAGCAAAGGCTCTTCAATAGTGTAGATGGAGTCCAGAGGGGGAAAAAAGAAATATTGACAACTCTTTACTGAGCAAACTGAATGGAAACAGTGTATAATTTGATGAGAAACAAACAGAGAGTGTTTCTTAGCTCAGCTTTGCACATAGCTGGAAGGCATGCAACAGAAACATACAGAGGAAAAACTTCCTCAGAACTATGCGGCTAATCAGAACTCATGCTACCACAGTGAAGATCAAGCCGCTCTCTGCCTGGTTGCCAAGCAAAACCTCCACATACATCCTTGGTTGGCATGATTTAACATTAACAGAAATAACCCTTAAATTGCCCATTGAATGATCCCTGCTGTTGGACTTCCATCAAGGACAAGTGGGGTTATGGCTTGTAATAAAGAGGAAGTCCCCTCCCCCCCATGCCATTTTGAATAGGTGCAAGATTCTACACTAGGGTGTTTCTGTAGTCCTCCTCTCTTCACCCTGGGACTTGCAGCTTCCGAATGGGAAGCTAAGCTACAGTTCCCAACACTCTTTGCAGAGCACAGGTCCCCCTATCAGCAGACAGCATTCTTGGGTAGCTTCTAGGTCCCAGGTGGCAGTGACACCTGCCCTGGGATGGGCAAAGGGACTTGAGTCAAATGGCTGAATCTGGGAGCTGCCCACTATTCCAGCTTTCTGCAATACTCCTGCTCCTGGTGTAGCATGGCTCCAGGATGTTGTAGAGAAACAAGTTTCAGCCTGGAAGGCTGCTCAAAAAGGAGCGTGGCTCTTGGGGTGAAAAAGTTCCCCCACCTTTGCCGTAAGTTTGCAGCTTGGTGCTGGAGGTCTCAGCTGACACCTTGAATTCTCGGCCAAAGAAGCAATGGTTAGCCTCCAGTTTGGGAAACTCTAGCTTCTTCACAGATCTAGCTCCAACCATAAGCAAAACAGACAGGCTCCCTTCATGAAAGGGCCACAGCCCAGTGCTTTGTTTGCAGAAGGTCCCATGTTCAAACCCAAGCATCTCCAAGGAAAAACTAGGAGGTGGCAGAATTGGGGGCAGGAAGGAAGGCCTCTGTCTTGGAAAGCTACAGCCAGTCAGATTAGATAACATAGTGTTAGATGGTCCCATAGTGTGACACCACCTTCTATCCTCCCTATAGACTGGGTCATCAGGGTAATTCCTCTGTGCAAGAGCTGGCCATCAAGGAGAGCCAAAGGCCCATCTAGTGGCCAGTCACATGCTTCTGGGAATCCTACAATCAGAGCGTGAGGGCAATAGCCCTTTCCTGTTTTAGTGTCGCAGCAAGAGCTAAAATCCAGGCTGTGTCACCAATGCAAACCTAATGGTATTCCTAAACCGGTGATGGACTGGTTAAAAGCAGCCTGTCCGTAGACTGCTGGACAAGCGTCAAGGCGGTTGCTGCTGTATTGCTACATTAGCAGCAGGCGGGGAAATGCAAAGAGCAGAACTTGCCTGAGGTGGCTGGGCGGACCTTTGCCTCCCCAGACGTTCACCAGCAAGCATGAGGATGAACAAAGGTAAGGGGAGAATGTTGTGTTTTCCAACAATTCCTTTCTGTGTGTTTCTTCGGAGCTGTGCAAGGCAGGTCTCTGGAATGAGTGCAAGTCAGCCTCCCTGCCTCCTCCTCTCCAACTTGGAAGAGCAGGTGGGCTGTTGTGATGAGCAAGAGAATCAAAACGATCAAGGGGCTTAAGGGGCGTCTGTAACAATCTGGGACTTTTTAGTTTGGCAGACAAAGTAAGGAACGGTATGAGAAAGGTGTACAAAGGTGTATGAGAAAGGCATGTGGAGAAAATGGAGAGAGAAAAGTTTTTCTGCCTCTCTCGTAATGCTAGAATTCGGGAACGTTCAGCGGAGTTGAACGGTTGGGAGGTTCAGACAGACAAAGTCCTTCTTTGCACAGCACACAGACTGTGAAATTTGCTCCTACAGGATGCAGGGATGGCCAGCAAATTGGATGGCTTTAAAAGAAGTCTAGACAAATTTATGGAGGAGATGGCTGTCACTGGCTACTATTGGAGGAAGTATGTCTCTGAGTGCTAGTTGCTGGAAATCAGAAAGAGAGCAAGCGAGAGCAGGAAGGAGAGAGATTTTGTGCTCAGGTTCTGCTTTTGGGCTTCCAATAGGGGTTTCATTGACCCCTAGACAAGATGGATGCTGGTCTAGGTGGGCCTTAGTTCTGATCCGGAAGGGCTCTTCTTTTCTTACGACTGGACATCCTAATACAGAGAGAAATTGCAGCTGATGACCTAAGGATCGAAGGAGCTCTCTGAGGTGAACCACATAGGCCTCTGGCTCTGAATTACCTGTATTCAGATATTGTGATATGCCCACAAGAATGTAAGAAAATCTCTTCTGGATCTGACCCAAGGCCATCTAGTCCAGTATCCTGTTCTCATGGTTGCCAACCAGATTCCTAAGGGAAGCCTCCAAGCAGACCTGAGGGTGGCAGCAGTCTCCCCACTTTAGATTCCCAGCAGCTGGCATTCAGAGGCACCAGGTTGGCCCAAGGCATTTTGGCACCTGAGGCAAACCACACAACATGCCACTCCCCACCAGAGAAGAAGGGGTGAGTGATACACCTGGGGAAATCAAATCACCTGATGGCTGAAATGAGAATCAAAGGATGTTGCTGGAGGGAAAGAAGCCACACCCAGGGCTGTCCTAGGATTTTTTGGGGTATTACACCAGCACAGCTTGTTTTTTCCCTGGTTTGAGAGCTTCTGTCACTATCTGTCCCACAGGATCAGTGTTGGCGTTGACTCTCATTTGGCTCTTGGCAGCAAGGTCTCAGCCCCTCGAAGTGGGGGCCACCAACGAACAGGCCAGCCCCGAAAAGCAGAAGTGTCCCAGCCTGTGTGGTTGCAGTTACGACGAACGCAATGATGAGCTGAGTGTCTACTGCAGCTTGCGAAACCTCACCAGCCTTCCTGAAGACGTGCCCAGGGCCGTGAGGATGTTGTGGCTGGAGGGAAACAATTTCACTTCTTTGCCAGCTCTTGCTTTCAGGAACCTCTCCAGCCTGGAATTTCTCAACCTTCAGGGCAGCCACCTGTCAAGCATCGAACAGCACGCCTTCCACGGCTTGGAGGAACTCTACTCCTTGCTCCTCCAACACAACCGGCTGAAGTCGCTGGCGCCCAACATCTTCCTCCATCTGCAGAACCTGGTTTCCCTACATCTCAACAACAACCAGTTTAGCAAGATTGAGGAAGGTGTGTTTGCCGGGCTCTCCAATCTCTGGTACTTGAACCTTGGATGGAACTCCCTGGTGGTCCTGCCGGACAAAGTGTTTCACGATCTACCCAACTTGCGAGAACTGATCCTGGCTGGGAACAAGCTCCACTATCTCCAACACCAGCTCTTCTACAGCCTCAGTGAGTTGAAAGAGCTGGACCTGAGTGGGAATTCCCTGAAGGGCATCAAGGGCAACATCTTCACGAAGCTGCAGAAGCTGCAGAAGCTTTACCTCAGCCAGAACCAAATCAACGCCATCGCCCCACGGGCTTTCATGGGCATGAAGTCTCTGCGATGGTTGGACTTGTCCCACAACCGCCTCACCATGCTTTTTGAAGACACGTTTGCGGGCCTTTCAAGCCTGCATGTGTTGCGCCTCTCCAACAATTCCATCGCCAGTCTGAGGCCAAGGACCTTCAAAGACCTCCAGTACTTGGAGGAGCTGCAGCTGGGGAACAACAAGCTCAGAAGCCTGCCGGAAAGGGCCTTCGACAAGCTGAGTCAACTGGAGGTTCTCACGCTCAACAACAACCATATCCAAGAGATCAGGGCTGGGGCTTTCCTTGGTCTTTCCAACATGGCAGTGATGAACCTCTCTGGGAACTGCCTTAAGACCCTCCCAGATTTTACCTTCAGGGGACTCAGCCAGCTGAACAGCCTCCACTTGGAAAACAGCTGCCTCAGCAGGATAAGGCCACAGATGTTCTCCGACCTTTCCAGCCTCCGGAGGCTCTTCCTGAGACACAATGCCATCTCAGAAATGGAGGACCACAGCCTGAGCGATTTGCACGAGCTCCTTGATCTGGACCTCAGGCACAACCAGCTGAGCAGCCTCTCCCCAAACCAGTTTGCAGGCCTCCGGAACTTAGAATACCTCCTCCTGTCCTCCAACCAACTGCTAGACATCTCTCCTGAAGCCTTCACTCCACTTCTGCGCCTCTCCTGGCTTGACCTCTCCAGCAATTGTTTACAGGCCCTGGAGAGTGACATCTTCCGCTCCTTCCCCAGGCTGGGATATCTGAACATCGGGAACAATTCACTCAGAACCTTCTCGGTGGATTGGCTGAGCCCTTCGCTCGTCCAACTGTGGCTGGAAGGGAACAAGTGGCAATGCAACTGCTCGCTGAAAGGACTTAGAAACTTTGCCCTGCAGCACCCCAGTGTTGTCTTGCGGTACACGCAGTCCATCACAGAAGGAGATGCTCCTGTATATACTTACAACAACATCACTTGCCTTAGCCCTGGGGAGGTAGCAGGACTAGATCTTCGGGACATCCAAGACACCCATTTTGCCGATTGCTAAATACTGGTACTTTTTACTTGGTTTCCCCTGCTCCACCCTCCACAAAAAACGCTTTCTGTATAGCTGGTGTCGGCATGCTCTCCTGGACCCCATGATTTGACTAAATGCATCTCTTGCAGGGTGGCCCTCAGCCTGATTTTATATGGCCCTTGGGCCTTTGCAAGCGATCAATGAAGACTCCTGGCAAGAGAGGACCGTCCTTCCACTGGTGGGAAGAGAAGGGAGGGAGGTGACAGAAAGAAAGAAAATAGGGTGGCCCCATTTTAACCTTTTCCTTTCTCCACTACCAGTTTTGGCCCCACTCACAGCGGCCCCTGACGGATTGCCCCAAGGGAAGGCGGCCCTCAACAGAAAAAGGTTGCTCAATGCTCATCCCTGATCTATTGGGAAAGGGGGTGGTGGTCCCACCTCTGTGCCTTTCAACACCTCCTTTCCCCTTACTTTTTGGACGTGCTATCCCCTGGATGGGGCAGCCTGTGTGTCGGGTGGGAAGATTTTCATAAGGTTTCCATTTCAGCAGGCAGTCCCAGGGGTGGGTGGGTGGGTGTCCCCCCCCCCCAGCACTATTAGGCCAGTTACAGGTAGGTAGCTGTGTTGGTCTGCCGTAGTCGAAACAAAAGAGAAAAAAATCGTTCCAGACCGACTAAGCTTGTTATTGGTATGAGCTTTCGTGGGCATGCTTCCTGGTATCTGAAGAAGTGTGCATGCACACGAAAGCTCATACCAATAACAAACTTAGTTGGTCTCTAAGGTGCTACTGGAAGGAATTTTTTAAATTTTGTTTCGACTATTAGGACATTTATCCTCCTCTGGCACTTTCAGGGACTGCACTCCTGACACAAGAGCCTGATGCGATGTACTTGACATGCTCAATTCCAAGTCGAGCAACTAAACAGGGGCTAGGCAGATGCCACGATGTGGCAGGTGCTCCATGTGGCAATATATACCCATCAGGCTCGGCACCAGCAGGTGGCACCCTTGGGCCATTGCCAGGGCCCTGAGGTCTTAGCAGGGCCCACCTCTGATATTGCCTGCCCTGGGTCCCTAATAATGATCACTGCAGAGTCTCCAGTGTTCAGATCTTGGAGCCTGCAATGTAGTACTGCTTTGGGGCGTCCTGTGGAATTGAAATGGCGCCTCTCAGACCCACAAGGGGTGCCACCTGGTGCTGGTCAAAGCACGATTGCAGCCTGCTGCTGTTTTCGCTGACAGGTAAGCATGTCGGGGGAGGCTCCAATGTAGGAGCCAGATCCAATACATATAGAAATGTAGGAAGCTGCCTTACCCTGAACCCAGACCATTAGTCCATCTAGCTCAGTATTGTCCACACTGACTGGCAGCAGCTCTCCACAGAGTTCCAGGCAGGGGTCTGGAGATGCCAGAGGCTGGACCTGAGACTTTCTGCATGCATAGCAGATGCTCTGTGACTGTGCTAGGATGGATATGGTGTCAAAATCCCCATGGGAGCTTTTTGGCAGCTTTCCCCATGGATGCCATATGCTCTTATAAACAGCAACATGTTAATAAACTTTCAGAGCTATGGCAGAGCCTTTTGGTTTTTCTGATGATGCTTCGTCTAAATAGGAACCACGAGATCTGAGCTATGGCTGTAATACAGGTAAGTAGATAAAACAGAGCTTCTTCGAAACTTCTTGTGCCTGAAGAAAATAAATCAGTGAGTAACACCAACAACACAAATACTGTGTTGTAAAAATGCAGAGACCAATCACAATTCATTTCTCCATCTCACCCAGGCAAAATCTCTGGAGAGAAAGCAAAAGGCACCTGAAGGATTGTCACATTATGTTCAGACATCTCATTCAATTGGTGTGAATTCTGTTTACGAATAGACAATCTGTGTTATGCTCCACCTCTGCTCTTGGAGGCAGTATGACTCTGAAGGCCAGTTGTTGGGAATTGCAAGTGGGAAGAGTGCACTCAGGTCCTGCTTATAGAATTGCAGAGTCGGAAGGGACCCTGGGGGGGTCATCTAGTCCAACCCCCTGCAATCTTTTTCCCAACATGGTGCTCAAACCCACGACCCTGAGTGCTTGTGGGCTTCCCAGTGGGGGAGCTGGTTGGCCCCTGTAAGAACAGGATGTTGGACTAGATGGGCCTTTGGACTTATCTAGCAGGCCTCTTATGTTCTTAACGGAGCTTGCAGATAACTTCCTTCTGGATTTGCATTCAGAGAGGCATAGATTCCCCTCCCTTAGATTAGCCACGTTTTTGCAACAGCCTTTAAACAAGAAAATTGTGACCTCAAGCAGATGCTGACCATGGGACCCTCCTCTCCAGGCAGACATGCTATCACCTAAATTGCACTGGACAGATGCAATAAAACATTTAGTGCTTGGGAACCAGTCATGGCCAATCAAAATTCAGAAGATTTTTTATTTTTTTATCTCATTGACCTACAGTTCTAATCTGTTAGATTATACCATTCTAGATAGTCTAAGAAGTGCTGGTTGTGGAATTCTGCTTTGGGGAATTGTGGTTATCAAAATTGTGCAATTAAGATTTTATTTTTTCTGGTTGAGACTGCTGATTGATCTTATTGATTCAGAGACTGGAAATATCTCACACCTAATAGTGAACTCGAATGATGAGCATTGACAGAAATAAAGCTAAAACAGGCCTCACTGAGTCATGAGTATCTGCCTACTTGTAGGAGCCCCAAGAGTTGCAAAAGTACAGGGGGGAAATGCTTAAAATAAATACAACTCCAACAAAAAAAAAGCAGAAGCAGCTCAATCACCATGGAATATTGAATATCAGTTGTAAAGTCAGGAGAGGAAAATAACAATAAATATCTCATTGACCTGCAGTTCTAATCTGGTATTGATTATGTCATTTGAAATAGTCCTAGAAGTACTGGTTGTGGAATTCTACTCTGAGGAATTGTAGTGCAATTGTAGTGCAATTGTGCAATTAGATTTTATTTTTTTCTGGTTGAGACTGCAGGAGAGGAAAATAACAATAAAGTGGGGAGAGGAAGACTGGACTGCCCTACCAGGTGGTTGGAATTTGGAAGCCCAATGTACTAAAGGGAACATGTGTAGAGATCCCCAGACTCGGACCTATACAGATGCAACATGTGGGAGGTGAGAATGGCACAGAGCAGGTGGAGGGCCCTTGGAGCTTCTTTATTAGCCCAGCAACCTCCCCTGCTCACCCATCTACTAAATCCCTCCTATTGGAGCATGGCATGTGTGCATGTACACATGTGGCATAAAGGATTGTGTGGTGGCCACCCCCTCGCTACCAGCTCTGGCCAAGCTCACTTGAGCCACACTCCCTGCTGGTGATCGGTTCCTGGATGTTTAGCAACAAGGTAACGGAGAACTTAAGACAGCTGCTGAAATTATGGCACAAAAGTGTGGGGGACCCTTATTTTAGTATATACACGAAGTATCAAATGTGGTGACAGTAATAATAATGCAACAAACCAACAACACCACAAACTGGCTTATAATCAAATCAATCTTTATTACGGCCCAGAGACCCAACAAATTGTTACAAAGCAATACACAATTCATACAGCCTATCTCCAGGTTAAACAAGCATTTTGTTCAAAAGATAGGGATCATTGGTTCTTGCAACCACTGATAAAAACTTTGCCACTGCTAATGTTCTAGCGTTTTTAAGTATAAAGCCAAATTTACTAGAATAATAACTAGAATAGAGATAGACTTACAGTATCTCCAGGCTTTGTTTTGCACATGGCAACTTAGTATGTTTGTTGCTTGAATGGTTACAAGTCTGTCTATAGTCTAGTTATTATTCTAGTAAATTTGGCTTTATACTTCTAAGCCAGTTTGTGGTGTTGTTGGTTTGCTGGACCCTTATTTTATACATTATTCTAAATAATATAGATTGACTGCTCGGTCAGAAAAATCTCTAAACGATGCATCTCTAAGCAGCAACAGCAGATTCCATAACTCCCATCACTTGACAACCCCTAATTTTAGGCAAATGGCAGGACCTACAAATCCAAATTGAGGAGCTTGTGGGACACATACACACAAAAGCTAAGGCTGCTGGGGCTCCCAGTGCCACCTGCCCCCCCCAATTAATGCAAGCACTGATATAGACAAGGGTTCTTTAACTTTGGGTCCCCCATATGCTGCCAGGCACCAGGGATGATGGGAGTTGTAGTCCACCACATTTGGGCCGATGGGGCAAGACAACTCAGCCCTAAAACAAATAGTGGGCATGCATGTTTTTTTAAAAAGCACATAGATGTCTTGACTGCAGCAAATATGATTTATTGGATGTGGGTTGCTCAGGATGACCGACTCACAACTGAATTCTGCAGAGCAGTCAAGGAACTGCTGGCGGAGGCTTTCGCGAGGACTGCTGCATCACACAACACATGCTGAACTGAGTTCACAAGGTGGAAGGCAGGGAGCGCTAGAGTGCCAGCGTCCTACTGGTACTTCTCTGCTCTTTGGGGGTGTGTAAACTTCTCATTTGTCCTGCCCGAGGAAGGGAGCAGAAACACCATGTGGTCGAGATCCTGGCCTTGGAAAAACTGAACAAAGGGCTAAAAACAAACCCACCAATGGGTGGACCGCTCCAAAGCAGACACTGCAGTCACTCATACGGAAGGCAAACACTGTTGCAGACAAGGCGCTGTGTTCTGCCCAAATCCAGCCCCTCTGAGTCCATCGCTTTCCGAAAAGCCTTCCCCTGCCTTGCTGAGCCTTCTCAAAAGCCGCCCCGTTTCCTGGCCAGCTTCTCTCGCTTCTCTTGGTGCGGCGAGGAAGATGCTGAGTGCCCATCGATTGCAGCCTGTGCTTCCGTTTCAGGAGCTGCAAGCGGATGCCCCAGCCAAGATCTGCCGGGCGATGTCGGCGAGCGCAGGGAATGCCAGGCTCTTGGGAAATTCCTGGAGGAAGTCTCTGCCTTGTTCCAAGCTCTGGCTGAGCTTGGGGTCCAGGGGCACGCACCCTGTGCAAGAAGGGGTGGGGTTGCAAGAAGGCAGGAGAGGTTTAAGAGGGAAGAGGGAGAGAAGGTGAAAAGAGGAAAGAGGGGCAGGCTCTCCCATCTCCCATCCTACCTGACAACAGCTGTATACTGACCAGCAATGAAGCTCTAAAGTACAAGGATGGGGAGCTTGTGGGCCCTTCAAAGGCTGTGGGGTTACACCTCCCATGATCCCTGACCAAGCTCTATGCCGCCTTGGGCTGATGGGAGTCCAACGACAACTGGGTCATAGGTTCCCTGTCCCAGCTGCTTTTGGGATTGTATCCAGCTAAGAGATCAATTTCTTAAGGGTGAAAGTCGAGACTAAAACTGTGAAAGATTCTGCTGCTACAGCGGGAGAGGAAGCCCCTTTGCAGAGGACGCGAGTCATCTGGCACAGGGCTCAGCAGCCGTTTCTGACACTTTGAATCACTGTGAGTTCGTACTGAATTGAAATTAATTGTTTGATTAATTTGTTTTGGGGTGGTGTGGGTTTTTTTTGCCTTATGGAGTTGTTGAGATGATTATAATCACTGTAATGTTTGCTAATTTTAATGTTATTGTCATCATTGTGACCTGCTTTGAGCTCAACGTGGTTGCAGGAGAAGCGGAATTTGAGTATTCAATCATCAACTCAGTTTTCCCAGAGCGGTTCCTCTAGGTGGCTCCTCTAGCTGACTCCATCTATTGCAGCTCTGTCCTCCTTTGCTTTGGATCTGTCCCGTGATGCTCCCTGTCAAGGTCCAGACTGACACAGCCTTATGGCCAGGATCTTTCTTAACCGTATTTAAAGTGTTATGTGGATATCAAAGTCACAAGAAAACAATCATGACAACTTTTAATACTTTCCTAGAGGGTACTCCGGATAAACTCACCTAGGAATGGGACCTCGGCATGCTTGGCTAGCTCCTGTCCACCTCCTTTGGAAAAGACATTGGTGCATTCCTAGAACAGAAGAGGAAGCTTAATTCTAGAGGAAAAGTGGGGAGAAAATTCTGGAGGAAAGGTGAGGTGTAAATAAATTAATTCATATAAATACAGTGGTACCTCTAGTTGTGGACGCGATCCGTTCCAGGGTGCCATTCGCACCCCGAAAAGTCCGCAACTAGAGCGACGCTTCAGCGCAAGCGTGACAGAGCGCTTCTGTGCATGCGTAAAGTGCGCAGAACGCTTCTGAGCATGTGGCAAAACCCGGAAGTACACACTTCCAGGTTTGCCGCGTTCTCAAGCCGAAAAGACGCAACATGAACCTAACGCAACACGAGGTATGACTGTACGTATTTATATACCACTATATCATAAAAACAGCAAAGTAGCTTACAATAATATCTACTGTAATCTACATAATATCTACAATAATATCTATTTAAAATAAAAATGTGAAAATTTAAAATCAGAGACAATTAATTAACTATTATGGAAATATTTTTTTCTTAAGTTGCCTGCCAGCATAGGAAAGAGGCATTTAAAGAGAAGGCAGAAACAGAGAGCTGACTCTCTATGGACAGAGTATCCCATAGGATTGGACCAATAACATGAAAGGCTGTTTTGTGTTGATGCCAAATGAGCGTCGCCACCTCAGGGGACAACCAAGGATGCTTCTGCAGATGCTCTCAGTGTTAAGCTGGGCGAAAAGCCAGTCCCTAAGGTACCCTGGACCCAAGTTGCTCAGGGCTTTGTAAATTAACACAAGGAACTTGAACCTGGCTTGGTAGCAGATGGGCAGCCAGTGCTGATGTTTTAGCAATGTTGTCTGTCAGCTCTCCCCATGAGAGTTCTGGCCACTACATTCAGCACCACGCTGCAACTTCTCAACCAAGCCCAAGGGCAGCCCCACATGAGCGCATTGCAGTAATCCAGTCTCAAGGTTACTAATGCAGGGACTACAGCTGTCGAGCTATCAGGTATATGTGAATGCCCTCAACTCACTCTCCCTTTTCTGGGTACCCCTTTCTTATTGGGGCAGCCTAACCCACGACATTTCCCACCTTCTGGTCAAGAGGAAGGGAAAGAGGAGGGGAGAACGTTCTCCGCTGTGGTGCCAAGTAGTTTGCCCTCTCTAATGCTCCCTTCCTCTTAATGCTGTGCTCCTGATGAAGATCCCCACACTCAAAGCTTCTCTTGATAACAGGAACATCTAAAGGATGCTATCTGAGCAACAGAAGCTTCCCACTTGGGCAAAAATGCATCAGCAGGAGGAATTTCCGTTAGGATCACAGTGTTGGGAGTCCTAACTGGTTTTCCACCCTGCACCTGGTATTTCCTTCCCAAAAAGAAAAAGACACATGAAATGTCAGCTCTGTCTCTCACAAATATCATGCCATAAAGTTTGGCCATTAGCAATTATTCTCCTTGGTAAAGCAGAAATGCTTGCAGAAGCTCCACCAGAGGACACAACCCTAAACTTGCACCTGCAATCAGGTTTTTAAAAAATCACTCCAACGGCCACCAATCTCAGCTTTTAATAAATTTGCGCACGCTGAGCTTAACTCAGCCCCTGACTCTTACCGAACAGTGCGGGCAGACGAAGCCGCTCATGTTCTCCACGATCCCAAGGACCCGTAAGCCTGTCTTCTTGCAGAAGGTCAGCTCTCGCCTCACGTCCCCCACAGAAACAGCCTGAAGAAAGAAGACAATCTTGCGTAATACGGTGGTAATAGGGCGGCAGCAGGAAACAAAGCTGAGCAAGAGGCAAACAGGTCTGGCAAAGTGAGCAACCTTTTCAGCGGCCACAAATGTGTTATTTTAAAGCAAATCTCAAAACTGTAGAGAATTTTCACATGATACTGAAAGCTGCCTCGTACCAAGTCGAGCTGCAATGGTTCTTTGATCCAAAGCTGTCAAATGCACCAGCAAGCATTTAGCAGCAATTTCCTTGGAAGCTGAAAGTTGAGTTGGATGCATGGTTGGTTTGGACGCAGGAATCTGCCTCATGCCCACAAAGTCCACAGGTCCATTTAGCACAGTATTGTCGCTTTGACTGGCAGCAACTCTCCAGGGTTTCAGGAAAGTGTCTCTCCCAGTTTTACCTGCAGATGCCATGGAATAGACCTGGGACCTTCTGCACGCAGAGCAAATGCTGTACTACTGTGCTACAATGGATGTGGCTGTCAAACCCTATGTTTTAAAAAACTAATAGCTGTGTTGTTGTGATGGACAGGTAGTTTATAACTAAACTATGCAACAGATGCTGAGTACTGTATTATACAAGCCAACTGTAGTGCAGGGGAGAAACTTTATCCAAAAACGTCTCTTGTGGCTATAAGAGCACCCCCTGGTGTCTATACATAGCTACAGAAATTGCCTTTGAGAAATAACACCTAGAGCACACTGATTTTTCCCCCTATATAAAATGATTAAAGCCAATATTTTCAGGATCCTCGAATAAAATTTCCGGTATCCTGCAGTGCCAGGATGCTAGTTTGTGTTCATCTGAAAGTCTTGGTGATTTGATGTGCCCAGCAGAATGCTGAAGGGCAACTTCGGCGAGAATAGCCCAGAACCCAAAAAAGCAATAACTGATGCTATAATCAGAATCACCCCAAGCGACTTATGCTGGAAACTACCTAGAAGTATGTAACATGAGAAAATAGATAGCTAAGATGTGGAACCAAAACATATTTTATGAGAACTAAGGACAATGGTTAAAAAAGGGGATAACTTTAGGGGGAAAGGGAATCATTTAGTGAATTTTAGAGACACAAATATTCAGTTTGCAACGAATGCTACGACAAACCATGGTTTAGTGCAAACAGCCAATTGTGTGGGTTCCTGGAGTGAAGATCATAGGCACAGAGCAACCATTCCTGCCTCATCTCCTGGTCTGCTGCCGCCCTGCTATATGGGGTCAAGTCATTGTTCAGCTTTTGGCTCCAAGGAGCAGGGCAGCAGCAGGAGCGAGCAAGGAACTTGCTCCAGGAACTCGCACATTGGTTTGTTTGCACTAAGGCATGGTTTGGCTCATATTACATACAGAGTCGGTTTATTGACACCAAGCCCACATTTATACTTTATGATGAATTCAGAGAAATCATAGTGGAAGCTGGCATTTTCAATCTAGAGCTTTCAAAAAGCTACACATATAATGCATAAAGTTTATTTAGGTGCACCTTAAGTTTCAATTATAGACACTTCCAGTTTAAAGATTTGTAGGTGTGTAATTAGCTATGTGAACGTGTGTGTGTAGCTATTATTATTATAGTTGCTTTGTTCCTATTATTTGTCACTTTTGTACAGGTGCGTAATATTTTTTTAATTAAAAATTGCAGGAAAACCCAAGAAATTAAAAGACAAGAAAAAGAGAGAAGTCATCCGTACCTGCGGTGTTGTAACAAGAATTGCCCCAAGAGGCTTATAAGGCCGAAGGGATTCTACGGTGGAGATATGCTCATCGGATGTGCCAGGGGGTGTATCCACAATCAAGAAGTCAAGTTCTCCCCAGGTGACATCGGAGACAAACTGCTTGATCAAAGCTATAATGAAGTATAGAATGGGAAAATATATTGGACTGCATCCAACTAAGTTCTACTGAGCAGCCCCACTGAAATGAATGAACCTGAGTTAATCATGTCCGTTCATTTCAATGGATCTGCTCCAAGTAGAACTTAGCGTTGGAGGACCCACACAGACACAATTCACACAATAACCCCGTGGTGACAGGAGCAGGTCCACCACACAGGTCCTGGATGAAGACAGGAAATGGGCGGAGGCGATGGGGGCGTGGCCAAAGACCGGTCTGCCTTAGGTCACATTAAAGCAGTGTAACCCTCCATGTCGTCTGCTCACGTCTTCCGGTGACATTGCTATCTGCAGACCCTGTCCATACAAACCTGCCCAAATCTAAAGATCTTCCAAAGATGCGCTTGTTTATGTCCCACCGATATCAGAAGTTCATTTGCACAGGACAGGAGGAGACTTGAGACAAGGCCTCATAATGGCTGTGTTCAAACTCTGAAACTCCCTTGCAACGGAGAACTAACTTTTTAAAAACTGACCTGCAATTTAATCAAGTTTCCTTTGTTGATACTTGTTTTAAATTGGCAGCTGTGATGTTGTTGTTTCTAATTGACTGTTTCTTCCTGCTCTTATTTTGTTTGTCGCCGCTTCTTGATTATGGTTGCGAGCTGCCCCTGGGGTGCCATGCAGAAAGGCGAGGACTAAATGGCATGTATTTTCTGAGCACATGGCCCCAAGCAGGAATTTCGAAGGGATGCAGAAGGACGGTGGTGACACTCATTTAGGGTCACCCAAGTCACTTGCCACCCATGTAGACCCTGTGCTAGTCCTCTTGTCCTCCCGCAGGAGCTGGGAACTGCTGGCTGGATGCACGGAAGGAAAAACAACACAGCAGAACTGGACCTCCCAGTGCATGTTCAGAGTGCGAAGAGCTAACTTGGAGCACTGTTGCCTGGAGGAGATTCTTACTCATTGTAGCTGGCACATTTGGAAACAGGGACGTGTGTTACCCATTTGCAAATAGGTCACTTGCTTTGCTGCCTGGGGGGGGGGGGGAGGAACAATAAACCTCCAGGCAACTGAGTTCAAAAGGTGGTTGTCCCCAAGACCGACTGGCTTAGGCCAAATATCACTAACAGGGGCACACGGGTAAGTAAACATTTGTATCTTCCATACCATTTTTCTTTGGTCCTCTCCATATTACGGCATCGTCTGGCTTTTCCAGAAGGAAGCCAATGGACATGACGGCAATGCTTTTGTCTTGGCCAACAAAGACCGGCACCCAGCCACCGTCGCACTGGTGAACATCTCGGTCCTGCACATTGAGCATGCGCGGGATGCTGGGGCCACAGAGGTCTACGTCCAGGATCCCGACCTGCATTGGGAAGACAAATGGGGGGGCCTGTTTAGTAAAAAACAACCAAACAACTAAAAAAAAAAGCAACTTGCAAGCCCAGCGTATAAAACCTTTCTCTGGACATGGCACAGCAGGCTGAGGAAAGGTAGGTGAAAGCTGAAGGATGGGATAAAGATGAATTCTATCACTGTAACATTCTGCAGTGGTAGGCAATCAAGTCCTTCAGTGTAGCGGCACCGATGACCATGAAGGGGGTGATTTTGCCTCTACATCAGGGTGCTGGCCTGGGATGAAAACTGCTCTGTCTACCTCATGACTCTTACCTACTTTAATCCCCCTACCCTTGCTCCCTGATAAAATTGGTGTGGTCTTGGAGGACTAAAATTTTTGCTTTTTGGGTGGGGAGGGGAGGCTGGATTAGGTCCCCAGGCTGGTGTGTGTGTGTGTGTGTGTGTGTGTGTGTGTTTACCTGCCCTGGCATTCAGAATGTGCAGATCAGATCAGTACAGCCATATGTAAAGGTAAAGGGACCCCTGACCATTAGGTCCAGTCGTAGCCAACTCTGGGGTTGCGGCGCTCATCTCACTTTATTGGCCGAGGGAGCCGGCGTACAGCTTCTGGGTCATGTGGCCAGCATGACTAAGCTGCTTCTGGCGAACCAGAGCAGCGCACGAAAACGCTGTTTACCTTCCCGCCGGGGCGGTACCTATTTATCTACTTGCACTTTGACGTCCTTTCGAACTGCTAGGTTGGTAGGAGCTGGGACCAAGCAACAGGAGCTCACCCCATCGCGGGGATACAAACTGCCGACCTTCTGATCGGCAAGCCCAAGGCTCTGTGGTTTAACCCACAGCGCCACCCGTGTCCCTACAGCCATATGTACCTACCTACAAAACTAGGAAATGGCACCTGCTGGAAGCAGCTCATTAGTTAGCCGATCACCAGAAACCCCTCCTGCCTCCCATTCCCGTTGAGCCTCCTCCATGTCTGATGGGTCAATAGCCTTCTAGGCAGCCATGACAGAGGGTCCATGAATGGGCAGCGCACTATAGGCTGGGGAAGGGGAACATCTGGTTCTAGTGTCATGAGGGAGAAAAATGTTTCCCTACTCACTTTTCTATGTGATGCATGATTTCATACACTTCATAGAGTCATAGAATTGTAGAGTTGGAAGGGACCCTGTGGATCATCTAGTCCAATCCCCTGCAATGCAGCTGTCCCATACGGGGATCAAACCTGCAACTATTATGTCACATCTTACCATGCCTTCCCAAATGTTGCAATCTTTTTCTCAAGGGTTCAGCTCCATCTCTTCTGAGCTCTTTCCCAAATGAGACCATGGGGAGGGGACTTGAACCTGGGACTACCCATGGACTGAACCTCTGATGTTTCACTGGGTTACAGTTCCACATGGAGGCCTTACCTGTCCTCACCATGGACTCTCTCCTTAGCCTCCTATCTCCCCAGATAGTCCTGGGCAAATTCATTTCCAAGCAGGCCATGTCAAGCCACATGAGCCTCTGGGGAGGGAGCAAGTCAGACAGGGAGGGGAGTGAGAGGCAACGTGATGGAGGCGGAAATTTTCCATCATGGAATTTTAGTAAAGGTAAAGGTACCCCTGCCCGTACGGGACAGTCGTGTCCGACTCTAGGATTGTGCGCCCATCTCACTTAAGAGGCCGGGGGCCAGCGCTGTCCAGAGACACTTCTGGGTCACGTGGCCAGCGTGACAAAGCTGCTCTGGCGAGCCTGCACCAGCGCAGCACACGGAAACGCTGTTTACCTTCCCTCTATAAAGCGGTACCTATTTATCTACTTGCACTTAAGAGTGCTTTCGAACTGCTAGGTGGGCAGGAGCTGGGACTGAACGACGGGAGCTCACCCCGCCGTGGGGATTCGAACTGCCAACCATGCGATCGGCAAGCCGATCCCACTGCTAGATTTTTCCACTTCCATATCTAAAAAGCACAGTTTCATAAACATTCATTAGTAACATAATGAATGGATACAAACCTGTAAGGTTTTGTAGACAGTTTCAGGGATATAATTAACTTTTCCCCCTCCAGGTGACTCTCCCTATGGAGCACCCAGGCACATACAGTAAATTTAAATGCTTACCTCCTTTGGGTGTGTGTGTGTAAAAATTAATGTTAAACAGTGTCGCTGTCTTACCGTGCTAACAGCACTGCGTAGGTGTTGGTATCGGAGTTGGTGTTCAAAACCTTCTAAGTGTGGATCTCAGCGACAATTTACCCCGTGAAATTGCCCAGTGGTTTTTTTAAAAAAACATATTTTTATTAAAGGTTTCTTAGTTTACCAAAATACATGCATGGTCTCTTTTTTTCAAGCTGCATTTTCTACAGATCAGTTTCATTTGTGTGATACAGTAGTGTTACATACAGTGTTAGGTTAGGAAGAAAAGAGGGGGAGAGGGGGGGAAATAGTGAGTGGGGTTGGGCGACAATGTTTCTATTCTTCTACTTAGTGTATGTGTGGGGTTTTGTGTCAGCGTCACTTGTGTGGGTTCTCTTACTATTTTCTTGTTGTATTTCCTTGGTGGTGAGAGAAGTTGGTGGTGGCCTAGGATGTGGTTGGTTGTCTTTGGTTGGCTGTAGTGAGATCTGCTTTTGTGTGTGAGTGGGGTATGTGAGTGTGTGCTTTTGGATCAGGTTAGTCAGATTGATTCGTATGCTGTCGCGGATTCTTGTTGCTGGGCCTAGTGTTTATTTGAGGACCCATGAAAACCAGTCCGCGGAGACCCGAAATCTGGAATGAATGAGAACGTAACTCTGTCCACTCATTTCCTGACGCACATGGAAGGACGTGCTTGCTAGGGCCTCTGACTTCATACAGTTCCCAACAGCCCACCCAGGGAGCTGACAGGAGTACAGCAGACTCCCCCTGAAGCCCCCCCCCCATGCCTAAGCACCTGGAAGAATGAAGAGGTGGGATGTTGGGAACTCAATAGAAGGGGAGGGTCAAAGAGCACAGCCTGGCCCATACCCCTCACGTAATGGGGACCTCATGAAGGGGAGCACCTGAAACCCTAAACCCAGTCCCACACAGTTAATCCCCTTTGTCCCTCTTCCTCCAACCAAAGTTTCCATTTACCAACTCTAATTCTGCTCTGTCTTCCAACTCCCTGACCCCATACTCCATGGACTCTCCCACTTCCCTTCAAACATACAACGTAAGAAGTGGATAAAATACCAGTAACACTGAGTCATTTCAATGGTGTAATTAACTCCCCGCACCCCAGCAAATACAGCTAATTTAATTTCTTAGCCTGGGGGGTGGGAACAAGCTCAAATTAACGTTACAGTTTTGAGGGCCTTGGTTTTTGCTTCTTGAGATGTAAACAATGTACACAGGCATATACTGCCAAGTCGTCATATTCTTAGATATCTTTAGTTATTCCGGAAAAAACCCCTAAAACCCAAAACTAAAACCAATTTGCGTGTAAAGCTCCAGCTTTGTTAGACTACATTTAGACCACATTAACTGCACTGTTATTGATTCCTCCTGTCCCCAAATATGGTTTCAAATACTTCTGAGTATTGAAAAAACCCAAGAGATGAATACATAATATTAAATTAAGGCATACTTGCCTAGATTTGTTTGCTGATCAAAGTTCAGCTGCCTTAGCACTCTGCCTTAGCACCCCCCATTTTTTCAGAAAACCCACATCGTTAGGACCAGAAGGATCACACCTGTTTCACTTTGAAGTTCGGTCACCTGACATCATGGTGACATCGGGCAACTGGTGAGTGGGAAGCCCTGCTCATCTGTCAAAGTGACTCGTAGGGGGTGGGGGGTGCTCAGGATCTGCCCTGTACACTGGACCCTGTTCCCTAACCCTCTTCAAAGAGTTCAGGGTAGTATACATTAAGGCTTATCCCCAAGAAAAAATGTGTGGAATGGAGGTACATTAGACTGGGAGACGGCATATGGGCCAGGACCGCTGCAATCACTGCTAAGCAGGGATCTGGGTACTCTGGGTTCACATTCAATCTTTGCTTTGAGTCCTGGAAGACCTGCTCCCTGTCTTGCAGGCCTCTTCTCACCTGGCCTGAGAGGACAGGGCCTTGACTGATTCCAGCTGCAAAAGCCGAGGCTGCTGAAGAGGCCAGAGACCATCATGGCTGTTTCTTAGTGCAGACCCAAGTCATTGAGCCCCCATGAACCACCACTGGCAGCAACAGCAGAAGACATGTTCTATGCTTATGATAATAGTTTATTCTCTTTTTGATTATGCTGTTTTAAATGTGCATTCTATATTGGACTTCCTTTAGGAATGTTTTCTTTTGAAACGTTTAAGAAAACTTTGCCATTGTCCACTTTGCCGCTTTAAATGTGCATTCTTGTAGTTGATCTCCTTTGTAAAGTTTTATTTTGAAACCTTCAAGATAATATTTTAGTTTCCTGTTAACTATGTTGCTCTGAATGTATACTTGACTTTCTTCGTTGATGTTTGATTCTGGATTGTTTTATTTGATGTTTTAATGTAGGTTGTAAGCCGCTTTAAGGCCCCTCCCTCGCTTAAAACTATAAAGCAAACAGAAATGAAATGAATAACAACAATCCAGTGCTCTAACCACTATACCACATGGTACATACCTTTTTCCCAGTGTGATGCAGGGCCAAAGCCAGCTCTGTTGAGATGGTGCTCTTCCCTACGCCCCCTTTCCCCGATAGCACCACGACAATGTGCCTGACCCCAGCCAGGTTACCTCCATCTGTAAGGGACAAGAGGTGAGGAAACGGTTATCGTTCCGTCTGATTTCCAATGTTCTGGTTGCAAGTGAGGTTGCTTATGTGCATAAAATGGCATCTGTCAGGCACAAAAGGAAGGTATTTGGCAGGTGAGGGATGAGGGTGTGGGGGAACCCAAGTTTGCAAAAGTACCATACTTTCCTTTTAATAGGGGAAAACCCTAAGGTGGGAGAAATATGCAATACAGCCGAGGACAGAGTGAGCTCTGTGGTCATTTATTTGTTATCTGTTAAATTTGTTAGTTGCTTAGCCTTTTCCAAGGCAACCCAAAGCAACTTATAGCCAAGCAAACAACCCACACCCTGATACATTTAAACCAACATGGTTTCTCTATAAAATGCTTAGAAATGAATGCTGCAGGTGGCTTTAAAAATAAAGTGTGGATAGCCAGATGGGCGGGGTAATAATAATAATAAAATTATTATTATTTAAAAACAACCAAAGTAGGTCAAAAGAAAGAACAATAAACAATCTTAAACATATTCTGCTGATTTCCATAGACATTACAGTGGTACCTCAGGTTACATACGCTTCAGGTTACATATGCTTCAGGTTACAGACTCCGCTAACCCAGAAATAGTACCTCGGGTTAAGAACTTTGCTTCAGGATGAGAACAGAAATCGTGCCCCGGCGGTGCGGCGGCAATAGGAGGCCCCATTAGCTAAAGTGGTGCTTCAGGTTAAGAACAGTTTCAGGTTAAGAACGGACCTCCGGAACAAATTAAGTACTTAACCCGAGGTACCACTGTACTTCAAAGTATGATTTCAATGTATGAAACTGCATACATTGCCACAAAAGCCACCTTTTTATTTTCTCCCTCGATTAAGTGTTTAATGTACAGGTTCCCACAATGTTTGAAGCCAAAATCTGTTATGAATTGCAAATTCATCCAAGCACCCAACACATTTCCCCCCCATTTGTATTAGCAATTCTCTCAATTCAGACCTCCACTTGCACTAACTAGTTGTGGTATTTTGGATTATGACAGTTGGAAGCCAAATTCCATAGCGATTAGAATTCCAGGACACCTCAGTCACTGGCTTCTGTAGTAACAAAGCCATCCAGGATGTCTCCCATTGTAAAATGTAAACACAGCCATTAAGTGATCATAGACTCGTGAGGCAAAAAGGTGAATAAGGATGGACAACTTGAGTCACCCAGGAATTTCCTGCACCTTCACACAGCCAGGCTGAGGGAACATCTTAATAAGGCTTAAGTTCCCCAACCGTATCAGAAGCAGAAGACACTTATCTCCTCAGCGGAGGATTTTGGACATTTAAAAGGATATTAAAAGATGGATACTGAGGAAGAGAATTCTTGGCACCCTGTGGGGGATCAAAATCAATCGAAGCAACAAGATTCCCTGGAGATGGAGCCAACCATGACCTTGGCAGATGTCATTAGGAAGTCCACGAAAGGTAACACTGGGGTGATCTTTCCCCCTTTCCTACTGCTAAAATGGCTATTAATATTAAAATATTAATATTTATTGAGAAAGGCATGAGGTCATGTTGAATATTAGAAGCTTGCTTGTCAGCTGTCATCAACAGAGAGAGTGTTCTGGGTGACATTTAGTTCTCTTATTGGTGAACAGACAAGAGAGAGGGAACGTGGCGACTGAGTAGCAAAGATCAGTTTGCGCAAAGGGGCCCCCAAGCTACAAAATTAAGATGGCATCCCTCTATCTAATTTTTATCCCAACTTTCCTTTAAGGAGCTATGGTGGGAAACATGATCCCTATATCTTTAAACACACACACAAACACACACAAAATATTACACAATATTGTTATTTGTATACAATACAATGCATGTTATAAATCATCATGGTATAAAAATAGCACACACAGTGTTTTTATTTCTTTAAATGTTTTAACAGTGTACACTGCCTTGATATCTTATGATATGGTGGTACAGAAATACTTTTATAAATATAATAAATAGGGTTGTATCCAATGCTAATCCTACTCAGAGTAGAATCACTGAAATGAATGGCCATGACCAACGTAGGTCCATTCATTTCATTGGGTCTACTTCTGAGTAGAACTTGCTTGGATACAACCCACAATCTAAGGCTTATTCTTATGGTTTCTTATATTAGTAATATAAAGATGTCAACAAATATTTGCACAATGCACCAGTAAATATGCACAGGTAATTAAAAGGACAAGATACAGTGGTGCCCCGCAAGACGAATGCCTCGCAAGACGGAAAAACCGCTAGACGAAAGGGTTTTCCGTTTTGAAGTTGCTTCGCAGGACGAATTCCCCTATGGGCTTGCTTCGCAAGACGAAAATACCTTGCGAGTCTTGAGATTTTTTTTTCGCTTCCCCCCCCTTTATCTAATCTGCTAAGCCTTTAATAGCCTTTAATAGCCTTTTAGCAGCTAATCCCCTAAGCCTTTAAGCCTTTAATAGCCGCTAAACCGCTAATAGCGCTAATAGCGCTAATCCGTCAATGGGCTTGCTTCGCAAGACGAAAAAACCGCTAGACGAAGACTCTCGCGGAACGGATTAATTTCGTCTTGCGAGGCACCACTGTAATTATAGATCCGTTCTTGAACTACTCAGATACTAATATCACCTTCCTATCTTTTGTCAAATAATGTATTGATTAACTCTATAAATTTGTTTAGACTATTTCCTGTCTTGAAATTCTTAATCTCTCAGTTACAAAACTCCAGCTATTAATCACCTCTTTGGCCTGTGCTTCCGCCTCAAACATAGTTGTCTTGTCATATCTATTACCTATAATAGACTTCTCCCCTCACAACAGCTCCGTGAAGTAGGTTAGGCAGAAAGACACTGACTGGTCAAGATTTATCCAGTAACGTTTATAGCTGAACATGAATCTTCCAAGTCAGAGACTTAACACTCCAATCAATTAGGAGAATATAACTGTAAAAGTGAGTCGTTCCACACAGAAATAAGTCATTTTTACACTTAACTTTATGTAATGATGATGAGTGATATATAATATATACACAATTTCAATAATCCTTCAGTCTTGGAACTTAGGAAAGTATTATCCCCTTATTGCAGATGCAAAGACAATGAGAGAGTAGCTTGCCTAAGGCAACCTAGAGAGTTCATGGCAGATAGGGATGGAAACAGGAACTTCCTCATTCATCCCTGAGACTCTTAGTCTTCAGGTCTTATGTACACTTTCCTGGAAGCAAGCCTGAACGAACACCATAAAACATCTGAATAAATATGCATAGAATTGTACTGTTGGTCACTGTTACACTTAACCATATGATTAAAAAAATACTATCAAATGGCTAGTGTGGTAATACCCCCCTTTCGAAAGCACAAGCCAAATTTTATATAGCAAATGTAAAAAGTCTACTGGGAAAGCTTGATTATTTAAATTTTATTTCTATATGCTTTATCTCACTATGACTAATAGTTATAAAACCCAAAAGGGTAAACTGATATAATGATAATTTTCATAGTATGTTATTTGTTGGGTTTTAATTAAGTTGGGTTTTATTGATTTATCCTCCCCCCCCCCATCTCTCAACCTATTTGTTATCTAATGTCCATTTCCCATATTATATACCACAATGTCCTAAACTGAACTGATTTGGAATACTGTGCCCTGCATTTAATAGAATAATAGAACCATAGATGGAGACAGAGTCAATGACAGGCAGGGTCAACTAATTTCTCTTTAGTCCCCATCCTCCTCCCTGCTGAGTTCTACAATAGCAACATGGAGATCAAGGCTGAGGAAGTTGACCAGCAGTGCTGTCCACCCGGGCTGGTTACCTATAAGAAGGCAGGGGAACTGTGGGCTGTTTGACAGCAGACTGAGTTTGGCAGGGCAGATCCCCATCTGTCCCTCCACAGTGTACAACGCAAGACCTAAGCTTCCGAAAAACACTGCACGCCAGAGGCAAGTCCTTCTGCCAACATTCAAATTTTGCATTCATGGGTGCTAACTTGAATAAAAAAATTTTTTGGGGGGGGGTGTTTCTGCCCTGGGGGGGTTCTGCTCTGCCCCCCCCCACTTCTGCAGAGCACACCTTCCTCCACTGTGCACAACTGGGCACTGGTCTCTCCTCCCCCCGTCCCTACGCAAGAACCTTGTTTAAATTACAGTGGTACCACTACTTGCGTTCACCTCACCACTACTTGCGTTCACACATGCGGCAAACCCAGAAGTGTTTTTCCGGGTTTTGCCGTGCGTGCATGTGCAGAAGCACTATATTGTGCCGCATGCATGCGCAGAAGCGCTATATCGCACCGCACGCATGCGCAAAACAGGCACCTCCAGTTGCAGAAACCTCGGGATTTAAATGTTTTAAGACATGACATTTCAATAGCCTGCACTTACTGAATTAAAGACTTACAATTTAAAGCATTGAAAATTGTTAAGATTAATTTTAGCACATGTGAAGAACAAAAGTATATGTCAGGGTGGGGAACCTTTAGCCCCCCATCATCCCTAACCATCAGTCATTTTGGTGAGGACTGATGTGAGCTGGAAGTTCAGCAACATCTGGAGGGCCAGCTGTTTCTCACACACCAGACCAACAGGAAGTTGAATATGAACCTTAACTCTTCACTTTCTAAGTGGCTCTGAAATGCAGAAACTGCAGTGGCAACTTTGATCAGTGGTAGAGTAAGCTGTCCTGCCAGGCTTAGTTACATCACTTCTACCCGCCTTGGGAAAAGGGGTATTAAAGACTCTTGTTGTACACAGTTTACCTGAGAAGCTCAGCACATGAAGAGGTTTGAGCTGGTTGCTCAAGCCACATGGATCACAAGCCACTCTTGTGTTCCTATATCAATAATTTAGGAACTTTCACGACTTTGTAACTAAGCTAAGTTGTACTGCCTGTGCAACTTTTCTAAACTGATGTATGGAAATGTACATGAACCTGACCTTTGAAGAGTTTGTAAGTAAACCATTTTTTAAAACTTACCAAACATGTAGTCGTCTTCTTATGCTGGGGTAAGAGGGAAACTTTAGAAAGAAACTTTTAAAGGGGACATTTTAGAACTCACTTGGACATATTTTAAAGATCTAACGACCTGTATTTCCGTGCTTTACTTTGCTGCATATTTAGTGGCTTTAAACCTCTGCTGGGGTTTTCTCACTGTAGAGCACTTGCCCCAAACTTGGATCTTGGCATATCCCCCACCCCTCTCTCTTTTGCAGCAGCGCAACTGTCATTAGCCTCAACTAAGGAAGAAAGCTGTAATCCAGCAAGGTCTGGAGGGCAGGTTCAACATCATTGCTCTTATTTCTTTAGAAAAAGTTCCTGTGCTTTAACAGCAGATAGTCATCTGACAGGCGCAGATTATCCCATTGTTGTTGAACATCTGCTTCTCCACAGATGTTAAAAAGTACAGGAAGCCTAGTTAACATTCAATCGCCTTCCCCAGCGACCATGCCTTCAAAGCCCATCAATCACTCACCCTCTGCGGCTTCCTCCATGTTGCTTCAGCAATTCCTCACCACTTCCGACTTCGTCAGGTGATTGACATGCACCTTGACGAATGAACTGACAACGGGGGTTTGCTTTGCCCGTCCTCTAACGAGTGACATCAATCTTGTCCAATGAAGAGGCAGCTGGGGGATCACGTTGCCCGCCTTTGTTCGGTCCTCGACTGAGTGACGTAAACTTTAACCAATAGAAAGTCACCAGGGACTCTTCGGCTGCCTCCTGTCCTATGAGACAGCACTCACCTTACCCATTGACTCTTCCTTCTCAGCCAATCATATCTCGGAGACCGCCTGCTCTCTCTTTTTTTAATTGAGTGAGAAAATCTCCACCTCCTTGTTGAAGAGGGAGGAACAGGGTTTGCCAATGAGAGAGATGGGAAAGGGTCACTGGCGTCACCACGCCGTACTGCGCGTGCGACTTGAGCGCTATGCCGGGCGCTGAGCGAGGGAAGCGTCCAATCAGGAGAGAGGAAGATGGTGCCGTTCCCCCGCCCTCTCCCTTTCGTCGGGGGCGGGAGGAGCAAGAGGAGGAGTGACGCAGGTAGGAAACGGACGTGGAAGGAGGGGAGGGAGCCGAGCCGAGCTGCCAATGGGCGCGGCCGAGGTGGGCGCGCGCAGCGTGGATTGTTTATATCTCGCCTGTGGGAAGGAGGCCGGGGTGCGGCGCCTGCCGATGTGGAGCGGAGGGAGGCGCGCTCGCTCGCTCGCTTCTGAGGGGCCGGGGGAGGAGGAGGAGGGGAAGCGGCTCTGTGGCTGGACGGCTGAGGTAGGCCATGGCGGGTGTTCGCGGCTGAGGAGAACGGGGCGTATGTATATGTATGGGGTAATCCCAGCCTGCGGCCTACAGCTCGGTTGAGAAAGTTCTTCAGAGGCCACTAGCGGACCGTTGGCCAGTTTCTGGCAGGACCCCTCCCAGTGGCTGCTGGGAGTTCTCGCAAAGGACGCTGGGTAAAGTTGGACACTGGTCTCATTGCCCCGCCCCCAACTTACGAGGCATTTATTGGGTGCTTGGCCGAGAGACAGTGAGTCAGCGCAAGAATTATAGAATTGTACAGTTGGAGGCGGAGAGACCCTAAGGGTCATCTAGTCCAACCGAATGACTTTTTCTAAGTGGGGGCACGATTTAGCTGAAGTCGAGAGGTGCCTTTTCTCCTGTAGTTTTTTAAGGTACCTCTGTACCTTCTTTGCTTAAAAGACTGTTGGGAAGGATGTGGGGTGTGTGTGTGTGTGAAAGAGAGAGAGATTTGCCTAAAGGCCCAGTCGTGAGGTTTGGGGTTCTATACTGAAGACACCCCCCTCTCTATCTCTGCACCCTATAATTTTAAACTTTTTAATTGTAACATAATGAATGAGCCAAAGGCCCAGTAGCAGGATATTACATTATGCAAACAAACAAAAAAAATACTAAAATGAAAAAGTAGTAACACACCCATATTTCCTCAGCTGGCGTGGATGGTAAATGTTGAGCATCTAAGTCAGAAGCATAAGAAATAAAATCCCACCAGATGGCATAAAAGTGTTCTGGGTCAGCAGCCCATAAACTGACCACTGGAGAAAATGAGAGACGTGAGATTTCTGTCAGCTTTGAAGGCATGGGAAAGAAACATATAAAGCTTCCTTCTAAAATTGTATGTGTGCCTTTCCTCCCTCCCCCCTTCTTTACATCACAACTCTTAAAAAGTATAATTCTGTATGATTGAGATGGGGAACCTTTGCCCCTGCAGATCATGTTGAACTCCAGACTCCCATCAGCCCCAGCTAGTGTAGTCAAAGAGATAGGGATCATGGGAGCTGCAGTCTAACAATATCTGGAGGGCCACAGATCCCCCAGCCCTGCAATAGGAGGTTGCTTTTTGCTACACACCCATACCGGATGTCGGCCTTCAGAGGTACTCCTTCTCTATCTGGTTGGTCCTTTCTGGCTGGTCTGTTTGTAGTGCGTTTTTCTTGGGTTGCTGTATTTATCTCTTATAAGTAATTCACTTTATTATGTGTACCATGTTCTGCCCATAGCCTTTTAAGAACAATTTTAATGAGATTAAGAATACAAAAAAAATGTACACATGAAAAAAGCTAAACACTGCTCTAAAAAGCAGTGATCTAAAATAAAATGCACATACACATCTTTAAAATCAGTAGTTTGCTTGATTTTGTATTTTCTTAACTTGCTTTTACCGATCTATGTCAGCTACTTTGAGGCACCTTGGAAAGGTGCATAGAGATATTTTTTTAGTGAATTAAAAAAAAATAAAAATACAGGTTGGTTAGGACTTCGGTGAAAGGAACCAGAGTATGTGTACTTTGTAAATTTAAGATGTCAGTGGGCCATGTGTATTTTAGTCCAAAAAGAAAAAAAGAAAAAAGAGAGAGAGAAAGTGAGACTGTACTCTGCCTTCTTAGGGGTTTATGTATGCTTGTGCCAATTGCAGGTGGCAAGGTTATATGTTACGCTGCATTTAGATGGATAATGTGTGCTTGTAATATGTTTAAGTACAGTGGTACCTCGGTCTACAAACTTAATCCGTTCCGGAAGTCCATTCTAAGCTGAGGCGCGCTTCCCTAATGAGGCCTCCTGCTGCAGGTGCCCTTCCACCGTTCGGATTCCGTTCTTAGACCGAGGTAAAGTTCTCAAACTGGGCCACTATTTCCGTTTTTGCGGTGTTTGTAAACCAAATCATTCTTAAACAGGACTGTTCTTAAACCGAGGTACCACTGTAGTAGGTGGAAGGGGGCTTTGGGTGCCATATGGATGTAGGGGAGGAGAAGGAGAAGCTGTAGATAAGCAAGAGTTTTCTTGTGTATACGGGAAAGGAAACTGTTGTGGGAGGGGTGAATGTAGGTACAGTTGCCCCAGTTTTGAGGACTGTGGATGGATGGGGATGGGAAAGTCGTATTATGTGAGCAGCAGTTACCTTTGGGCATGGACAGTTTTTGAGGCTTGCTTCATAGGCACATGTTTATTATTTAAACTATTGTTTACTGTTAAGCTTTACTTTAAATCTGTAAGGCACTGTTGTATAGCCTCTCATGGGGATCTGAAACACAGCAGCCGTGCCTCACAGGACGTGTCTGAATTAAGAGAGACCCCATATTGAATGCAGCAGCAGTTGTGTTTGCAGTGAGTGCATAGGTGTTCTCACTGCACATGCATCAAGTAGGACTCATAAATATACAGTGGTACCTCGGGATGCGAACGGGATCCGTTCCGGAGCCCCGTTTGCATCCTGAATAGAACGTAAGACGCGACGTCGCGTTTTGCCGCTTCCACGCATGCGCGTGATGTCATTTTGAGCGTCTGCGCGAGCAGCGAAACCCTGAAGTAACGCGCAACCCGGAAGTGCTCAACCTGAAGCACATTCAACCCGAGGTATGACTGTACGTGCATCTGGTATCCACAGTTTTGTTGGGACTACCAGAAGTATGAATGTGGGTATTGGGTCAGGCACCTGCACTTTGTTTTGTACTGTACTTAAGAGTTTCCTGTGCCAAATACTAGCACATCTGAAGTGCATACAATTGTTGCATATAATGTGGTTCTGTTCTTGGAGAGCCTGGTTTCACAATGGATTCATGGCAAATGGTGGGACTTGAACTAGGATAAAATCCCAACTCTATATGGACAACATAGTTCATTGTATCCTGTGGGGCTGGATTACCTGTGTGCTTTGGCTCACCTCTGTGATACTAGCATTCTGTATTGAGGCAGTGCAGTACAGTTCATATAAAGTTGGACTGGGATCAGAGAGACCTGCTTCAAATCCCTGCTTAGTTAAGGTCAGTGGCCTTCCAGGGTGCCTTTCATATGCCCCTCCTTTATGTGCTGAATTTAATTACTGACCGGGCACATAATTTAAATGTGATTTTCTACCTGTGTGTGTTAGAAAGTAAGTGATGCAAAGTCACTTCTGCTTTATGGGATGTTATTGCCATCTTTGAGTAGTGATGGTTCTCATTACATACTAAGTGACCTTTTCTTTCCACTTGATAGTTTAAGGCTGTGGTCATTTAATACTATTTATTAAAGAAGTAAAAGTTAGGATACTTTTATGCAAAAGTATTTATATCTAAGAATAAAACTGATAATTATGAATCCATTATGAATGAACTTTGTTCTGTGGTCACATTACATAGTGCTTACTGAGTCTTGTGGGTGCCTTAGGAGCCTAGCCTTTCCTTTAGCTTTCTGGGACTGTAAGCTGGTGATAACCACTCCTCTGTTACATATGAGAGTCACTGGTTACAGCCATCTAGACTTCCCCTTTCAACCCTGGCATTTTCTAGCTAGTGTGGAGTGTAACTCTGTATGCCTAAGCCAGTAGTTTTCAGTCAGTGTGCCATGGCACCCTGGGGTGCCGCAGGCAACACTGACCTCTGTCCCTCTTTCCTTCCCTCCTTTCATGCCCTCTTGCCTCTCTGCCTCCCAAAGGCTTGTGTGGCTGTTTGTTGCAGCAGCCCTGGCTACAAGCTCCTCAGGCAAATGGTGCCTCTGGAGCTGGCCAGGGGGTGCTGGTTGCCAGAAGCTGAGGCAGCCTCAAAAAGGGGCGAGGGGCTGCTGGCTCTGCAGGCAAGGGGTGACATAACTGGGCTTCTGAGACTTGGAGCTCCCATAGGGGAGCCACAGAAATAATGTAGTTGGTCAAGGGAGCCCTGGATGCAAAAAGGTTGAAAACCTCTGGCCTAAGCATATATTATATGAATGCATGTTTGCTGTTGAAGCAGTGTACTGCTTTCTAGCCCTAGTGGTTTTTGCACTGGAACACACTCCTTATGGCATCATTATAGGTTCACCCTACAGTGGAAGGAAGCAATCCTTTCTTTTTTAACAGTTAAAGTATGTTGTCTGCCATAGGGACTTTGCTTCAGTGCTCTTGATGTTTCCCAGCTGTGTCTTGGTGTGTTTTCAGTTTGTTTTCTGTTCATGCTCCTCTTTATCCCATACTTAGCTTGTTATAGCTGCTCCTTTGACTGTAAAGTTCACTTGGAGTAATCTTTTTCCTCACAAGGCAGCTCAGTTGTTGACCTGCTGAGCTGCCTGGAGTGGCTCATTTGATCACTGAGCCGAGTGGCCTTAATCGCATTATGCCTATCCTGGTATTCTTTACATGATGCCTGGGTTGGGCAGTTCTGAAATAGAGGCCGTTAGATCATGAATGCTTATCTTCTGGGACACCTTTCAGGACCTCTTCCTGCAAAGTCATTGCAAAACATTTGGATTGTAAGAGCCCTGCTGAATATGACAACCTCTTTTCTTGCATACCCCCTTGGGAGCTAAGAATGGTGCTATTTTCCCCCTGCAATGGCAATAATAATAATCTTAATAATTTGCTTTATATAGCTGCCCCATAGCATAAGTATTCTAGGAAGCCAGTGTGGTGTAGTGGTTGGACTAGAACCTGCGATGTCAGGGTTCAAATCCCCACTCAATCATAAAGCTCACAGGGTGACCTTGGGTCAGTCACAGCCTTTTAATCTACCTCACAGGGTTGTTGTAGAGATTAACTGAGGGGGGTGAGCCATGTGCTTCTTGGAGAAAATGGTGGGATATAAATGCAATAAATAAGCTCTTCTGCTTTTCTTCTTAAGAAAGCTGGAGGGGCCAGCCAGATGGAGATGTCATTTACCAATCTGGCATCCAGAGATCTCCATGTGGTCACAACTGGACCTGTGCCAGTAGCAAAACATGCCTGGCACCTCGCTAATTTCTAACACTGCTTATCCACTGTGCTTGTCTTGGGTATTGTGCTTCAATAAAGCACTTAATTTTTCTGTTACAATATATTGGCAGTGGTCCTTATTTCTGGTTTAGGCTTGGGGTGCAGTTTTGAACCCTGATTTTCATAAACTCCTGTAGCCTGGGGGTAAATAGTAGGACAGGAAGGCTTTGGTCACATTTAAGCAAGTACTGTAAGTATTGCCTGTTGGCAGATGTTTCAAAACATTAAGTTTGTGGTCTGTAACCTCTCTGTATAGAATGACTGGAATCAGCTGCAGTGTAGCAAAAATGTATTTGGTTAAAACTCTCGATGTTTACATAAAGGAGGATAAGGGAGGTTCTTGCTGGTCTCTACTGTTGGATATCTCTTGTTTTCAGTGAATATTTTCCCTTGAACTGTACTGTATCCTCTTCTTGACTGCAGTGTCCACCCCATCTCCAAAGTCGTATATTGATTTATCCAGAGAGCTTAGGGAAACACATGGTCATTTGCCCCCCTCGGTAGATCAGACTTGAAAGCATGACTTGCTCAAGGTCATCTGAGGAGATTCAAAGTGAAGTGAGGATTTGGACTTGGTTTTCAGTGATCTTAGTCTAATCGCTACATTGTACAATGCTTCCATTATGAAACCTTGCAATTTAAAAAAGTAAACTTTAAAAACATAAAACAAATGGACTCAAGAAAAAGGCCAGGTTAGGGTGGGTGGGAACTGAGAAGAGAAGTGGAAAACTATATGAAATGACATTTTCAAAGACTGAACTCCGGGGGTGGGGTGCGGGAGAGAGTACATACATGACTGCTGTGATGGATAAGTGAATCTGTCTAAGACAAAGTACCTGATATGATATTATTCTCTTTCTGCCTTCTTCCTCTCTCCAGGCTCTCATGCCTCCTTCCATGTTCAGGCTCTTTTATAATACGTAGCTATTTGCTTCAGATGGTCTGTCTTGTGCATTTGTACAGAATTATTTTTTAAGGCATCACTAGCAGTTATCACAGTACAACAGATTACCTTTGTTTATGTTGACTTTCCCCAGCATTTTTGTTGTTGTTGCTACATGCCCCTCCTCCCTGCAAAGAACTCAGGGTTGTGCATATGTCTCCTTGCAGCAGCCCTGCGAGAGGTTTAAGTCGGCAAGACAATGACTGCCCTAGAATCAGTAAGCTTTATGGATGAGTGGGGATTTGACCACAGATCTTCCCTGTATACTGCATATAGCTGCTTACTATCCTTTCTCTTCATTTACTTTGCCTCTCTTCATTAGATTATAAGCCTGCAGGCAGGGCCTGGACATCACTTAGTACGTGTTAAAGGCTATAAATAATAAACAATTTCTGTCTGAAGGAAGGATTATTGTTCTTGTTATTGTGTGGTTAATAGTAAAGTAGGAAGAGTTGGCTTGAATAACATCTCTCCTTGCTTTCCAGATTACCTCTCCAAACACGCCATGGCACGCCGTATGCGCAACAGCAGAGCTTGGCACTATGTCCTGAGTGGGGTACGCCGTGATGCAGACTCAAGGACAGTAGCATTGCCCTCTGGTTCCCTTAGCTGGTCGTCTGATTCTGATGGGCAGGTATGATAGTGCAGAAGAGCCTTCTTAAGACCCAGTGCCATCTGGATAGTTGACTGTTTGTCTGAGTGGGAAAACTGACTGTTGGCATGTGTTTTGGATTTTTGACCTGGACTGTAATAGCTTTGCCCAATGAACTAAACTTTCATGAGCAATGAATCCATGAACCTAGCAGGGAGCTTAAATTGATCTACATTCATGTTTTTTCTTATCTGGGTGAGAGAAGTAAGTTGGCACTATTCCTGCCCCCACTACCACCGGAATTAAATTACACCAGCATGTGTGGTAAACCACATGGAAGTTTATTTTGTGCTAGATGGAGTCTATTTACTTCATCAGTTGATGTTTTCAGAGTGTGGGCACCCAGAGCTTGGTTGCAGAGTGTATGCTCTTTTTGTTCACAATACTCAGATTCAGCTGAGATCTCCATTTGAGAGGTACTTGAATAGCAAAGCAGGGAAGGAACATGGCCTGAGCCCCCAGCTAGTTTATTTAATAAATTTATTCATTGTGTTTATATACAGGTGATGACCACTTTGAGTGCATTCAATTGATGCGCGACCTCTGACATGTGGGTTGTTTTGGACTAGGAAGAGGGTAGAATGGGTGTGAAGGGGTGGGAGGGGCTTCTGTGCGCTCTGCCGATGTGCAGGGGGGCCAGGAATGCAAACCCCGTGCAAATTGTGGTTTGCCTGTACCACCTTTCTACTAAGGCTTCCAAGGCGGTGTACAATTTTAAAGTGCTAAGATGAAGGGAAAAACATGTAAAATTGGGAGTGGGGGCAGTCTGACTGGAGTAGGCTCTGGTGTCGTCTGTACCTGCCTCCCTCACACTCCTCTTCCTCCTCAGAGGAGCAGGCTGATGTCTGAAAATCAAGATTCGAAATTGCACTGCTGTAGGGTAAGGCTGAACCACTAAGAGGGACTACTGACTGTTTTGTAACCAAAACAAACTGGGAAGTTAGTTAAAAGCACAAGACTCAGTGCAAAGAGTGTAGGTTAAGGAAGTAACAGTGCAATCCTATACATGTCTATTCAGAAGTCCCATTAAGTTTAGTGCAACTTAGTCCCATATAAGTGGGTATGGGGATTGCAGCCTAAAGCAATAAAAGACCATCCCTACTTCATTTTATGCTGTGGCATCCTCCTACACTCTCCAGCCAGTCTTCTTAGGCGCCAAACTTTCCTCACTAAAGCAGTGTATGGCTTCCAATAGTCACTAGTATCAGTGGGTCTCTTATCTTTTGTCAATTCCCCAGAGGAAGAACGTATAAGAGCTAAAGGAAGGTGGAGTGAGAGAGACAACAGAAAAGCCTGCAGTTCTTCCTACTCTGTGGGTTTTTATATAGATAAGCAGGTGTCATATCAACCTCTCTTGCCACATTATTGTGGCTGCTGCTTCTGCTTTGCTGCCAAATGGTGGCTCTCTCAGCCTCTTATCAGTTGAGAGGGTGCAGCTTCAATAGAGGCTACACAGAGCCAAGCTCTTCTACTTCAGTCACCCTTTAGAAATTCTTTTCAGTAATCTTTAAAGTCTGGCAAGGATTCATTTATACCAGTGAAAGTGGACAGCATTGACTTCAGAGAGTATATGTAAAAATAAAAAGAACTTAGCTTAAAAATAACATTTCTTTTGAGAGGAGAAATCCATGGGAATGGAAAATGACATGGGTTGGTTCTGAGCATTTTTTTTGGAAAGAGCATTCTAATAGTTTGTTTTTCTTTCTTCTGGGCAGCACAGCGACTCTGATTCAGAGCCAGAATTTCCTTCTCTTTTGCCTTCCATACCCACAGCAATCCCTGTAACTGGAGAGTCGTACTGTAACTGTGAAAACCAGAATGAAGCTCCATTCTGCTCTAATGTGCACACCATTCACCGGATCAAAGACTGTCAGTGTGGAGAGGAGGATGAATGTAAGGAAGCATTTTAAAAATCTCATACGAGTTAGGGATGTGTTGGAATGTGACATAGATGTGCAGGGGGAAAATAGTGAATGGATCTACGATTCCCATTGGCCATGCTGGTTGGGCCTGATGGGAGTTTGACTCCAGCAACATCTGGAAGGTCATAAGTTCCTCAACCCTGCTCCATTTCTGATCTTTCTCCACAGGGCCTTTGGAGAACTTAAAATATCAGTTAAGAAGAGAAGGCAGAAATCTTTTCACATGCCCAGAACCCCTCTCTCTGACATGCTAGTTTTCTGTGTGGAGAGATTTCTTGAAATCGATTACTTTGTTCCATATTATACCGCTTTCAAAGGCAACAAATCATGGAGGAAGATCTTAAATAACTTAAATACAGGGGCATTAGGTCCTGAGAGTGTTTACATGCAGCCCAAATTGGTATAGTCCAGACACAGGTTTACTACTTCATTTCTCTTCATTTGTAATAGCTCTTCATTTGTGTTGAAGTGCAGTTTGAGTTGGGTGGCTGAGATCCAATATCATTTGTGTTTTTGAAAGATACCATCTCCCCTGCTGTCATTTAGATTTTGACTGGGTATGGGATGACCTGAACAAATCCACTGCAACATTGCTGACCTGTGATGACCGTAAGGTGAACTTCCACATGGACTACAGCTGTGGCACTGCTGCAGTCCGGGGAAACAAGGAGCTAGCAGAAGGGCAACACTTCTGGGAAATCAAGATGACCTCACCCGTCTATGGCACAGACATGGTACATTGAATGGTGATGTTTAGGTGCTGCAGGGGGCAGCTAAACAAAACAGGATGATTCATTGATAGCAGTACACTAAGCGTATTCTTTTAAAATATTTTTCTCCTGCTTTTGCAGCTGAAAGCAGCAAGCAGCCAACATTAAGTGTAGCTTGAATTAATAAATGGCACATCAGTAAAACTCATCAGAAAACAGGCCAGAAGCATGTAAAGCATCAGTCAGGCTCTGGGGCTGGTGGATTAAAACGATTTTCAAATGGCATCAAAACACGGCCAATGTAGGATCCAAGCAGCTGTCCTAGGAGTTCTATAACTTGGGCACAAGCTTTCACTTGTTATTGCTGTGCTTTGCAATTGAGTAGAGATGCCATTTATGAAAACTGGCATCTTGTATGGTGAAGTCCAGTGGGGACACCATGATCTGCATAATCTTAGTACCCTTAGGCCACCGCATGCGTGTACAGCTGTGTCTTTAACCCTCAAATAGCTCTCAGATATGGTGCTTTCATATCATTGCTTGCTTGACTATGAGGCTGGAGGGTTCCTTGCACTCCCAGAATGCTTGCTTAGGGGCTGCTGGAAAGGAGTCATAGCTCAGTATTTACGTGCTAGAGGCCCAAAATTGAATCTCTGCTACCATCTTCAGCTGAAATGATAAAGTAGCGGGTGAGGGGGAACCCTTGACCTCAGATCCTAGAAAGCTGCTGTCAGTCAAAGTACATAGTATGTGAGTATATCAGGTATGGGGAACCGTTGACTCTCTAGATGTTGCTGAACTATAACCCCCATAATCTTCGGCCATTGGCCATGCTTGCTGGGGTTGATGGGAGCTGGAGTTCAACAATATCTAGAAGGCCAAAGGTTCCCTAATTTTGGGCTAGACGAACAAGTAGTCTGACCTGATAGAACACATAATTATTTTACATGAACCAGTCCTAAGATGACTTGCTTATTCATATCCATTGGAATAAACCGTTCCATCTTAAGACCAAAGATTTCCTTAGTAATGTCTTGGCCTTTGCTGCAGGCATATGTGCAACATTAGAGACTGAAATGTTTCGGGGTGGTACCGTATTTTCCATTAGAGTTGTAGGTTTGTCAAATTGCCTAAATTCAATTATCTGTCATAGGTCTACACAACCAAAAAAGTGCTATGCAATAAATTGGATGATACTGTGCTGTGACACACATTATGTGAAATAAAATCATGCAGGTCAACACAGCATGTCAGATTGATGTACTGCTGGGGTTGGTCTGCAAGAGTTGAGTATAGCAGAGCTCAAACCATGGGCCAGAAACCAGAATGCAGGAGAGGGTAATTATGTAATATGTATTTGTGAACTGTCCAGATGCATTAACAAGGTTGAATTTTATTAAATGATATTAAAAATGCATAGCGCTAGACAACTGAACAGTAAATAGTTCAGTTCTATCAACGTGTTCTTTATCTAAACTAGAGGGAATGCATGTTGGTTTAGAAAGTAGGGAGTATGAATGATTTCCCCCACCCAAAGTGATTGTTGGAACCTGAAATGTTCTCTGTAGTAGTGGAGCAGAATCAGTGGCTCTGAAGGCTAAATAAAAAGCTTACATGAGAAAATGCTCAGGTGATTGCTTAGGTGGCTCCATGATTTATGTAGTGTGTGTACTTATGTCTGTGTCCCTGCCCTCTTCTCCTCATTTCAAATTTTCTGTCCACATCTAGATGGTGGGAATTGGGACATCAGATGTGAATCTGGACAAGTACCGCCACACGTTTTGTAGCTTGCTGGGCAAAGATGAAGATAGCTGGGGCCTCTCATATACAGGTAATGGCACTATAGAAAATAATTCATGGGATGAAGGAGAAATGTGAAGGTTTGCCAGTAACTGGAGGTGGCTTGGTGGCTCACAGAGCGATTGAGCCATCAGAGATCATTGCTTAAAGTTGTGCTCCTTCAGATGTGATTGGACTCCAAACTCCCATCATCGCCAGCCCCACACAGCATGGTCAATGTTCACGGGTGATGTGAGTTCTAGTCTTAACATCATCTGCAGTGCTACAGGTTAGCCCTGACTGAAATGTTGAGAACATGAATGTATAAATTCTCCCTTACAAAGGAAGTGAGAGACCATGATTGACTAAAGGAGTTGGACAAGTCATGCTGAGCAAAGGGGTTATATAGTTCATATATTTGTAACTGTAAACAAAAAGTGAAATGACTGGCTTCTGAAGGGGGAAGGTATTTCTGTATTTGAAGCCTGATGCCAGCAGACGGGTATGCAGCTGGCATGCTAGCATATGGGGATGGACTAGTGCATGTGGCAGGTGCATTTTAGTGGGCTGCATGTGCATGGGGAGCCTGCACAGGTAAGGGCTTTTTCTTGTGGCTCACACCCTGTATAAATTGTGCTTGGAGTACAGGCTAGAGAGCCAAAAAACAGGCTAGCTTTCGGAAGTTCAAAGTTTATATTAACATCTTATTCTGTGCATCCCTATTTTATAGGTTATCAGAGAACTTGCACATGCACGCGTAATTAAAATGGCATCTTCAAACTTGCAAGTGTTGGTTTACTACTTACGTGTTCTGGACTGCTGCATGTGTGAAATTACTTGCTTCTATAAACAAAATGGCTTGGGCCAAAATTTGGCTAGTGAAAAAGCCAAGTATTCAGCTGGTGGTTAAAAAGTTAGTATCAATATTTTAAAAGTACATCAGAGCAGGTCCCTGTACTGAGAAGATTGCAATCTCAAACATGGCACTGAGGTGTCAACAAAGGCAGGAAACAGGGGCGAGGGTGAACTTGGGTGTGTACTTTCCTTTGGTTACAGTAGCGGACGATGCCCAGGGCTTCATGGAATTAGTGGTGACATCACACAGGCGTTCAGGGAGGCAGTTCTAGGCATGAGGGCCATCAAGGGAGAGAGGGAAGATTTGATTTGTTTGAAGGAGCACGGTCCATTTTGTTCTTGCACCCAGCTGTTTTGGCAACAAGTTTTTGTGAGGACTTGAATTAATGGATCAAGACAGATTCACTGAATTTCTGACAAGTAGTCGGAGGCTTGCCCATGTATAACTGATAAAGAACTAGGAAATAACTGTCTTAAGAAAAAGTAGGAATACACAGGATGAGTCTACAGTGTATATTGTGTAATTGTGGCTGCCAATTGCCCTCTAGGACTCCTCCACCACAAGGGAGACAGAACCAACTTCTCGACGAGGTTTGGCCAAGGCTCCATTATTGGAGTGCACCTGGACACCTGGCATGGGACTCTGACCTTTTTCAAAAACAGGAAATGCATAGGTAAGAGCAAGAGATCCAGAACAGGTTTAAGCTGACCAAACTTTGGCACAACTGAAAGGTGTAGTCCAGTTTTGAGATGAGGGGGAATGTTGGAAGAAGATGCAACTAAGCAGGAGGGAGCTATTGCTAGATATGGGGTAGGATCACTGAAGTGTGAGATCTAAAGTTTAAACTTTAAGGGACTGACTCTCAAAATATCAGCATGCTGTGTGTCCCTACTACACTCAAATTACAATTTTCTCATGTGTAAAGATGTCAGAGGGCCTAGTTGTTAGTGCTGCCTGAGCATCCCAAGCTTTTGACTATTGAAAGGCTGTTTGGAACTAGTAAAATGTAGCATAAACCAGAAGTATATGCATGTAAGCCAGCTTTGGCCTTCACATCAGCGTAACTACGACAAGTGTATGGCATCATGTAGCAGCATGACTGGTGCCTGGACAGTTTTCTTGATCGTGCACAGAGACAAAGAGCATAGAATCACACGTTGCTGCTGTTTTCATTGACGCTTAAGTCCCAAATTGAAGTTTTCTCTGTAAGACTATCAAGGGATGGAGTGCCCTGCTCCCCAAATCCTTACAGTGCTCTAGCCAATGGCTGAGAGATTATAGCTTGTTGTGTGCCTTTTCCCCCCATCTCTGTGACCATGTGTTGATCTCAGGCCTCCTTTTTGGTATTTCCATTCAGGAGTAGCTGCCACCAAACTTCAGAACAAGAGATTCTACCCCATGGTATGCTCAACGGCCGCTAAGAGCAGCATGAAAGTAATCCGCTCTTGTGGCAGCCACACCTCCTTGCAGTACCTTTGCTGTTTCCGTCTCCGCCAGCTGCTTCCTGACTACGTGGATACACTCGATGTGCTGCCCCTTCCCCCTGGACTGAAGCAAATTCTGCACAACAAACTGGGCTGGGTGCTGAGCATGAACTGTGGCTCGATTCAGCCACCCTCCCCCACCTCAGGAAATGATTCAGATAGCTCTTGCAGTTCAGATGCTGAGGAATGCCAGCGAAAGAGATGCAGGAGGACATAAAACTTCCTTTGAAGGCCATGTCTTGAAGGATGAGGGTTTTTCCTCAGTGTCTTTATAAGGGTGGTTGAAGCTGGCTCCTCAATGAGGGCAAAGATTTCCCCACTTTCTAGTGAAATCTTGGAACTCAACAAGTGTTTCCTGCTTTGGAAGAGACCTACCTTCAGGAGGCAAGCCATTCCTGTAGTTTGATTACCCCCGTTTGCCTCCTGCTCATCAACTACAGTTGCCAAGTTTTCTGGAAGAGTCTCTGAACCTTGAGACATTCAGTAGCCAAACAGGACAAGGAACACTTTCCTCCCAACAACCAAATGAATGAGACTCAATTTATGATGAAAACAGAGAAGCCAATGTACTGTGTTGGTTGGCCACTTTCAAGTAATGCCTCTGGGACAAAGAAACAGCAATCTTTATCAATATAAAAAGGGCTCTTAATCTCTTGTGTGTTTTTCAGTGCTTTGGCAAAGACAGCTCTGGCGCAAAATTAACTTGCTCGACTGTCTCTGTAAGTGAACTCATGTGAGCCTTGCAGCTTTAATTGCTTTGCATGTCTACCCGCTGCCTCTCCTGTATTGAACTATATGAAAACATAATTAAAATACAAGCTGCATTGACTTACAAGGGTTGAACACGGGCGTAAGTGACTAATGGTTTTGTTTCTGGTACTGCTGTGGGACTTTGCTTCTCAAGGTTCCTTCGTGACATGGCTCAGCCAATACCAAACCATTGTTTGGCATTAAGTGCATGACCTGCACACTCAGATCTCCATCTATTTCACAAATCATAGTTTGCCGTTGCCTTTGAACTGGGCACATCATGTTTTTATTTTGGGATGCTTGTGTCCCACCCTTTAAATAAATACACAGGGTGGCTTATGCTTGAACCAAATCAAACATGAGATTAAAAAGCATGTTGAAAACACTGAAAGGGGGATAAGAACCTCACAGAGATAAAAGATGGTTTAGCTGAGGGGTGATTTGGTAATGCCAGACTTGCATAAGCTACTTTGTTTTCTAGAACTGGAATCTATTTTGTCAACTAAAATCTTGTTGCCTGCCTTCTATACCATATGCAAAATAATGACTAGAGTGGGGTGTGTGAACATAGTTAGAATTAAAGAAAAGTGTGCCTTTGAGCACCACATGAACTGAGTTTACATTCCTGTCACATAAAGATCTCCTATTGGGCTTCTTCCAAGCTTTATTTGTTGCTGCATCCTAATTTACTAATTAAATGCTCTTTTGCTGCTATTGTTGGGAGTTGAAAATTTGCTGCCTTACTGCATATCAGTCACAAAGCTATCTCTTGCCCTTCACCAAGTGGTCTCAGGGCAGGTTACATAAATTACTGCAATTTCAAATAAAGGATTAATTAAAACTGCAAAACTAAACAGTCACACAAGCAGCAAAATAATCGGAGGGTAAACATCCACTCACCCAAGTGTTGTGAGTAGAGGAATGTCTTGACAACATATACAATGATGGTGTCATGAATCCTTGAGCATATTGCACAACCTGGGGGCCATAACACAACACACTTGCATACTCCACTGTCCCTCTAACATCACAAGGTGGTGGGACTTCTGACACTGCCATTCCTATGTATCTTTAACATTTGGGCCAGTTGAGATATCAACTGCTTTAGATTTAAAAAGGTAGGGGAACTAAAAGGGCTTTACCAGGTGCTAAAATGAGACTCTTTGGTCCTAATTTGTGGCATGCTCTTACAATCACTATGGTGGCCTTTTTAATGGTAACTTGGTATAACTCTGATAGAAAGGAAACTCCATAAGGGCCTCTTGCAGGCCTACGTAGAGACAGGTGATCCTTTGGGTAACTTGGTCCAAGTGGGGCTAACACTACAGATTTGTATGAAGATATGAAAAGGCTACTGCAAGGCAATCCTCACTGAATGAAAATTTCAAGGGCAGGTGGAATAATTCAAGAGGCTTGATGGTATTTGTGCACATTTACCATGTGCTTTCTAGAGGTCCATTCTGCAATAACCAGCAATACAGAAACAGAGGTTCAGTGATTAGAAAACATGAGATTCTGGCCTTTGACTATCTCACCTAAGCACTTAGGTCTAAAACAAGCTCTGGATTGGTAGATATCATGAAGAGGTAGACCCGACGGGACAAGTCTGGGCCAATCCGCCGCTCCCTCTCATTTTCTTCACTTCTGACCAAAATGTCACTTAGGAGGAGCTGTTTTTCCTTGTCTGTGCCACACTCTCTGTAGGCCTTAAAAAAAGGGAAAAATAAATTGGCTACAGAAAACCCTGATGATTTCCTCCAGTGTAGAATGTAGAGCCATTCTGAACCTATATTAATGCCCTATTGGATTAAATAGGTATTCAGTAATTGGAAAGCGATTGATTCAACATGCACAGAGAAGGTTATGTTGTTAGATCCTTATCAGGAAGAGCTGGGATAGTAATTTTATTATTTATACCCTGCCCATCTGGCTGGGTTTCCCCAGTCACTCTGGGCAGCTTACAGCATTTATAAAACATCAAACATTAAAAACTTCCTGATACTGGTCTGCCTTCAGATGTCGTCTTAAAGTTACATATCTCCTTGACATGTGAAGGGAGGGCGTTCCACAGGGAGGGTGCCACTACCGAGAAGGCCTGTTTGATTTCCTGTAACTTTGTTTTTTGCAGTGAGGGAACCACTAGAAGACCCTTGGAGGACCTCAGTATCCGGGCTGAACAATGGGGGGTGGAGAGACTCCTTCAGGTATACTGGGCTGAGGCCGTTTAGGCTCAGTCGGTAGAGCATGAGACTCTTAATCTCAGGGTTGTGGGTTCAAGCACCACGTGGCTTGAGTCTTGAATTTTTGGTGCTTGAGTATCCGCTGAAGCTTTGCAACGTAGGAAAATGGGAGTAAACCAGAAGATGACTCTGTCTCCAGGGGACCCTAAGGGAGTCCCCCCATAATAAATATCTCAGTGACGACTCGGCACACCCAAAGGGCACCAAATGCCAACTGACGATTGGGAATAAAAAAGCCCAGCCACATTTTGCTGTGGGTCCTGTTGAGGCCCATTCAATTTACTTCTCTCCTCTGGAGCAGCAGGGGAGAAAGCCTTGGCCCTCTTCTCTGCAACAGTCCTTGAGATATTTTGAGGAGGGCTTGATCTGCCTACCTGTTTTGTGGCAGTTTTGCCTTCCTCCTCTCTGGAGGCCTGCTGATTAGCCAACGACAAAGCAATCAAAGATGTGAACTGACCTCTAGCAGCAGCTGTGGTGAAGGGTATGCTTTGGTGATGGCTGCTGCCATGGCAGGGCTGGTTCGGTTAAGCTGCTGGATTTGCCTGAGCCAGGCCTGTTGGAGTCCCATCCCATCTTTCTGCACACGCACTCCACTGGCCCACCCACCATCAGCGCAGAAGGAGAAAGGCTGGTTTCCCTGCTGTTTCCTGTGGGAAGAGGCACAGGGACAGGCTGCTTGAGACGAGATGTCTTTAAAAACCCTCAGAATGTTCTAAGTGTTGCTCACTTATAAACCTCTAACTAATTAGATAAACATGCAAGCATCTTCATATGCATAAACAGTATTTCTGGAGAAAATCAAGTATCTCCAGAGGGGTGTCCCTCTGCGCGATGTCTCTTCTAAAACGCAGTCCTATTGTTTTTTAATTAAAAATCAACTCCCCCAATTTATCAGGAAACAGTAGCAAAGAAAATGTTCCTTTTTTTCACCTGGTTGCCTCAGAAGAAGAGTCAAGATGGCAAGGTATGGATTTTCTTCTTGCAAATGGTATCATATTATTAACATGCACCAGGTACATATGTGTGTGTCTCTATCAGTTTTTCTTCAATAAAGAATTGAGAGGCTTCCTTTTTATTCACGCTACTTGTGCACACATTAGAGGCATTCCGGCTTTATAAAACACCCTTCAGACACTTGCAGCTAAGGGGATGGGGGCGGGGGAAGAGCTTTGAAGAGAAACGAGGCTGCAAAGATGATCTGTGGCAAAAGGCACTCACTTATATGGGCTCTGCGCAATAGCTTTGGTCATTGCAGAAATGTGCTGGGCAAACTCCTGCCATGTCTCCAGGAATAAGACACCGGTGTTACTCCAGAGTTGTAGCACCACCAGAGCCTGCAGGAGCAACAGGCAGAATAAATAAATAGGGATCATCTATGAACACAGACCTACATCCAACACAGTTACACTTAAGGCCACTGAAGTCCATGGACTTAAAGCATGTCCTAACTCTTGTGTCGGACTTGGGGCATAGCAAGGTTATCAGGCAAGCCTGATGTCAGTACTCAGCACTTTCAGGCAGCAAGCAAGGCCCCAGCACTCTTAAGAGGACTTACAGAATGCTGATACCCACCTGTCTTTGGTTCTCCCTGCCTTCCAATAGGGTTCAGCTCTAGTGGCCAAATTTCAGCGAGCAAGGACCATTTTGTTTTGCCCGCATTGCATCAGTCCAGGGCATTGGGGTATGGGGGATAGCAGCCAATAGCGGGAGGCACTATGTTTCAATAGCGGCTGCCATTTTGTTTTTCCCACAGTGCTCTGGACTAATGCAACATCTGGAGGATTGTGGGGAAACAAAATAGTGGGCCAATGAGGCTGCTTTCCAGAGGAGCTCTGCCACTCCTTAGAAAAAAGGAAGGAAGGAAGGAAGGAAGGAGGGAAGGAAGGAAGGAAGGTAGGTCTGTCTCACCCCTCTGCTACACTACATGGTTAAGTTTCCATATGTGAACCTTAAGAGGGGGCCTTTGGTTGCTGGCAAACCAGGACATAAAGGCAATGGCATTCCTCCATTTGCTCTCCGCATATGGTAGCCACAAGAGTACTGTCTCTATGCATCATTTAGCTATCAAGGCTGCTGAACTATTGACAGAACTCTCCTTCAAGAATAAATCAATCCTTTTTTATTTCTAGAATAACTTGTGTAAGAAAACCTTGCTCACCCACGTGGTTCAGGATCCTGTTCTCACAATGGCCAGCTAGATGCCTATATGGGAAGCCTGTAAGCAGGACCTGAGTAAAGAACACTCCCCACTAGTGACTGTCAGCAACTGCAATTCAGAGGTGCATTCCCTCTGACAGTGGAAGCAAAACTGGCCATTGATAGCCTTGTCCCTCTTCTCCAAAAGCTCCTCCCCTTACAACTGACTCACTCCTGGTAATTGTATTCACCTCCTGTATTTGATGCTCTGTCATCAACAGTTCTGGGCCAGGCTGGAATCCTGGCGCCTCCTCCTGCCCAGGATTCAGTGCTTCCTGCTGGTGTCCACGATGCTGGTTATACCTAAGCAGTTCAGATCAGAACAACCAATTACTAGTTTTCAAGCTCTTGTGAGTGATGCGATTTATGTATCACAATGCTGGATTCTGGGGTCCAGAAGGGCTCTTCTGATGTTCTTATGAGTCATCTCTATTTTCCATGTAAAGTGCACTCAATAAAGCAGATCAAAATTACTTTATAATGTCTAAGCTCTCTTTATCTTTCTTTCTGTACGTTGCCTTTACCACCAGGAGAGAATTCAGTATTCTCATGAAGCAACATAGAGGTGGTGGGGATTAAACACGAGGCCTTCTGCATCCAAGTGTGTGCTCTACCACTGAGCTACTTGCCATGTGGAAGACAGGTCACTTCTCACCCCTAACTTAGCTGCCCTCCCAATACATGTACCATTGGTAGGCATCTAGTCCAATGACTGCCACGCTGCAGGAGATTGCACAGTAATCTTTCGGGCTGCTAAAGGGCAACATTCGGGTGAGATCAGGCACATTCTGCTGCTTGCCAGGGCTCATGCTCTGAAATAAAAGAAGACAGTGTCACAGACATGCATACACAAGAAGCCTTTCCATAAGAACTTAAAAACAATTTTTTGTCCAGCTAGGGAGGAGCTCAGCTAGTCCAGCCCCCCAGCATGTGTAGAGTAATTTGTGTTAATTTTCTTAATTTAGATGTGGGTGTGTGGAGACAGTATATGCAGAGTTTGAGTTGCACAGCATTACAGTCCCTGTCACTTCCTGGGCATCTCACTGGGGGATGCCAATGGTGTGAGCATGTTGTGACATAGCATGCATGTCAGTAAAGCTATGGCAAAACCCAGGCTGGGTGACTGCAATTGGCTCTACATGGAGTTGCTTTTGAAAATGGTGTGGAAGCTCCAGCTAGTGCAAAAAGGGTTTGAGTGATGAACTCATGTATTACCACTATAATACATTTATGTTCTCATACCCTGCCACAATCCCACACTTAGAGAAACAAAGGAAACTGCCTTATACAGAGTCAGGCCCTTTGCCCGTTTCAATACCATCTACATCAACTGGCAGCAGCTATCCAGAGTTTCAGGCAGGGGCTTCTCCCAGCTCAACTGAGACAGCAATGATTGAACCTGGAATCTTTTGCATGCATGCAAAGCAGGTGCTGTACAGATGAGCAGATGAACTATGGCCCTTCCTGGAAGTTGTCAAGCCATTGCTCCATCTAGCCTGGCAACAATTCTCCATGGTTTCAGGCGGGGGTCTCTGCCAGCCCTTTCAGGGGATGCTGCGGACTGAACATGCAAAAGAAGATGCTCTGCTACCATATTCAAAGAGATATGGGAATGCACTGCAAGTCATTTTGTTCAACGTTGTTGGCAGCCAGCTACTTCCTCCATCCCTTTCAGGTGCTTTTCTGAAGGGAGGGTTTTCTCTTTTGGAGAGAGAGAGAGGAGAAAGATGTGTGTGTGAAAAAGAGGGGGGCAGGAGCAGGAGAGAGAGGGTGAAGGGGGGTGTATGTGTGGTCTCTGTGTGTGTGAAAGAGAGAGGGAGAGATGTGCTTGGGCAGAGAGAGGGATGTGAGTGAGAGGAGGCATGTGTGGTGTGTGAGATGCACATGTGTCTGGACTGTATGCATGTGATGAGTTTATCCCAGATAGACCATAGCCACTTTGTATATTTGCCCGGTAATCGGGAATGCTGTTAGGACAGTGGCAGCATCATTGTCTGGGGGCCAAAATCAGGATGAGGAAGATTTATCTCTCTTCCCATGGGAGGCATAGGCTTGGGGGATGACAACAATGAGTGCTCTCTCTCTTGTGTTATGCCACATCCCTATGCCAGCCATAGTTCTGTACAGGGGCAGGTAGTTTTTCAGGTAACCTGCTCCCGAATTCTTTATATGTTAACAAGACTTTGAACATGGCCCAGTAGCTGACTGGCAGCCAGTTGTGATCTCTACTCGTCTAACAACTTTGCTCTGTGCAAGAATCCCTGTTCTTCCCTGCTCACCTTTGGCCTTAATGCTTCTGGCACTCATCTCCTCTTGAATACTGCTTGCTGCAACCTAACTCTCTTAGTGCTGCCTCTCACTTACTTAGCTCTTCAACACCTGTGTAATAAGACAAAACTTCTAAAGCATACTCACATTTTTAGTAGGAGGTTCCCCACTTGCGCTTTAATGGATTATGGATTTTTATCACATCCTCAGAACAGTGATGTGTAGAGACAAACACATTCCAGTAAGAAGCTATGCCTAAGCCTTCAATCTAAACAGATTTACTAAGGAGTAAGTCCCACTGATAACAGTAGGGCTGTAACTGTTACACTTGACTGTAGCAGTCAATTGTTCAAATGAAACATCTGAATTCAAACCACCCCCCCCCAAATTCCAGGCCCAGAAATTGTCCTCTACAACATACTTCTACACCTCTATAACATACTTCTGCCACCCTCAGAAGTACTTCTCAATGCAATCCATGGGGTTTGCTGAGAGTGGCCATAGGACAGTGCTATCTAGGTGGCATATTTAAACAGCAGATACAGGAGATGCTATTACCATACCTGCATTAAAGAGTAGAGGCGTCTGAGAAAATCCCAAGGCTCCAGTAAGAGCACGATCTCCCTTTCATCTTCAGCCTTTTCCTGGGGGCCATCCTACAGAAACAAAGTCAACCATTTTGTCAGTACAGACAAAAGGCTCTTTCCCCACAGAGCATAATTTGGTTATGTGGCATTGACTGCCACAATATGTATGTAAGCAACTTCTCTGGCTTGAAACAAGGATGGGGAGCCTGAGGTCCTCCAGATGTTGCTGGAATACAACTCTCATCATCCCTGAGCATTGTCAAGCTGGCTGGGGCTGATGGGAGTTTGAGCCCAACAACACTGGGAGTACTACGAGTTCCCCATTCCTGCTTTAAAAAGAGATTAGCCAAATTCATGGAGGCCTATTAATGACTACTACATACAGTCATGTACTAATAATCACTACTAAATGGAACCTCCAGACTGAAGGCATGTTACTGAAAACCATTTGCTAGGAGATTATTAGCTTCACACATCACTTGCTGACTTACAGAACCGTTCCAGAAGGAAATAAATGGTATTTTAAAAAATCCTTTAAAACTACTACTACTCCATCTAGCTCCCTGAAAGTCTTAACAAACCTGGTTTGATACTGGCCATGCTCGACTACTAGCCCTATTTTGCAGAAGGGTCCATTTTAAAGTTGCTTCTATGTGTGGCATACATATAAATACATTATCAGCTCAAGTTCTATTTTTAAGTTGCTTGTTTTTCTGCCTGCCTACAAACACTATTAATAGCAGATGAGCAGAATCAGGAAATCAGTTAAGTAGAAGACATTCCAGATTTCATCTGTGCCTTGCCTAGCTAACAGCTGAGTTTTGAATACTCACCATGCAAGACATACTACTGGAGAGATCTCTCTTCCAGGTTATGCTGTGTGGAACTGCCTGAGGTTCAATGTGGTATTTACACTCCAAAGAATCTAAAGCTCCCAGCAAAGCATCTGAACCAGGATCCTCTAGAAGACCTGATGGGCAAGGATCATACAAATGGCCTGATTCACATCTTAACTGTATTATACAGCACTATGGGTCAGTGTCCCAAGCACTCTCCTCTAGACCTCAACATACCTAGTGCTAAGAGAGTAAAAAATTCCATTTGCTCTGTGAACCACCAGTGACACTGCTGCAATGGACAGAAGCAGCTACAACAGAACCCAGCAACAAGCTGCATGCAAGAGGCCTCCTATTCCCAGGTCAAGATCTACTGGTAGATTTGCAATAAATCAGGCAGAGGGATCAATTCCCAATTGTTTAAAAACAGCACTAAAATAAAAGCCCTACCTGGGTCCACACATACAGTCATGTACTTCATACACTGATCAGGCCGTAAAGATTTCAAGGCAGCTGCGGCTTCCTTTCGTCTCTCTTTTTCTAGTTCATACTGCTTTTTCTTCCTCATTTTCTCTTCTTTTTGCAGTTTCCTTTCAAGCTTTCTGTCTTTCACTTTGGTCTGCACTGCTCTTGGTCCTTTAGGAGGCTGATTTTTCTTCTTTTTCTCTGGACTGGGAGAGCAAGATGCTACTTGGGGCACTAATGTAAGCAAAGGCAACTCTTTGGGTTCACCTGGACTTATGCATGTTTCCAACTTTTCTTTGTCCAGGTGGTCCCAAACACCAGCTGCCACATGACTCACAACAGGCACAGAGTCCTGCAATTCGATGTCACTGCCTCCTTCAGAATCAGAGATCTCCCAAGTAATGGCTCTTCTGACAAGCTGGCTGGTTCTGTCAAGAGCGTCAAGCTTTTTACATTCCTCCATGGTTTAATTTATCCTCATACACTGCCTCTTAAGAAAGTTTGTTCAGGAATGCAGAAGCATTTGCAGAGTCCCAGGCAGATTTGCAACATATCCAAAGATATTTTAAAGAACCTCAGACAAGAAATAACAGTCAAACCATTTTTCTCGTTTTTAAGACTCTGCTGCTTCGCATTTCTAAGGACATATTTGTTATGCGCTATAACTGAACCACCGTCCCCTCACTGCGAATCCCGCGTTCAGTCTGCCTTCCCTCAGTAACCCAACCTCAACAAAGACAAAACCTATTATCTGGTCGGTTGAGTGATAATAGAGAGTAGCTCCAAGGGATCACCAAACTCAGAATTGGGGAGTTAAACCCCAAGAGCTCCACAACATCCCTCCCACAAGCCTCCCAACATCCCTCCCACAACAACCCCTCCCACAAGCCTACCAACCACAATAGCACCAAGAAAGGTACATCCCTGCACCGCTTTCATTAGCAAAAGAAGCTATGACAGAGAAGCTTCTCTGCGGTGCAGCCTTTTAAATGGTCCCTGCGGAAAGAGGTTGTGGCGCGGGGGGAGTTCCGCTCGGTGCTTTTCTCCCACCCCCAAAAAATAAATAAATGCCACCAAGCCGGGAAAGGGCAAGTTCCAGAGGACTGGGTTGCGGCGGAAGATGTAAGGAAATACTCTGAAAGAATTGGCCTCCACACGGACTTAAAATAAGAGTCCACCGAGAATAGAGTGGAAGTGTTGCCTACCGGATGATTTATTGGGAAGGACCGCCCTTGCTTAGAGCGCCTGTAAAGTTCAATGAAGAAGAAAGCGGAAATGTTCCCTGCCGGACTATTTATAAAACGGACCACACTTCCTAGAGCGTCTACGGTCTGTGGCCAAACTCTATGCGCTCAATCATAGAGTTAGCAAGTTATTACGGGTTCTCACGCACACACACACACACGCGGAAATGTTGCGCACCGGATGATTTAGCGAGTTGGGTCGCCTATGGTAGAGCGGTTGGATCAAGCAGTTGGTGTTAAGTGGTGAAAGGTAAGGTGGCTGGATAAGGGAGGAATGATTGTGGGGTGGAAATTCCACTTTTTATTTATTTTATTGAGTTAATGGCTGGGAGGGCATTCCCATCATGGTGTCCTAGGTCCTAGTCTGAAACTCTAACCACTATGCCACACTGCTTCTGCTCCCAACCCGCGCATGGTTCGGATGCATGACATGTAGCCACCATGACATGTAGACCCTCCAAGTGTCGCTATTTTTCAGGGATGTCCATGATTTAGAGAAGCCGTCCCGGTTTCTGATCTGATCCCAGAATGTCCCGTTTTTCCTTAAGACGCCCCTATTTTCACTGGAGAAATGTTGGAGGGTATAGAGTTATCCATCCATCTCAAGGCAATCCTGTAAAGGGAAGGTTGGTTTTTTTTTAATAAAAAAAGTTTACTGTTTTATTACATTTTTATATGTGTTGAAAGCTGCACAGAGTGGCTTTGGCAACCCAGTGTGCTGTGTGGGGGTATAAATAGTAAAATTATAATTATGGAATGAGATGTCCCTAATTTCATCGGAGAAATATTGGGAGGGTATGCAGAAGCCAAGCATTCAGTATTGTGGTTCCAATCCTGTGGAACCCTGCTGAACTGCAAGGACTTTTCTATTTTAGCAGGCATGTTAAGGTAGTTTTCCAAGATGAGTTTTAATTATTTTTATTTATTTGTATGAAACATATTATTTATTCACTTGTTACATTTGTATACCACCTTTCCTCCAAGGCAATGTGCCTCGTTCTCTTCCTCCCTATTTTACCCTAACCCTTTGAAGTAGCTTAGGCTGAGAGACAGTAATTGACCCAAGGTCACCCAGTGTGCTTCATGACTGAGTGGGCATTTAAATCCCTCATTATTAACATTCAGAAGGAATTTTAAAATATTATTGTTCAGCCACACAGTTGATGGCTGAAAGATAGTTTCTGGCTACCTTGAAATCATAGGCTGTGACAGTATGTGACTTTTTTAAAAACGTGTTTATTAGATGTGCTAAATTCTTTTAGATGCTTTCAAGTCCTTTTTAAAAATGCATTCTTTTGTTTTAACGGTATTGTTTTATTGCTTTGCTGTTTGCCATCCTGGGCTTCTCTGGAAGGAAGGGTGGGATGGAAATATAATAAATAATTATCTAGTGAGGTGAGTGGAGATTTCAGCCTCCCTGATTCTAGTCCCAACATACTAACCTCACCTATGTTTTCATTTCTCAGACAGCCATGGCTCGCAAGAAAGTCCACCGCCCGATCGCAGCAATGGCCAAGAAGGTCCGTGAGTACTTGGCCCTGAAGAATAAGCCTCGAGACTCTGAGCGCTATGCGGTGGACTATGAGAAAATGACCCGTGCTTACACAGGCAAGCTGCTGCCCGTCCTGGCCTGGGAGGATGTGAGGAATGAGAACCGGCTCTTCACCCTACTCAGCCGGCTGCGCCTCTTTGGCGTTGGGCGGATGGTCACACGCAAATCCTGGTTATGGCAGTATGACGAACCTTGTTATTGGGTTATCACCAAAGTGAAGGTGGATTACACAGCCGAGGTGGGTGTTTTTTTTTACTGGAAGGGAGTGTGTAAGGATTGGGTCCCCCATGATAACTGTCCCTTTCAGAGAGTGCAAATTTAGCGATTAAAGTGGATTAACGAGAACATAAGATGAGCCTGCTGGATTGGGCCAGTGGGCCATCCAATTCAGTATCCTGTTTGCACAGTGGCCGAGCAGATGGCTATGGGAAGACTTCAAGCTGGGCATGAGCTCAGCAGCACTCTGCCCACCTGCGATTCCTAGAAACTGCTACTCAGAGGTACAGTGCCTCTGACAGTGGAGGTAGAGCATAGTCAGGATGGCTAGTAGCCATTGATAGCCTTATTCTCCATGAATTTAAAGCCATTTGAAGTGCTCTGTTGTCTTAGCCCAATGTATCCAATTTTGGCAATAGAACTGCACTGAACAGTGGGGGGTTGAAGAAATTATTTGTAGGAAGATGTATAAACACCCTGGAAACAAATTGGGGTGAATGCTCATTGTCGTTTAAACCATCTCACAAACAATTCAGAACAAATGCTTCATAAAAACAGGACAGCATGCTCTTCTTCCCAGAGGAGTCCACGGTGCCATGTACATGTAAACATATGTATTTCTACATGTGTAAAATACAAATTCTCTGTTACAGAATATGGATCATGGAAAAGCCTGGGGATACTTGACGTTCCGAGGTAAGAGAAGAGCTGCTTTGAGAGGCTTTAATAATTAATCCCTTTTTCCCTGTGTTAAGAAACTGAAATTTGAAAGCTAGGAGCTAAATGGCACCTTAAACCTAGGTCACGGGTGTCATAACAGAATGTCTAGGCACACTTTTTAAAATATAAGTATACAAAGCTGAAAATGAATGAACTGCAGCTAAAATCTTACGTTCATTTTTCACACGGTCTAGTCCTCATCTGAAGACTGCAAAAAACAAAGCCGTGCTTCCCCTGCCCGCCCCCTTAATATTCTTAAGAATATTCCGCTGAATAAAACGCTGCCTTTCTGTAAGGCCAGCTAAGAGGCAGAATCAGATCAGCTTACCTGATGCTGCATTGATTTCTTGGAAGTTGAGCAGGCAGGAATTTCTCCTCCCACACCCTCAGCACTGGCAGTGGTAGTTTTAATCTGAAATCTTAGGCGCAGTACTGCACCCAGAGCTCAGAAATTGCTTGCGCTAATGAAATTCCCGGTTGCAAAATGCGCCTAGAACAATGGGAGTTTCGAACGCTGCTTTTTCCAGGGAACTCTGAGAAATGTGGCTCTGTGAGGGGAGCAGGGGTCTTCCTAACAACTCTCAGCACCTTTAGCAAACTATGCTCATGTTTCTTTGGCGAAAGCCGTGACTGTTTAAAATTGTATGATATGGCTTTAAATTGGGGGTCAGCAAACTTTTTTAGCAGGGGGCCGGCCCACTGTCCCTCAGACCTTGTGGGGGGCTGGACTATATGGGGGGGGGGAATGAATGAATTCCTGTGTCCCACAAATAACCCAGAAATGCATTTTAAATAAAAGGACACATTCTACTCATGTAAAAACATGCTGATTCCCGGACTGTCCACTGGCCAGATTGAGAAGGCGATTGGGCTGGATCCGGCCCCTGGGCCTTAGTTTGCCTACCCATGCTTTAAATACATAGTGCAAATGGGGCCTTATTCAAGAAACCCAATGGGTTCTGAGATTAACAGGCATTGCCTTAGGCCAGTGGTGAAGAATCTTTGGCCATGGGCCTAATTAGTTTCTGATTTGGCCTCCAACACTTGTTTCCTCAAGCACTGTGCCCTACCCCATATATCAGGCTTCCTCAAACTCGGCCCTCCAGATGTTTTTGGCCTACAACTCCCATGATCCCTAGCTAGCAGGACCAGTGGTCAGGGATGATGGGAACTGTAGTCTCAAAACATCTGGAGGGCCGAGTCTGAGGAAGCCTGCCATACATGGTGTAAATTTTGATCTCAGGTGTGAGCCCCAGTGAAGACATGTCTGTAAGAGAACAATTGACAGTTGCATTCTAAGGCTCCTAATCAGAGCTTCCAGGTGAAGTTTATCCCTGCTAACAGCAGGACTTGGGAGTCGTGATGACATCAGACGACTGACAAGTAGGTAGCTCTGCCCACCATCAAAGTAAACAGGCTGGGGAACTTGGAGTCCAGCTCTCCATCCAGATCTTTTTCTTCACCCCTGTCTTAGGCTGTGCAGGGTCAAATATATACAGTCATACCTCATGTTACGTTTGCTTCAGGTTGCGCGTTTTCAGGTTGCGTCCCGCGGCAACCCGGAAGTACTGGAAAGGGTTATTTCTGGGTTTTGCCGCTCGCGCATGCGCAGATGCGCAAAATGATGTAATGCGCAAAAGTGGCGAATCGCGACCTGCGCAGACGTGGGTTGCGTTCTTTTCAGGTTGTGAACAGGCCTCCGGAATGGATCCTGTTCACAACCAGAGGTACCACTGTATTTGTGTTCATGAAGGCTAGAAGCCTCCCTTTATTTAAAACAGAAAAGAAATATACGTTGAGATTCTGGGGCAAGTTCCACATTCTGTGTTTAGCCTGTGCTCCTGCAGAATTGTTGTATATGCAAGGGGTCTAATGTAGGCTTACCTGGGAGTAAGGCCTGTTGAACTCAGTGGAACTTACTTTTGAGTTGGCATCCCTAGGCCTGCACTGAAACTCTTGGGTATTCTTTTGCTACTTGATGGTTGGAGAAGTTGTTACTAGGTGGCAGCTCAATTTTGACCCTACTTACCTGGGTCACTTATGGATGAAGGATGCCCTGCAGGTCACTGCCACCTGGGGTGTGTGTGTGTGTGTGTGTGTGTGTGTGTGTGTGAAATGTAGGAATGTGAACATTTCCTGTGTGCGATTTGTCCATAGCTCTCTTCACTGTGTCAACTCTTCTACTTAGGCAAAACAGAAAGCGAAGTGAAAGAAATCGACAAGGCCATGTATCACGACTGGCGCATGGTACCAAGGCATGAGGAGGAGGCCTTTAAGATTTTCACGCCTGTGGAGGAGGAAACGGTTCGCTACGTCCCCTACCCACCGCTGCTGCGGGCCATGATCCTCGCTCAGCAGCGGCAGGATAACCTGAGCACCGAAGAGCCCATGCTGGACCTGGAGAGGCCTCTTTTCTTCCCAAGAGAGTACTTTGCAAATCCTAAGAAGCAAGCCGAAGGAACGCCAGTGTGAAGATTTAAAGAGCATTGTTTGTTTTTACTAGTTCTTCATATTTATTTCTGATCTTTCATTAAAAAATTACGTTTGGAGGACATTCACGTTTCTTTTAATAACAGAGAATGTATTGCAATAAATGCCGGAGCTCAGAATCTTTCATGGGTGTGATTAATCCTTGAACGATCTCATTTTGACTCTCTTTTTGCGCCGTCCGCGTTGGCAGCTTGATGAAATATGGGCCACCATCCCTGCTCTTACGCCCCAATGCCTAGATTGAAATAAAGCCTGTGGATTTCAATGGAGCCTGCTTCAAGGCATGCATTGTTCTAATCACCGTATTTTTCGTTCTATAGGACGCACATTTCCCCCTCCAAAAATTAAGGGAAATGTGTGTGCGTCCTATAGAGCGAATGCAGGCTGCGCCGCTAAGCCCAAAGCCAGAACAGGAAGACGGAGCACTGCGGAGCGCTCCGTCTCACTGCTCTAGCTTGGGGACGGCTGCGCGCAAACCTTTGCAGGGCAGCGGGGTGCCTTCACCCCGCTGTCCTGCAGAAGCTAGCAAGGCTGTTCCCAAGCCAGAACAGCGAGACGGAGGGCTCTGTCTCGCTGTTCTAGCTTGGGGACGGCTGCGCGCACAGCCTCTCCAGGGAAGCGGGGTGCCTTCACCCCGCTGCCTGCAGAAGCAAGCAAGGCTGTTCCCAAGCCAGAACAGCGAGACGGAGGGCTCCGTCTCGCTGTTCTAGCTTGGGGACGGCTGTGCGCAAACCTCTGCAGGGCAGCGGGGCGCTGCGCTCCAAAGGCTTCAGGGATCTTTGAGGCTGGCGGTGGGGGAAAGCAGCGCTTCCCGCCACCGCCAGCTCCACAAGCTCTGGTGAATGTACCTTGAACGCACCTTGTTTTAGAGGGGGAGAACAAGAAAAAAATTTTCCCCCCTGTTCTCCCCCTCCTACGATCCGGTGCGTCCTATGGTCCGGTGCGTCCAATGGAGCGAAAAATACGGTATAACTAAATTACAAGGCACATAATTTTGTTTCCCGCATCTAAATGATTGGTAGTTTTGCAGGTGTCAACCAATTTTAAAACGAAAAATTCTGCTTTTAATGTGTGGCTTTTTGGGGGTGGGAGGGTGAGTATTATTATTATTTGGTTGCATCCTTCAAATAATAAAATTACTTCTGGCTGCTTCACTGAATCTGCTTGAGAACCTTGATCGAGAAATGATGGTCTTTAGACAACATGCTTTACAACGGTAACCTTGTCCAGCTGACATTTTACCGGCTTCTCCGCAAGAATTTCATGGGGTACTTTGTCAAAAGCCTTACTGAAATCAAGATACAAAACATCCACAGCATTACCCTGATCCACCAAGCTTGTACCTCTATCAAAAAGAAAGAAACGAAGTTCATCTGGCATGACTTGCTTTTGATAAACCCATGCTGGGTCTTAGTAATCACAGCACCCTTATCTAAATGCTCTTAGGCCCAATATTTAAATATCTGCTCTAGGACCTTTCCTCATATTGATATCAAGCTCATCAGTCTGTAGTTACCTGGGGTCTTCTCCCCTCCCCCCCTTTGAAGGGCAATATTTGCCCAAGGCCAGTCCACAAGAACCTCACCTCGCCTCCAAGAATTCTCAAAGATTATAGCCAGGCTCTGAGATTACACCTGCAAGCTCCTTTAGGTTTAAAATTTTAATCGACCTGAAACTTCAGTATTTTAGTATATTTCCTTCTAATAATCACATTTCTGTATGCATTTTTTACTAATGTACACATTTTGCAAGCAATTTCTCCTGATATTCAGTAATGCATGCTATTTTCACTAATATTATTTTTACGCACCCTTCTCTCCCTTTTGTTGACAGTGGCTGGTTGGCAAACTGTATAGCAAAATTTGGGTATTTGCTAATCACGAAGGATGCCACCCTGTGTTTTGGTTATCATATTGTTTTGGAAAGCGCAAATTTGATTGATTCAGGTTTAAATGCAAACAGGATCAAATTTACCATATTTTTCGTTCTATAGGACGCACATTTCCCCCTCCAAAAATTAAGGGGAAATGTGTGTGCATCCTATAGAGCAAATGCAGGCTGCGCCGCTAAGCCCAAAGCCAGAACAGGAAGACGGAGCACTGCGGTTGATGGGCGTAAAGCCGAATAAACATTTTGGAGATTTTGGAGCACTGCGGAGCGCTCCGTCTCGCTGCTCTAGCTTGGGGACGGCTGCGTGCAAACCTCTGCAGGGCAGCGGGGTGTCTTCACCCCGCTGTCCTGCAGAAGCTAGCAAGGCTGTTCCCAAGCCAGAACAGCGAGACGGAGGGCTCCGTCTCGCTCCTCTAGCTTGGGGACGGCTGCGCGCTCAGCCTCTCCAGGGCAGCGGGGTGCCTTCACCCCGCTGTCCTGCAGAAGCTAGCAAGGCTGTTCCCAAGCCAGAACAGCGAGATGGAGGGCTCTGTCTCGCTGCTCTAGCTTGGGGACGGCTGCGCGCACAGCCTCTCCAGGGCAGCGGGGTGCCTTCACCCCGCTGTCCTGCAAAAGCTAGCAAGGCTGTTCCCAAGCCAGAACAGCGAGACGGAGAGCTCCGTCTCGCTGCTCTAGCTTGGGGACAGCTGCGCGCAAACCTCTGCAGGGCAGCGGGGTGCCTTCACCCCGCTGTCTTGCAGAAGCTAGCAAGGCTGTTCCCAAGCCAGAACAGCGAGACGGAGGGCTCCGTTTCGCTGCTCTAGCTTGGGGATGGCTGCGTGCAAACCTGTGCAGGGCAGCGGGGCGCTGCGCTCCAAAGGCTTCAGGGATCTTTGAGGCTGGCGGTGGGGGAAAGCAACGCTTCCCCCCACCGCCAGCCCCACAAGCTCTGGTGAATGTACCTTGAACACACCTTGTTTTAGAGGGGGAGAACAAGAAAAAAATTTTTTCCCTGTTCTCCCCCTCCTATGATCCGGTGCGTCCAATGGAGCGAAAAATACGGTATATACTCTGTCTATTTGTGACCTTCCAGCTGTTGTTTGGACTCTATTTCCCATCAGGCAGTAGTTGGAATGCTGGCAGTTTTAATCCATCAACATCTGGAGAGCCACAGGTTTCCCATGCCTGATTATGCTCAGATTATGCTGAGATTTCCATACAGTTTTTCTTCTCGCCTGAGAAAGAGTAGGTGTACAAATATCTCTCAAAAGCACAAAACGACAAGTTCTTTTTTCTTTTTTTTTAGTCTTCCAAGCTATTAATCATTCTGAAGTGGGGGAGGGATCTAAGCATGAAAGCAAGAGTGAAAGTCAATGACTTCCTCATCTGTGTAATGACCACAGTCTTCCTAAAGAACTGATAACGATTTTTTTTACATCATGCAATTAACCTTTGGTTGCTGAGTAGTTAACAGCAGCTGGGAGATTCCCTCAGGGAGAAAGAGCATTACTTTAGTCAAGCAAGCTTTGCGGAGCTTATTTCATGTCCACTTAAAATCAGGCTAGGCATTCCTCTTCTTTTCCTATCCACATCCAGGGACAATGCAGTGTTCAGCATGTGGATATTCTAGTGGGGTGAAGAAGGTGAGAAGCTATTCAACAGGTTAATGACAGTGTTCTTGGTATTATTGGGTAGAGTTGATGATGCCACGGCGATGAAGAAGCACTGTTTGGAAAATGTGAGCTTCTCAATCTATAGAGGCCAATCCCAGAAGGACACCAGGATTAGTCTGCTGCAACAAAAATCACAAAGAAATGACAAGGATTATAAATGATGGAGATTATAAATGAAATTATTGGTAGCAATGTAATCTTAACACCCAATGTGCTTTACTGGGAGGTCTGAAAGGGGAAGTTTTTGGAATTTGCAGCAGCTGTGATTGCTGCGGTCAGACTAATCAAAGGAAAGAATTGGAAATCCGATAAATCAGTTGTCATCTGCAGGGGTCATAGTCATATTTATTGAAATACGGAGTCTTTTTTGTTAATTGTTGGAAAATACCAAGACATTGGGACCTGGGAAGCTGCTTTGTACTGAGTCAAACCATTGGGTCAATCTAGTTTGATATTGTCTACACTGGCTGGCAGCAGTTTAACCTTATTTTCACTCCTCTCATTTCTGCTTAAATTATAATAATAGTTTTATACTTTGCATTTTTTAAAAGCCCGTCTTGTGGCACCTTAATACACACACACACACACACACACACACACACTGCGAGGTGGGGTATGGTTCATGGAGTAGAAACTTGCTTTAGACGCATGAAGTGTTTACCTTCAGTTGGCAAGTTATATACAGTGGGGGGAAATATGAAAAATGGGGCCACTCTCCCTATAAAACTTGTGGTCTTTTCCATCCAGGTGTTTTTGGACTACAACTCCCATCATCCCTAGCTAGCAGGACCAGTGGTCAGGGATGATGGGAACTGTAGTCCAAAAGCAGCTGGAGACTCAAGTTTGAGAAACCCTGCAATAGAGTATACTGGGAAAGGGTGTGGTTGGCAGGTGGGGACCCTGAACAGGAGCACTCCATTTTATTGTAGGTCCTACTTACGTTATCAAAGAGCCTTTGCTGTTTCTTTTGCGTTGTTTCAAATTTTCTCACGAGCCTTTGCCGTCTAAATCCCTACTCAAATCGCATCTAGCAACAGAATCCTGCAGAGGGCGCTGTAGTCTGTGCGCATAAACATCTCACAAGGAATCCCAGCGTGTCTCCTGTTCTCATCCCCCTCCTGCAGCAGCGTCATCTCTGCAGCAATTCCCAAACACTTACAGGGGAAACACCAAAATACAGCAGGGGATCCGTTTCTGCAGATTCAGCAGGTCACCCCCAAATCCCAATGCTACCCTCTCAACACACTCAACACAAGGACGGGAGGGCATTGTCAAAACAAAAGCAAGCACCCTGCATTTGATTCCTGCATGGAAAAAGCAGAATCTAGCAGGAAATGCTTCCCACAGCAAAGTGGTGAATGAAGGTCCATAGGCCGAAATCCTCCTTCCCTTACCACCAGGGGTTTGGACTGGGCTTGGCTGGGAGCTGACCTTAGAGAAACAAAACCAAGGAGTCGTGCTAATGTTGCCCTGTTCCTTCATAGTGCCTTGCTGCATTGCAACAGAGCATTCTAACTCTGACATGGATGGGGGGAATCTCCTGCCTGAAACCCTGGAAGGCTGCTGCAAGTCAAAGAAGACAATGCTGAATAGCTCAGTTGGTTAGAAAATAACTAAAGAAGCGAAGAACCAAGACCAAATAACAATTACCCAAGAGATACTGTATATGAAACTTTTTCTCAATTTTGCCTTTTAGTCTGCTCTCCTTTTAATATACCTGAAGGAGCGC